GATACTATAAAGCCGTCAAAGTTTAGTTCGCGATTATCAATAGAGTCATCCAACCACGTTTCACAGATGCAGAAAATGTTTGGGTTATCAATTAGTAAAAATCTTAAGTCATAAAGTTTATATTTTAAATTTCTTGCGTTAAAAATATATAAAGATAAATTACCTCCTATTTTATTAACCTTACTTGATAACTTGTCCTAGGCTACTGCAGACTGATGAGAATATGATGGAATCAAAAAATTGCTCGTCGGTGCAATCCATTGGCGAGGCTGCCTGAGTGTTACTATTTGAAGATTTCGGACGACATACTTTTTCAGATTGAGACTTTGATTTCATATATAACATTCTTTTCGCAGCTGTTTATCTAGCAATAATTCTCTTTTCGTCAGATCTTTTCGCAAAAAACTTCCAGGGGGAACGATCGAGCGCACATCCTTGTTACGGACATGGCCATATGCTTATCTTCGAGACGAATTTATTTTAAGTACTCGTGGCCTGCCTGTCTCCTTCATTCCATGACGACGAACCTCCTTAATGAATTCAGTCATCTTGAACCCAGCGGCAACTACAATGTTTTCTGCTAAGAGCCTATCGGCAGTAGCAGATTCATCATCCGTAGATTTCTCTGGAATGTTTATTCCAACTAGACATGGTTCTTTTTCCTTCTTTTCAAAATATTCTTCAATGGTTTCCAATGCTTGTTCAGTTTTTCGATTCTTGAATGCTCGAAGTTGCCCAAAGATGAAGCTTTCAAATTATTAATATTATTCTTAAGTTCTTCGTTGACCTTTGTAAGTATTTCATCAGATCTAGTTAAATGCATAATTAGATCTTGTTCTTTTTCATATTTCTCAATAATGGAAACTGACCTCAGATCCTCGATAGTTTTATTTAAACAGCTAACATCATTATTGGAAACGGCCCCATAAGCTGCTACCTTTTTCGGTGCCATTTGGAATTTCCTCTTATCTTACAAATGAACGGTATAAAACAATAAGATCAATATACTTTTGAAAAGAATATCTTTTAGACGAATGTAATAAGATTAATGTATTTATTGCTTCTATAGTTTAGCGAAGCACAATACAACAAAATAATGAAAAACAGAGAGAATGACTAACACAACCTCTCACGAGAATAGAATTAATATTAAGTTTAAGTTTAGAATTAAGTTTAAGTTTAAGTTTAGAATTAAGTTTAAATTTAGAATTAAGTTTATTCCTGTTGGAGGCATAAGCCGAACCTACTTCTAAACATAATCTGATTATCATAATCTGAATAGTCTGATTCCCTCGGCTATCCTTCAGCAATGAATATGAGCTATGGCAATTGTAATGCTTTATAATTTTTACACAAAATTTAAAATTTTTCGCGATTAATTAGGACATATCAAGTATATGACACTAATATTATTTTATGTTATATGCTGAAAATATTATACGTTGAATGATGTAAATATTTCACCATATGAAATTAGCGAAATTGCCCTGAAAAATTTGATGGATAAGCGGCACACTTTTCGACAAGCATGAATTTCGAATTTCTTTTCAAGAAAAACCGGTATGAAATGATGCTTAAGGGCAATCACTTATAAATAATGAATTAAAATAAATATATTTTATACTCCACAAGGAAAAAATGAAAATAAAAAATATTTTAAATAATTTTAGATTTCGAAATTATTGCGAAATTATTTGATATCAGTTTCAAGATTCTTTTCAATAAAATTTTATGAATTTATCAAAAAATTTTCTTAAAAAATTCTTAAAAATTACAGTTCTAATATTAATGGAAAAATTTGTGCTATGCAATTTGGACGATGAAAATTTATTAAATAAAAATATTCCAATAATTTAAACAACCATAATTTTTTCTTACAATTTTTTATAAAATGCTTATTAAAAATAAGAGTATTTTATTGCTATTTTTTCGCAATCATCAAAACAATAAAATTTTTAAAATTTTTAAAGGCTATTTTTCTCAAATTAGTTGCTCTGCGCATAATTGAAACGAAATCAAAAATGGATTTCATATTTTTCAATTTTATATCGTACTCGCATTCGCTATAACCGCCTTAGCTCCCTTCTTTTTCTGTTTTCTTGTCATTAAAAATAAAATTCAAGTGGCTAATGGAGTCAGTCTCTCCTGCGTCTCTATTCACAAGCGATTTTTCACTGGCGAAAGGATTCCACGCTAGTATTATGCAGCGTACAGTAAAACAAGGCAAATCAGAAAAAGTGCGTGTGTGTTAATTTATTTGCTAAATTTGAAAAGTGAGTCAATATATTTCGAAAATTCCATAGCTAATAGAGAAAACGGAAAAAAAAGTTTCGTTGAATATTCCGTTGAAAATGAAAGCATCTGCGAAAAACCAGTTAAATTTAACTGTGCCCTTACGATATTTCTCAATTTTTATCAATTTCTTTCTAAACCTTTTACAAAATTTATAAAAAAACTATTGGAAAATTGATAAATGCTATTGAATTGTCATATTATATATTATACTGCAATCGTCTTATTTTCAGTTTTTCTCGAGACGTTTAAAATTTCGAATTTCATCATTTCACTATCCAAACACGAATATTTAATTTAAAGGACTAGTTTATTTAAAGTGAAAACTAAATGGAAATGAAAATCTGTCAAAGGATTATAAGCGAAAGAAGCAAAAAATCAAAAAATTAAGAAATTTTTAAAACCGTTATTATAAACCTCGACTCGGACGACCGAAAAAGACCTATTTACCGAACTTAATTACTTTTGCAAGAGCTGGTTCACACAATTTTTGATTTCTGGCGATTCGAATCCAAGTACTAAAATAATTATAACTTGCTTGTTAAGCAATTTTGAAAATGTGAGGAATTAACAATTTTAGCGAATGTAAGGAATTTCATTAGAAATTATCAAACATTTTATATGATAGAAATAATTCTGTTGATGGTATTATAGCTTTTTGTCTCGGTTGTTGCTTTCGAAATCATTCACGTGTATCGCCATGTACCACCTATAAAACTTGCTTCCTGCTTTATATAAATCATCGACTTATGTAATCGTTTTTGCAGTAGTGTTATGCCTTAGCATGTTGAATATTTGGACCTTCAGCTATGGAACCAACCATTTTTGAAAACTCCTACTTATTTTTCACCGTTAATAAAAGTTAGCATATAGTGTAACATTCCATCCTAGGTTTTGCTAATTATGCCAATCCATTTCACCTGGATTTCATGCTCTTATTCATTCACCTGTATAACTTTATTGGCGCTCTTGCTGTTATTTTGAAATATTTCAGAGAATAGGCCATACAGTAATAGTAGTTTTAATATAATAAATTTATATAAGAATGATAATCTTGTAAGTGAGAGGAATACTTGCTTCTTCTGCTCTCTAGCAGGTACTGAGACAGTCAACGAATCACTTGGAGATAGAAGAAGGATGCCGTTCCATTGCCATCCGGAATTTTCTAATGGTAAGCTCATTCTTATCCGTAGCGAGAACGAAAACAAATTCGCTAATGAGCATGTATAAATAATGAGGACAGAAGGGCTCAGTGGGTTGTTGCTAAATTCGGAGCGTCGATGCTGATTCCTCGCAAGAATAAATCTGTCCAAAAATCCTGGTAATGCTGACTCTCCTCTATCGCTATTCTATCGCCAAGGAACTCTCTGGCATATTTGTCCAATGCGACAAGCCAGTGGAGCGAGTTTAAGTAGCAATGGTAAGGACTCTTTAAAAAAAATGTGAATAATAGAAATAGAAAAATTTAGATATTATTTTTTACCTCGTGAATTTACGTTAACTACAGTGATTTTACACTTCAATTTTTTTCGGAACGAACTTGCTGTTTATACGGGTAAACGGTTTGAACTGTTTATTAGGATTAGGCTTATTAGGATTATTAGGATCGATTGAGTACACCATAAATTTCACTTCTCATCCTATAGATGGCCTCCTTCAATTTCGAGTCCTATACTAGAGAACTATACTAGGGAACTACTTGAAAATTCTGTGTAGCATCAAGTTCTGTGTAGGCGTTTTTCACTCGAATCTTCTGGGTCGAATATTGTTCTTCAATATTTTTTTGGAATCAATTTTTTAGCTTAAAAGTCATAGCCCTCATTTTTACAAACACCTATTTTCCCTATTGTCCCTATTTTCATATTTTCTCTGGCTTCTAATGCTGTTATCACTTGGGGTCGCTATATCTATATCCGACACCAACATGCTCTATACGGTGCTTGATTGACTGGCTGATACTCGTTTCCTTATCTGCATCGGACAGCGCGGTATACATATATATATATATAAAATAATAAATAAGAGTTTATTAGTGATATCTAATCATTTTCAGTTTCATTTTGCTGGAAAGCAAAAGAAATTAAAGTTTATCACTGATAACATAACATGAGAATTATTAAACGGCTGCATGTAATAATAATTGTTAACCTGGTTTTTGGACAAGATCAATTCAGGCAAAACTGTAATGAAGCGCCAACTGCATCATTAAGACAAAGTTGTATAAATGTAAATTTTGAATTTTCCTAAATATCAGCTCAACAAGTAGAAACGTGTGCAGTAGTTATAGAGCGTAAATGGAATTTATTAAAAAACTATGAATTGGTTGTTAGTAAAAATTAAATTGACTTGGATTTCACGATTGAATCATTTGATAATTTGACAAATAGAGGGATAATTGCTACAGAAATTCGGATAATGCATAATGTATGTAAAAAATTAAGAAAAAGATCATTTATATTTTTTATATTAAAATTTAAAGGGAAAGTAATGGAAAATTTAGCAAAAAAGAGATGGAAAAATAACAATTTTTATTGTATTTGAGTGAAAAGATTGGGAAATCGTGTTCCACGAATATTACTTTCCTTATTTCAAAGAGAACAAGTTTTTGCAATTTTCTTTTTTTTCTTAACCATAAGCAACATTATTGAAAGAATTATTTAATTCATGAAATCTCTATTTAAAATTGCCATTGCTAATAGTTGCAACGTATGGCGACCAATTCTCGAAGAAGATTTCAACAAGAAGCGGATAACAATATTTGGCTTCCTACTGCAGCGAATCTTCGACCAATACCAGCAGAACTAAATGCTCGAGGCCAATATGCAAATAATCCATATGATTGTATGACGTTAAATTGCCTCTGCCCACATTTTTTTGTAAGGAACTTTCTATCGGAAAATGTTTATACTGACATTTCATATTTCTCGAGGCATTTAGAATTTGTCGCCCTAAATTGATACATTCCGTGAACGCTTTAAATCATCGAATGTATTAGTTGTAAAAAAACTTGAAAGAAAATTTAAAAGATTGAAAAGATTTAAAATTGGTCAAGGAAAGTTTCCGTGCCTTTCAGTCTTTCTCCAATTTTTTTTTCATTAATTTATTCTATATTATAAGCAGAATCTGTAATTTAAAGGGCAGAATGGGATCAGAACGCCAATGTGTATTACCAAATGGACAACCTTTGACGATGGGGCTTAGAAAAGAATATAGGATGTTGACAGAAAATGAACTTAACCGTTGGCACAATGCACTTGCTCAGCTTAAGCTTAGCGGTGAATATGATCGACTTGGATTCGAGCACCAGGGAGTCAGTTATTATTAACGCACAGCAAATAAAAAAAAGTAAAATAGATAAATATAATATAATAAAAATATAATAATAATTTATAAATTATAATTAATAATAATATGATATAATAATTATAATAATAATAATAATAAAAGTCGAATGGTAGTGATCCACCTATCACCAAATGCTTACCTAATAAAAATTTCTAAACTAATAAGCATTGGAGAGTTATTCATGCAATCGTTATCTTAAACTATAAGTTATTTATTTTTTGATTAAATAACTTGAAATTTTTTGAAACTAAATATTTCTTACAAACTATAAATTTAGATACAATATATTTAATACAATGCATACAATATATCCCAGTTTCCATCGAAAACTCTTTTTTTTGACAATATTATTTATAATATTATTATTATTATCACTGTATTAATATTTCGTGATTATTTTTTGCATTTTTCAATAGTTTATTATCAAAAATATGAATTAGCCAAATTTGCATTATATATAAAACGTTAATTTTGATAATTAGAGCATTTTTTATCGATTGCTTCAATATTTAAACATAAATATAAAATATATCAGAAAAAAATTTTTTTCGAAGTTTTGATTTGAAATGTGAAATGAAGCATTAACGAGATTTTGAGGTTTATATATTCGAATTTTTAAAGGTTGGAACTGGTAGTGGAGCACACTCGGGGCCTGGCTTTTTACCTTGGCATCGGGAATATCTGAAAAGGTAAGATACGGCAATTTTTAGGTATTAAAATGGTATATCGGTGAATAGAGCATTAAATAATGCAATCGGAGATTAGCGTCATCTGTGTGGTTTTTAAACTTCACAAAATCTTGTCGTGAAATTTTTACCAAATGGTTGAATAAGTTATGAATTTTAGTTATTAGTTATTGTTACTGTGAAAGAACGATGGGACTTTTCATAATATATAAACTATTTGAGCCATATTATAAACTATTGAACTTGTAGTTTGATGATTTTGAGATATTAATAATCCTACTATTTTTTTCTTTCGGCATTCTACTCTGCAATTGCATAGAAGGCGAATAAAAAGTAATGGACAATAAAAATAATAATGGATAATAAAAAAAACTCATCATAAAATGATTCTGAATAAACATTGTCAAAAATACTCTCTTAAATAGTTTCTTAAATAAAAAAGAAATCATCTGGCTTCTTCAAAATTTTCGAATTCGGATTATTTAACATCAAATACAAAGTACGAGTTCAATATTATGAACGTAATGGTGAGACATGTTTCTTATAAATATATTTCAGATTTGAAATTGCGCTTCGATTAATAGATCCTTCAATAGCAATACCATATTGGGATTCAGCAATGGATAATTACTTGTTTGATCCAAGAGATTCGATTATATTCAGTCCAATATTTGCAGGTGAAGTGGATGTATGGGGCAATGTTATTAATGGTCCATTTGCTTTTTGGAGGACGCTTGATGGAAGAAATTCAATTTTGAGGTTGAGAAATACAATTAAAATTGCTGATGGCTAATAAAACAGATAATTCCTAGTTCTAATTCGATTTTCCCCTTCTAAATTGTTACTGACATAGATATTTCGATATTGTGGAATATTTCGCTTATCATTAATTTTTAATATTTTTAAATCAAAGAATCACCTTATTTCACTTTGAGATATTGAATATCAGCGTGAATTTTTTTCCATATCCTAAGAAACGAGCCTAAATCCAAGTAAAATGCAAGTGATTTATTCAAATAATTTATCATCAATAAAAAAAAAATTTTTAAGAAATATGGGTCAAGAAGGTGCTCTCTATAGTGAATTTAGCATTGGACAAGTAATGCAACAAACAAATCTTGAATATGTCATGGCATATACAGCACCACTGCTAGGTATTTTTATTGATATTTTGCTTTCAAATTTTGTAGCAACGGGGAACTTTTCGGTTTAGTGGACAGTGTTGGGGAGAGAATAAGAATGGACCATTGTACATGTAGAAGTTTGTATGCATAAATCTTATTTAATTCGATGAATTAAGAGGGAATTAAGAGAGTCTAGGTTATAGTTGAAGTACGCTTTACAATTAAAATTGCTGTTAGAGAGAGTTGTATAAAATACTTATGGAGTCCTTCAATTTGTGGGTAGAATGGCTAAATTCGAAGCGCCGATGCTGAGGATCGATTCCTCCTAGGAGTAAACCTGTCCAAAAATCCGAGTTATACTAGCGATTCACCTGTATTCTTATCGCTAAGGGACTATCTGGCATATTAGTCCAGTTCAATAAGCCAGCGGAGCGAGTTTAATTAATAATGGTAAGGACTCTCAAAAAAAGCCCTTCAATTTGTTTCATTTCTCTAAAGTGTTATATTTAAAAAGAGGCAAAATGAACGTTTTATATTTATATATTTATTTTATATATTTATTTTGAAAACTTTCAGTTCTGCTTTTTACAAAAAGATTGGATTTCTAAAAGGATGGGCCTGCCATATAATCAATTCTATACTATTGGCAATTCTTTTAAGATTATCTTATAGCGGATTATCCGATCCATCCGATCCATCATGAGAATAATAAATTTTACATCAGCATAGAGATAAATGGCAGAATTTAATACAACTTTGGTGATATTGAAATTGAAATGTAGCAAAAAATAGTCCGATATACTACCTTGAAGAACGTCTAATTTAACTAGGACCATTATCTATTAATAATAAGAAGTTATTTACTATGGGAAACGATATCAAATGCTTTGACTAAATCTAGATAGCCGACTGATATTATCTTTTTTTCCTATTATAAACTGATATCGACCAATCAAAAAGATTAGCCAATACGCCATATTTTTAAATGGAAAGGATGGGCCATATAATCAATTCTATTCTATTGGCAATTCCCAATATTATATTACCAAATTCCCAATATTACCAAAAATATTGCATAATTACTGCATATTCCGACTTTCAGTTGCTCTCTTGTTAAATAGGATAGTATACATAAATAATTTTTCCATTATCTATTGATACTGTTTTTTGTCTTCTTAAATAATTAAGAAGAAAATTACAGACCTTTTTTCGTCTATCATAATTTCTCCATACTATTGATTTGGAATTTAGATTTCGCATTTTTATCGGCAGTCTCTTTTATTAATCCTCATTATGACAACTAGCATTGAGAGTTTTATTCCTTTAAATTTTTCGCACCCTATAATCATTGTCTTCTAATTCATAAAAATTCATCTTTTTTGTGAAACCTTATATTTTAAACGACATACAAGAAGATGTATGAATTAAGGTTGTCCATACCCAGTAAATTTTGGTGCATTAGAATATTCTCATTCTAACGTTCACCTCTGGGTTGGTGGACACATGCGAGAGGCAGCAACATCAACCAATGATCCTCTTTTCTATATGCATCATTCTTTCGTTGATTTTATTTGGGAACTTTGGCGACAGATGAGGCAACCAAGATGGGTTCGCGAATCAGTAAGTTTAATTTCATTTCATTATCATTACATTCACTATTAATTTTTCATTATTTTATTCATCAATTCGACGTTTAATTCTATTTATAATGTGATTCGCTGATATCATCGTTTTTGCTTTCAAGAAAGACGATGTTTTAATATGGTATTATAATTTTTAAGTTGACTATATAAATACTGAAAGTTGTTAAGCAGCATTATGTAGAGTGCGGAAATTTTTCTTCGTTGAAAGATAATTCAACTGATTCAAAAATTAAATGAAAAACCCAAAAAAACTCAGTTCAAATATATCGATGTATATATTGAAATAATATCTGAAAAACCAGGCATATACACCTGATTTACCGCAATGCGCTGATCCACAACACTTCAGTTATGCAGTTATGAGACCATATTTCAATCTAATCAATCGTGATGGTTAATTTTTCTTTTTTAATAGGTTTCGAAAATATCATTTCTTATAATATATCAAATAAGATTGCAGCCTAGTTCCAATAAAATAAATTTTTTATATCCATAATCCCTCGTTAAACAGTGGAACTGATGGATAGTTTATTTTGAGATCATTTGAAAATTGTGACATCCTATACCAATCAAATCTGCGTCATTTTTCAAGAAAAGAAATTCAAAGATGTTGCTGAATTTCCTTTTTATTTAAATTAACTGAAAAAATATCCGAATGGTTACCTGCTTCATCATTCTAATAAATCTCTAGCAAGAAGATTTCACTGATAATCAATGAAACCTCTGAACGGTACGTGCCAGCAGAATAAAAAAAAAATTTAACAAATTTTGAGAAATTTCTGCAATTGAAAATGGTGCAGTGAAGGTACAGCAATAGTTTTAGTTATATATATTTTTAAGGCCTCTCTAATTTATATACGGATCAACTATATCGTTATGCTGCTAGACCTGGATGTTCAAGAGAAATACCGACATGTGGATCGCAATATTTATTTTGCGATACGCGTGGTAGCCCACATTGTGTGTCAAAAATTAAGTTCGGAGGTATTTGTACCGGTTTCGAAGGTTTCGATGCGTGTTATAATGGGAACTGTATAATGGAACGTTGCGTTCCTGGACCAACACCTGCAGTAAGGAATATTTCTTCTATAATAGATTTTTGTTTATCATAAGTCCATTCATAATGAATCGATTCAGTTCATGGTTCGTAGATATTCAAGATTCTGATTTTTACTAATAATTATGTCATTTTCTATCGAGGATAAAGCTGAAAAAAAAGTGAAATTTTTACAGCCATTTGTACTGACCACTCAACCTTTGTCAACAACACAAAGGCGAAGCCAAAGTATGCGCAGTAATAGAACTTTTGCTGGTTGTTTTAATCGTAGTCCATGTTGTGAACAATGGAGTCGCAAAGGAGCATGTCGTAGGAATAGAAATTATATGAGACAATTTTGTAGAGCAGCATGTGGAATTTGTCGCCCAACCTACAATATCAATGATGGTAAGTAGTAAAAGAGAATAAATCGAGTAAAATGGAATTGAAAAATATTTTAGAAATTCCTTTTTTTGATTTTTATTCAAATAATAGGTGTGTAAACAGAATTATACAATAGCATCTGAATTTTTTTAATTTTTTGAGAATGTGCTGATCGGCATTCATCTTGTCGCAAGTGGGGACTCGAAGGTCAGTGTCAAGGTAATTCTGGACATTTTATGGAGGAAAATTGTCGAACAACATGCAACTTATGCCGTATTGCTAAAAATACCTCATGCTCATCATTTTAAGCTATTTTTTATTTTCATTCAATGTATATTTTATACATGTTTTTATCTTCATTTATTTATTGTCTTCCTAATGTAATCATCTTGTTCGCTTTATTCGATTTGAAGCAATACGAGTCGTTAATTTATCATTTTATCCATTTAAACCAGTGCACACAATGATTAAAAGACGTTTACTAATAAAAGTCTCCCTTCCACTTAATAAATGGTACTTGCAGATAGAACTAAAGGTGACTCCAGTACCATCTAAATCTTACTTCAATTTGTGTTTTATAAGAACTTTTTGCAATAAGAATTTTTTTAAGGTTTAGAAAAATAAAGATCTTAAAATTTAAAATATTAAATATTTGCAAGTTAAAAGCCTAATTGAAAGGCTATTCTTTCTTACATTAACACTAAGTAACGTGATATGTCGCATAAATGTTATAAAATTTTTATTAATTTTATTCTTGTATTTATTGCATTTATTATATATTATATATTGTGTCTATTTTTCATTTAAATTCTTGATCATTTGAATCAATTATTTTAACTATTAATGCTAGGAGGTAGAATGGCTCAAGGGAGGTAGAGGTAGAGGGTTTCCATTTCGGAGCACTGATATGTGAGATGAATGGAATTGTTTTTCAAAAATTCACCTATACTTCGACTACCAAATGACAGAACTTATCTGGTCTAACAAATCAGTGAAACAGGATCGAAAATGGTGAACACTCTTGGAAAAAAAAGGGTCATTTTACACTTAACACTAGTGCAATCCAATATTTCTCCTAATTTTTTATCGATAATTTGCTCATTTTTTGTTTTATTTTTAATTTTTTACTCTTAGAAATATTTTTTAATTTTTCAGTCTTTCATTCATCCATTTTATTAATTTAATTAATAAATGCAAAAAATAATTATAAATTTGAAAAATAAAAAAGTCAATAAAAGTAAATACAGGCTTAATCATATTTAGTTCAGCATTGTGGCCGTGGTTGACATTGGTTACCACATTCTAGATTTTTCTTTCGTAATTATACGAAGTTATTTTTAAAAAAAATTCTCTATTTACCCTCTATATTTTTGAACCTTTAGTGTTGTTCCCAGTTCTCCTTAAAATTGTAACACTGGCTCATAAGGTCTCGCAATTTGGCAGCTAAGATTTTATGATGCCTAAGATGACTTTCCACGCTGTAGTGGGAGGCAGATTATTAGCTAATATTGGATGGTGTATGTGTGTTAACCAGTGGTTTTTTGGAAAAAAGGGCATTTATCTTTTTGGCCTCTGTTTCTCTGATATATCGCTTTATCATCTGCTTCTGTTTGGTCCTTAGAGTTTCGGATGGTTCATTCCAGTAGCTACAACAGGCGCTAGCTCCTACACTTTTTCAATAGTCGAACCCTATCTTTGATCTCTATATTCTTCTATATTTCTTCTAAATTTTCTATATTTCTGCTGGCTAGCTAGCGCGATGTGCTTTGATTTTATCCTCCAGCTTTATTTTCCAGAGGACATGTGTTGTTATTTTTCTTGGTCTATAGCCAAGTTTCACCAAAATTATACCGTATATCAATTTATTGGTTTCTGTTAGGATGATAGTTATCATAAAGATTTCAAATTTTCAAGTATATATGCACGATGATATGTTTCCAGCGACCTTGATAGTCGGTCTAGAAGCTTGTTTATTATGTTTTGCCTTGTGTCAGCTCTTTTTCAATGAGAGTGGTGAAAGATTCCCAGCTTCCTTCGTTGGCTGCACATTCTTTTGAATTTCTTCTGGTTTGCCTTGTATGCAGAGATGCAGAGATCTATCATACGAGTGGGAAGAAAGTCTAACTGATTTTCAATTATTTTTCAATTAATGGCAAGTCTTTTGATTCTCCAAAGCTTCTTCATACATTTTCGTTTCCTCTTATCGTGTCTACTATTTTAATAGCATTTCAGATCCAGATGTCTTGTCGATATAAGATCATTCCAGTAGCTCTTTTAACGCCAGATTGCTCTGAGTCGTTTCCACTGTGCTGTCCCAGTTGCAATCAGATCCTAATTTTTCAACATTTTACTCGGGCCTTGTTAATTAGAAATAATATGACTTCTTAGATACTTCGAGTAGAACATGTAAACCTTCAGAGGTTTTCCCCTTTGTTCTTGCGTTCTATATTATAATGTTATATAAAATGGCAACAGAGCCTAAAAATAAATAAGTCACAGCAATCCCCCAGAGGAGGAACCAGTTGCCATTACGGTTGCAATATCCAACAGTGGGTTAAAAGCATGAAAATCTGGACAGCACTTGATTTAAAATTCACACTTACTGATTAAGAGATTGATTAAGAGACTGATTAAGAACAGTTCAAGAATGTCTAGCTATATAAATGAATAAGTGAGCTGCTTACGTTAGGCTCTCACCCAGATTGGTTAAAGGAAGTTGATCTTCTCGTAAAGGAGTATTCAATTAAACGAACAATAACCTGCCTTCCCAATGTGAAAATTATCAGGCATTATTTTTTTAAAGGGCCCTCACCATTATTGGTTAGATTCGCTTCGCAGACCTTCCGACCAAGTCCCTTGGCGATAGAAATACAGGTAAGTCAACAGCATCATCTGGATTCTTGGACAAACTTATTTTTGCAGGAAATATAACCCCAGCATCAGCACTCCGAATTAAGCAAAAACCTATTAAGCCATTTCGCATCATAGCCATCAAGCTACAAGATCATAAGTATATAAACATTGGGAACAACAAGTAGATAAGAATCAGATAAATAGATCAGCACTGGTGATAGATATAGCAATACAAGCGACAGGAACGTCAAGAAGTGGAATTATGAAAAGCTAGAAAAATATCAGTGCCTGAAAGAGGAACTAGAAGATGTGGAAGCTAAAGGCCAAAGTAATTCCAGTGATAATTGGAGCATTTGGAACTGTGATCCTTAAAATTAAAAGTGGCTTCAACAGATTCTAGGAACAACATCATCAGAGATCTCTGTCCAGATGATCGCTGATAGGAGTTAAAATAATGCCTCTGGTAGACAGTTGACAATGATTCTTACCACTCATAAGAAGCAAGCATCTCTCTTTTTTTTAATTTAATTTATAATTTATTTTAGTTCTTTGCCTAAGAATTTCAAAATTTAAAAAAACTAGCTTAAATGTTATAAAAAATTTGATGTTTCAGAAATGACGTGACAAAATAGCAGAGCGGATTAGAAAACGACCACTCAATAAATAAATTTTTAAAATTCGATTATCATTTCCATAGAATTAATTTATTAGTTTCTACTGCATAATTCATCGCCTTGGTTTTATTTAATAAATTTAATAAATTTTAATTAGGTGGAATCGTTGAATTTTTTGTTGAAATATAAAATTTACAACTGAATGATTAGTTAGTTTTTCGAAAATCTTAGTAAGGAGACATATATCTTTTAGTTTTGAAATCGTTTAAGGCAAACTTTTCGCCCAAAAAATCCCTTCAGCTTGGTTAGTGCTAAGAAAAATTTCTCTTCTCTTCACATAGGCTTTATATGGATTATGTATAATTATAGGTTATTTTTTGTCGTAAAATTTTTTTCCTGTGGAAAATACCTTCGCGCATAGTTTTTTTATCTACGATAATCTTTAAAGCCTAATCACTTTGAAAATAAATTTTTTTAAATGCTTTTAATAAATACATAAGAACAAATTAGAGAAGTAATTTATATGGAAATATCTGTTGCGAAAAAGTCGGAAATACTGCTAACTTTACTGGGATTTATTTGCAATGTTATAAGTAAAGAAAATGCTATGTTTCAGTTAGAGAAAATGAAGATGCAATTTTTTTTCATGCTTGAGACTTGCGATCAAATATAAATAAATCGTCAAAGTCTTTGGAAAAAATGCTATTTTATAAAAATCCTCCAGTAATACACATGCAATAATAGGAGATTCATATTTGATGTACTTTTTTCTGGTAACTGAATTCGCAAAAATTCTTTGACGAATTGCATGAGAAAAAAACGTAAGAAAGAGTAGTTATTTTAAGTAATTCAAACCACTTTTTCATTATATTTCTAAGGTTTTTGAATCAGATTATTCTAAATTCCACTAATTTATGACTGCAAGGTTTCTCGATAATAATCGAGTTATTAATCGAGTTTTGACTTTCACAAACTGGATTTACATCAACAGTTTCATTATCAAAGAGAAGATTACTGAACTGCGATTGGAAATTAAAGAAATGGATGAATAATTTTCAAATGTATCTTAAAACAATTAGGTGAAATGTATCAACGAGTTCGAAAATGAAACTTTTAAATAACAAATTAAATGGCATGAAACATTTTTATATTTACCCCCCCCCCCACACCTAAACCAAAAAGGATGAAAAAAGAAATTGAGCTAGAGAAATCATGTTTCGAACAACATTTTATCAACAGTGCAGTTAGCGATGGATTTTAATTAAGGCACAGCAATATGTTTAAACAACCAACGATTATCCGCTTACGTTCAGGTCATCTCAAACGAATTATTTTTTCGATCACCTAAGTGGTCACGTCTCTCACCGTCGGGTGGTTCATTAGTCTCTGGCCGAGGCAATTTCCGTCCTGGATTCCTGTCACGAGCTGTCGGTAACCGCGTATATTTAGCAGATCCATTACTTGCATTCAAGGTAATTAGACGCTTATTTTGCTTAATTTTTTATGCCTTTCCAAGAAATTTCTTTCTTCTTTTATTCTCGTTTTTTTCAAAATCAATCTTTCCGCGATTTTTCTTGAATATTCGAGAAAAAAATCATCTCTTATAGAAATCTCATATCTTCCTAAAAATCAATGGATGTGAATTTATTCAAATATTCGAATTCGAAGTATAAAAATGACTGTAAGAATCGAAATAAATAAGAAAAAACTTTAAACAGTGAAGAAAAGATAATTTGTTTTTGATATAGCCTTCCCTAAATCTGGAAAGAAATTCATTTAAGTACGAAAACCCACGAAATTTATGGTAAATAGCACCTCTCGAAATTGGAAATATTTCGCTCCCTATGGGTGGTATGGGCCATCCTCAAGCTCGAATCCTCTACCAGAGATATAGGAGTCTTAGAATTCTCTGCAGCGCGCTCTTCTGAACACAGATTTCAGACAGTGTTCATGAAATCTGTTGTCGCTATTTTTCCAGCTTGAAGATTCCGATCCTTTTATCACCACTGGAATCACTTTCTTTTTCACTTTCCACATCTTTTCTGACCCTCCTTTCAGCTCCTCGTGTTTCTTTATATATTTCCTTATATAAAAATGTATAAATTCTTTTTTGAGCCTATAATTTAGAATTAAATAAATATGGAGAATATTTTCAGATCGTAAAAATAAGATTTTCACTGAGAAATCTCATTGAAACATGAGAAAATAAAATTTTTCTATCTTAAAATTGAAAATTTTCAAGTTTCAGAGGTCCGAATCAATTAACGACAAAAATCCACTCTATTAAGATATCCAAGATCAAAAGCACTGACTAAGTAAAAATTGTAAAATGTGCGATGTGCTAAGCTGTATAATCTTTCGTATCAGTTTCAATCTCAGTGATTCGTTTATCAAATCAAATCAAACAAGAAAGGAGAAAAAGAATTTCTTCAAAATTTTTTCATCAATAAAATAATTCACAAATCTTGCTGTCAACAAAATATGAAAACTGAAATCTCATTGATTTTCACTGGATTTTGGAAATTTAAAACTATCAATTAATTATTAAAGATACTATAATATAAGACACTATTATTATTATTACTATTATTATTATCATTGTCATTATTATTATTGTTATTATTATTAAAGACACTATTTTTTTCAAAAAAAAATCTATTTTTCAACTTTTCCCCTTGAAAATCGTTGAAATTATTTTTGAAAAATAAGTATTTTTTTCGCAATATATTAATAATTAAGAGGATTTTTGAAAGTTTTCTTAATTCTTTGTGACAATATTAGAATTTTTTCTAGAATTGCAATGTTCCTTATCAATTTTATTTTTAAATTTTGCAAAAATTTTCAAACATTTATATAAAAAAGTGTCATGAATGCCATGACCAATCTCTCTCGATTGATGCTTTCTTAATTGTCATTGATTCCCTTATAATATCCATTAAACCTCGTTGTATCTGCTGTGAGTTTATTTAAAAATTAGAAAATTAAGCACTTGAAAAATTTGAACAATAATACCGAAAGCATCAAATAGTGAAAGAAATTATAAAGAAAAATTCTAAGGAAAAATTTCTATTTAACAAGGGAATTCGAAATTAATAAAGAAACAATTTTTTTTCTTTCTAAGAGTGCTTCTGGTTAGCCTCTCTCGCTGAGTTTATCGGACAAATTTTGCTATGGAGTTAGCGAATAAGCCGCCAGCATTATCCGGATGGTTCTTGACAAGCAGGCTTGCTCGTGTAGAAGCACAGCATCGTCGTTCCGAAATGTGACTAACCACTCACTGAACCTTTCTACTCATTATCGTTATTCTTATTATTATTATTACTATTGTTATTATTATTATTACTATTTATTATTATTATCATTATAATTTTTCCTAAAAATTTTTATCTATTTAAATAAAAATTAAGCAGCGCATATAGCCATAGGAAAATAGAAATAAAAAATAAATGTTAGTATTAAACGATATTAATTAAATAAGAGACGGAAGATGGAATATAACTATACTATACTATTAACCAGTGAACGAAGGATGCAAGAATGAACTAAATGATACCATAGGTAATTTTGCCCAGTTAATTTATTTTGTACTGGTGAGGCAGAAACCAGCTCAGTATTCCACTAGTCAACTGGACGAAGAAATTATAAAGCACTTCCTCAGACCCGCAAATATCTTTTCGTATTTTCATCCCACCATCTAAGCATTATATTGAAATTCAAGAGGTCATAAAAAAATTTTCATACTACTCCGAAACCAAATGTAATCTTTTAATATTATTTTATAAATTATCTTCCTTCTTTCTTCTTGACCCTTACTGAATCTAAATTATATATTTTAAGTTTCATATGTACAATTAATAGTAGGATACGAATGCAAAATAACTTTTTCAAAGTTCCCAATTAATTTAACTGATTTCTTGAAAGCAGATTCCTATGAGAGCAATAGACTAAGACTACGATGTATTATAAATGTGAATATTGTACATTACTTATATTTATAAGGAAAATTAGAGGCTCTATTTCTAATACTTCCAAAAGATCCAAGCAAATAAAATTTGTGGTGATTTTTGGGTTATACTTCTGTTTTGTAGATCTAAGATTATTATTAATAGTTAAACCAAAATCCGATACAATTGTATTAATTGCAATATTATATTTACATGCTAATACAATTAACCTTAATAGCATTAAAAAATATTGGAGGAGAATCGGCAAGTTTATTTTAATGTTTGAAATCATGTGCCTTATAGTAGATAATTTAATTTGCTATCATGCAAGCCACTAACCAAGCGTTTACATCTGGATGAATTATCCAATCTTTCATGCACAGAATAAAAGTGATCAGCAAGAGAAATATTAGGATAACAGATAAAAAAATCTCTTTCCTACTATCCTAAGGATCATCCCCCAACTTTCTCCACCAGAGGCCTGGAAGATTGAGGGTTTTGCGCAGAGGGGACTTGGCTGTTCCTAGCAGTGCTCGTGCTCTCTTGTGGATAGAGATCTCTTATCTCATACTTCACAGAATCATTTCTATGGTAGGTATGTTACAAAATTGTGCCGAGATCACAATATTAGTAATGGAATTAATATATATGTATTTTTTACAGAATCCTCACCATTACTGGTTCCACTGGCTTTTCGCATTGGGCAATATGCCAGGGAGTCCCATGGCAATAGCAATACAGGTGAGTCATCACCCGAATTTTGGTACAGGTTTACTTCTGTGGAGAACCGAACCTCAGCATCAGCGCTCCCAATTGAGCGACAACCCACTGAATCATTCTATCCCTAATATATCAATGAAATTACCTTATGGCACATTTATGGTCGACCCAGTCTAGGCTAAACGGAAATCGAGTCTTCATACTAATGCGATCAACAATAATAAAAATAATCATTCAGAATTCAAACTTCCTCGCAAGACTCATATTATCAGTGGCTGTAATAACTATTATCAGTGGGGTGGTAGCTTAATATTAAAGTCAAGAGACAGAAATCGAATATGAATAGGCTGCGATCAGTAGCGAATGATCGATCAGACAGGTCTTTAAGTGGTATGGGAACTTTTGTAGAAACCATGTTAAAAAACAGAAATCAGATTATTGGCCTCAAAGAATTCTTTAGCCAATTTTCCTATTGCCAACTGCTACATATAGCACTAATAGGACGACAATTAGAGGAATTATATCTATTCCCCTTCGTTGGTGTTATGTAAGGTCTTTCAAATTTTAGGATTTCAACCAGAACTTAAAATATCTTTATAGATGATTAAAGATAAATTAGAGAGTGCACAATTTTTTACATGAAATTTGTGATATTTTATCGAGAGTAGTGCATAGTGATGATTTAAGTTGTTATATTAATGTGTGATAAATAAGGTGATAAGCTAATCCAGATAACAGTCATTTCGACTGAGTATGTAAATATATAAGTGCATTACTAAAATTACGATATATTTGAAATACCATTTGCCTTCATAACACGGTATCCGAAAAATTTTCCCATTTTCCCATAGCCAAGTCTTATTACCAAATTTTATTTCCACAGAGATTTCGATAATTTATTTATTGAAAATTTATAAAAAATTAAAAATGAATTGCATTTTTGAGAATTTCTAAAGAAAAATTGCAATTTGACGTGAATAATTTTTTGATGAAAATTCCAAAAAAAATTTAAAATAAAAAAATTGAAAATTTTATTGTTTTTTCACTGAAAATTATCATTTATGTTCGTATTTACCGAATAATAAATTGGTAAAAACAATTTTTACAAGATAAATTCGAAAATAAAGAAAGTAATTCGAAACGAAGCGAAGAGTTAGCTAATTGCTTAGCGAAACACTGTAACAATTATTTCAACAATTATTTCATAGGAAATGCATTAAATGCATTCGTTTCTGTTCCAGTTTTGGAGCAAATTGGATGGCAGTCGGTTGCGACAACCTTCAAAACACTCCCTCGCATCGGCGATTTTTCGCAGCGCTTTATTTCTCGTCAAGCATAGAAACATTTTCGAAAAGAATCACGTGGAATGCACATATTTTATTAAAATTAAAATTTTATATTTTATTAAAACATTTAATTAAACGAATAAAACAATGTTCTTTCCTATCAATAATTCAGAATAAAATTTAGAATTTTTTTTCAGCGATTCTAGAGGCTGCGAGCGTTGTGATGGCTGCAGTGGCCATAATCCATGACTGTTCCAAGATAACTATTAGGACCATGGCGGCTATAATGACACGATACCGGCACTGCGACTCGAGCAAGGCAGGTTTTCTAACAACTGCTGCCGTGGTGGATTTGAGAACGAGTAGAAGCCAATGCAGGAAGACAAACTGGGAGCGATGGCAACGACATTTCAGGAAGAAGAAGGCATTGCACAATTCACTGTTATCTGGCATGCCCTGTTCATATTTTTAAATTCTAGCAAAAGATAGAAAATCATTTTATATGAAGCTACAAAATATTGGAAGTGCCTTATCTCGAAACGATTGTTTATTTCCAATACATTTTGGTGAATCTGAACTATGTAAGTCTTGATTTATGAAATAATATGTCATCGGCGAGGTGCATTCATCCCCTTTGTTCAAATCAATCAACGAGCGCATATACACCAACAAGCAGTGATTTTGTTCATCGTAAGGTCCTTAGGTGAAATTTTGTTATTAGGTTTGCTTGAGTTTCAGGTTTACTTTTGTAAGTCCAAAAGTGGATGAAATTAAAAAATTTTGTTTAATGAAGTGTAAATGCATTTTATAGAACGAATTTTATTGACCATTTTTTGAAAACAGCTTTAGTGCAAAGAATTTCCTTTCTTGAGAAATTTATTTATTATTTATTATTCAAGAAAAATAATTCAAAATTTTGATATTTTGAGGAGAAATTTCCATTCATAAACAACGTTTAAAGTGTCAAAAAGAAATTATTAGTGTGTTGGTACGTTTCCTCATTTTTTGATTTATTATTTAATTTGCTGACTATTAATGGGTCACTTTCTGGAATCTTTGAGGCAAGCAGTGGCAGCAATGTGTATGCAAGCCGGGTTTGAAACGGTCGAGTCCGATGTCTTGGAAATACTTACGCACATGATTAATTCGTGTATGTTTCTTGTTCTGTGAGTGCTTAAAAGTTTTGAGACTTCTGAAAGCATAGAAAGCAAAGCATAAAAGATTGTGAGTAATGCTCATAATATTAATAATAGTTCGGGTTCGCCTGCTGAATTGGTTTTTGATGTAATTCATGGAATTGTTCAGTGGCATAGGATCATTTTAAACGTTACAGATTTATTGGAACTCGGCAACACAACAAGGCAGTTAACTGAGTTAGCAGGACGCACTGTTTCCACGCCTCATGATGCTGTAATGGCTCTAATCGAACTGGGCACGCGGGTCATGGATTTGCCTCTCTTTCTAAACGATTGCTCCAATCATGGTACACTTGTCATTGGACCTCGTATGTTTAATGACAATTTGCATTTTATTTTTTTCATTCATCCTTTATCTTTTGGTATATCGCATTTATTAAATGTTAAATTGGTGAAAGTTGAGAAAGAAAAGCTATTGGACTAAGTGCTCTCATCTATTATTCCATTTTCAATATTTTTAAATATGAAATATGAAAATTAGAAATTATACACTTAATTTTTCAGCAAAACTTCCACCGATCGTAACCACACCCAATGCTTTACGTGTTGGTGCCACACGGTTTCACCAATCATTTTTTTCTGATGGTCTTCCGGCTCTTCCTGATCCTCATACTTATATCCGCACAGAAGTATTTTACCAGTTTTTTTAAATATTTAGTTTAATATATTTAGTTTAATATATTTAATTTAGTTTAATATATTTAGTTTAATGTAATAATTTTCGTATTTCCGTATTGTTTTCGTATTTTAAGATATCGGGTGAACCCGAACTGACGTATGAAAAAGTCCGCGATGATTTTGCGAATTTAAAACGCAATTCGGAATATTCCTTGAAAGATTTCATGTTACGTATCCATCCTTCAGTATCTTTGTTCAATAGTTTCGAAAACATGTTACGGCGGCAAGCCAAACAAATCGTATCTTTTTTATATTTTGTACTCTTCTTATTCCTTATTCCTTCTTTTTTTTCCCATACATTAATTTATTTAAATAAGGAACAAGCTTGGCTAAATGCACGTGCGCTGGTGTTAGAAGGAAAAAATAAATGAATAAATAAATATGCATTTATAAATAAATGCAACAGAATATGCATTTTGACCTTTTTTTGCACATTAAAAAAGCTTTTTTCTTCCTCCATGCCTCATGAATATCCTTAACCTCTACCATAGGCCTGGGAAGTTGAGGATTCTGCGGAATATTTTAGATGTTCTTAATAGTGCGCTCTGGATGGAGATCTCTTATATTATTCCTGAAATTTACTGAAGCCACTTTTCTAGTTTATGGATCACAGTTCCAAGTGTTCCTGTTATAACTGGAATTACTTTCGCCTTCACTTTCCACATCTTCTTTGGTTCCTCTTTCAGCTCTTGGTTTTTCTCTATTTCTTCTTCCTGAAATTCCTGTAGGTTACTATTCCTATATCTATCACCATTGTTAATTTCTGATTTTTGTCTACTATCACAATGTCTGGTTGATTCATCAATATTTGTTTTTTTATCTGGATGGAGTCCCACAGGACCTTATTTTCACGATTTTCTAGTGATTCTCCCATCTAGTCTTGGAAGGTCTAAGCCTGAGCAGATATCCCTATACATCCTACCACCATGTGCTGAGGTATTTCTGAGGTATTTTTTATCTGCACTTAGAATTTTGTCTATTGTGTTAGATTCAATGGATCTGGTGCTTAGTACATTTTTTTGTGCTGCTATGATCAATGTTTCAGCGTTTTATTTTAGATCTGCTTTTCCCAGTCACTAGTGGGATTTATCAGTGTTATCTGCCTCAGCTATTCGTCGATGGTACAGTCTATGGAGACTTCGCCATGGTACTTCTTGTGCTTGGTCTCTTTCCAATGTTTCTATATGCTTCAGACATTCTCTGAGCAGTTCATCCTTTGCTGTCATACTATTGATATATTTCTGAATGTTTCGAGTTTCCTTCAAGACGATGGCTTTCATACTCGATAAGCTCCACCTATCTTCTTTTCAGCTGGTGTGCAGTGTTTGGGTGTTGGGTCTTTGTGTGGAAATTTTCGTGCATTATGAGGAGTTGCGTACCTGATAACTGACGGGGCGTATATATTTATGGCATGGATTTTGTTCTTCTCATTGAGCTGGCTGTTCAAGATTTGTCTTGTCCTTTGGTGATACTTAAATATTGCAATCTTCTCTACCTCCTTATCTTGCCATGTGACTGTGGGATATACTAAGGTACTTGTAGTTAGCCTGTATGTCCGTCATATGTCCTGGTGGCCACTCTATTAGTTATTATTACTACTTTTCCTCTCTTTGGTACCATTGGACCACATTTCGCTAATTCGAAAAAATTACTATAATATAGCAGCATAACAGTATATATATTATATATTTATTATTTAGTTTTTATATATTTATAATATAGTTAAGCCAACAAATTTTGCATGGGTCAACACGAATACTGGAAGAGAAGGAAATAAAACAGGAAAGTTTGAATGGTATAGAAAATAATGCTGTGGAACCAGTTGATAGCTTTAATGGAACCGAAATTAAGGTTAATTATGCAATTACATGCAGTCTTATCACTCATATTTAATTTTTATTCCGCAGTTTTTCAAGATATGTTTTTTTTCTTTTCTTTATATTCCCATTTTATCTATATCAAGTGGCTTTTGAGAGGAATGGTGAATAATTGAGAGTGATCTGCTTCTGTAGTTTGTAGTTTGATTTTCAGTTGGAAAATTCTTTCATGGACTGTTCAACTTCAATTTCTGCAATTAGCTCAGATCCTTTTTTGTTGGACGATACTGAGATCTCACTTATACGAAAAAAATTACCAACTTATTGCCAAAGTGGGTTCACATCTATCTTCATTTTGTCGAAATTGCATTTTATTAAATTTTTTTTGTCACAAATAATTATACATTAAAGAAAAAAAAAAGATTACTTGATTGATCTCTGGCATTTATAATTTACAACAGAATGCTTTTTTTTAGTAATCGAATCGAATTTGGATAATAGACCATATTTTGGAGCATCTTTATGTGATGAACTTGGTGAAGATCATGCAGAAATGTCAAGTCCAGAGCTGAACGCTGATAATAATATGGTAGGAAATAATGCGCCAGTTGATGAGGAAACTGTGCAAGATGTTAATCCGTATCTTCAAATATCTAGAATGGCAGTTTTGAACCGTGATTCTAAGGAGTTACAATAATGTTTTTTTTTTGTCTTATTATAATTCATTTCTCTCTCTCTATCGACAGAAAAAAATATTTTTTTATATATTGAAACAATATGTGACGAGAGAAGACAGCTTGGATAAATATTTATTCAAAAAAAAGAAAATATAATTGATATTGACATAATTGATAAGAAAATAAATATTAGAGAATCACTGAATATAAAAGATGAAAAATAACGGGTAAAAAATCGCCAATTTTGAAAATAAAAAGAGATTATTGGTTAATAAATTTATTTAATTCCCCCGTAAAAAATCCAGATCCTTTTGATGATTTTGGACCAGCGTTCGATGATGATGATGAAGTCAATATTCTGAATTTTTATTGGTTAATCCTTTTTATGTTATGTTTTATGTGTTATAAAATGTTTTTTAAATGTCAATAGTTTTTTTCTTATATTTAAAAAGGAAATTAGTCTAAAAAGTTTGTAAATTACTGAAAGAAACTATGGGAAGCACTGTTTTTTAAAGGAAATAATTACGTGTTGATTAAGGAATCTCTTTTTCCTCCATAAAATATGGTTCGACTCCCCAGGCGCTCTGGACTACGGCGGCTAAAACCACGTAAGCTATAATAGTACGGAAGAGACAAATCCGATGTATAATAAGGAGATACTCTGTCGTAATAGTATGGTTTATAGAAACGGCCTAAAACACGCACAGATTAAAGATAAGCATTATAATGCAATGTTGATGGATATTCCTTGTGATTCCAGAAGTATTATTTAATTCTGAAGAGTTCAAAGATGCAGTATTTTGTGAGAAATTTATTTCTGGTGATGAAGTGCTCATAATCCGTAATTAGTGGAGCCAAAAACAAGAAATGGAATGTCTTTAAAAGTCGCTAAAATCGTAAATAATCTATTTCAACTGACCTCCGCCATCTGCGATTCGAGGATATGTTATCCATGGATTGCCACTATCGAAATAAGGTACATCGCCAGTTATTGCAGCGAGTTCTGCGAGACCACCACCGTCACCGAATGATTCGTGGATACATAGGGTAATGATATGAAATGCAATGATGACTATTTCTAAAATATTTTCATTGAAGTTGTTGATTCAAAGAGATCATCAAAGAAGTATAAAAACAAGTATTTCATGGAAACAATTATTTCATGAAAAAAAAAATCGCAGTTGTTGAGATGGTAGTAATTTTATCTTTTTGGCATAGAAAAATGACTTTGGTAAATAAAAAGAAACGGAAGGAAGGACCGATGCTTTCAGAGATTTATTGCTAGTGACACTGGCGATTCACCTATAATTCTACCACCATGGTGATTCCTTCGCAAATATTTCTTACCGTATTAACAACCAGTGGAACAAGCATAATCGGAAATCGGGAGCATTAGCCACTGTTGACCATATTTATTTAATATTTTAATCATTTTCAATTTCTAATTTCTTCAGTATGAGTATAAAACGCTAAAAAAATGGGACAAACAAGCAATAATAATATAATATGAACGAATTGTAAATGGTTCATTGGAGATTGATTATTTAAGTCGATCGGTCTTTTCTTCTGATAACATATATTACTTCTGGATTGCTTGACTGATTACTAGGATAAGGCTAAAGATTCATTTAGGGAATAGAAATGCTGAGTTTTCAGTAACCATCTGATATTTTTCTGATATTTAATGAGAATTTTTTTTGCCAAGAGGCGAAATTGTTCTATTTACCGCAGTCGAAGCAACATGTTAATCAACTGACCTGTTTTGGATATCCATCGGCTTAATTGTTTAAAAATTAAATTTTATGAAATAAGGATACGAAACTAACCAGCAACTGCAGTCTTCATGCTGATTCACACAATGTTCTTTAAGAATATTTCTGAATTGAGGGCGTTCAATAGAAAAAGAATCCTTGAGACGCCATAATTCGCCATCGGCCTTCACCTTTAAATATTTTTCCACAGTCGTCGCGAATCAGGTTCTTATAGTCATCATCTAATCATGCTTATCAAATTAAATACATCGTTTCCTTCGTGCGATTCTCAATTCTTCGAATCAAACGCACGTCTTCGATGGATGTTATTGCATATTGTTTTACTAAAAATGCATCTTTGAAACATCGAATATCATTGCTGAATGGCGTCCAAATTATAATGCATGAATATGCAATACGAGTAAATTAAAGAAAGTAAGTAATGCTTTCACCTCAGCATTTTTTGCGCCTCGCATTTTCAAACTCCGTAAAAATTGGACGAAATCTCAGAAATTCAAAAAAACTTAAGAACTGAGCCGACCATCGGACGTTAGGAAAACAGAAAAGCAAAATATGAATTCTTCATTTATTCTTTCTTTTCTATCGCTCATGGCATTTATTTTTATTCTACATTTTTCAGCTCTGCTTTACGGCATTACACTGCTGTATTGAATAACCCCACACTGCACTTTACATACCTTTTCCTCGAAGAGTTATTTGGGAAATAGAGTGGATTAAATTATTGGTTTTTACTGTTTTTACTTTTCATCATGATATAGATTTCTTAGTAGCCTTGACATTTAATTTATATTACTATTGAAATGACCATAATGTCAACGTAATGGAAGAAAGATAAATAAATTGTAGGTGTGAAGGTTTCATCCAAATTTTCCTGCATATTTTCTTCGTCACTTAAGTTTTCATTTGAATGCATTTTATTTTAGAATTTGCAGAAAAGGCATCGTTGAGCATAATTCGGTGTTGTGATGGCACCATTCGGTGCCATTCATTTAGCTTGCAAATCCATGATTTAACAATGGACCATTCGTTTAGCACCCTCTTGACACTACCTAATTTCGGACTCTGGACCAACTGTTCGGATAATTCTAACATGGCATCTATTAATCTTCAAAGAAGATCTTGATTTATTGAATAAATTTTTAAGTATTCTTTAATAAAAAGGATTAAAAGTATTATACACCTGTAGATTATTGGGAAATTTATGCAAATAAAATTGGGTGAAATTGGATTTTTTGCTACCAAATTTGTAAAATTCTTTGAATGATCATCGGAAATTAAAAAAATTCTGTAATTTATTCTGAATCTGCTCTTTCATAATTATTGACGTATATTTAATTCCTATTTCTTTCTGTCCAGGTTTCTTTAATTCATGAATATTTTTTTAGTTCATGAACCATTTATGACATACTCAAAATGTTCTAAAAATTTATAAAAAATTTCAGTCATAAAATTTTTTACATTATTTTATATTATTATTTGCAGAATAATTTTGAGCAAGTTTTAGCAAATAGAATCATTTTAGTATAAATTTTTTTTTGATTGCTATTTTAAGCCAGTGCCGATTTATCTTAATTTATCTGCAGCAAGATGTTTGGCAGACCATTTTTCAAATTCGAACAAATGGCAAAGGAGGATGAGAAAAACCAGAAAAAATATTGCAAATGTTTTCTTCCAGGATAAATGAAGAGAAATAAATTAATAAATTCTAATAATAATAATAATTAATAATAATAATAATAAATAATAATAATAAATAATAATAATAATTAGAATAATTATAATAATAATTATAATAATTATAATAATAATTATAATAATAATAATTAATAATAATAATAAAATAATAATAATAATAAAATAATAATAATAATAAATAATAATAATGATAATAAATAATAATAATAATTAATAATAATAATAAATAATAATAATTAATAAATAATAATTAATAATTAATAAGCAAATTAGGTTGACAAAAATATCAGATAAAAAAAAATTTATTGTATGATAAGCCTAAAACTAGCATTTTAATCTAATAAAATTGAGTTCTATTTTCCTAAAAATTTTTAGGAAAATTTTTAACAAAATAATTAAATCGATATTGATTTTGCAAACAAATAAAAGCTAATATATTTGAAAAGTATTTCGGAATATAATTTTTTTGCAATAAATAAAAATAAAATAAACAATAATAAAAGTGAAATTAACATAAATGAAGTGAAAATAAAGATGAAAAAAATGATAATAATTAATAATAATGGTAATAATTAGGGCAGTGCTGGGCACCAGTTAAATATCCCACCTGACAGCTAATGGAACCAGCCAACAAGAAATAATGAATGCAGTTGGAACAATTAATATTCACCATGAATGAATCATTGAGAGAAAATTATATTACTATTAGGGTAGGGTGAAACAAATAGCAAATCATCTATTTTACTTGAAATCAAGAATTTTGAAGATATTAAGAATAAGATATATAAATGGGAATTCAGCTGGCCAATTCTTTAAAATCTTGATTTGAAGCAGGTATATACAATAATTCAGGTATATACAATAATAATATCTTGCTCAGTCCTCAAAGTTTAAACATTACTTTACATAAAAATTCAGTTTTTGTAAGGTAATTTTTATAAATTGTATCCCTACTTTCTTTTAAAGAACTTTCTTCTTTTTACATAAAATTTGTTCATTTTCTTATTTTGAGAAGTAAAAGGATTGCGGTAATAACCAAAGCCACCATTGTTGACAATATTTTGGCTGTTATAATGGCCTGAAAGAAGAAATTTATTATTCTGTTTATATCCTTTTGAATCGTTCGAATAGTGATCTATGAACATAAAAAAACCGGTTCATGGATAATTTTAGCATTCTTGAAATGGAATACACGATGTATTAGGAGGGTGTTTTTAATGAAATTACGAATTGGTTTTCATCTAGAAAAATTGATTAAATCTGCAAGTTTATTTGGTAATCAGAGATTATTGCCTGAATTAGTTTTGTGATCAAAATCGACCAAATCGTGACCAAATCTCGATGCCAATGCATAAGAATCGATGCCATTCCCGTACAAAGTCCTCGTAATAGGTATAGCGTTGTTACCCACATTGCTCCCATAATTTAAGAGACCTTTATCTATATTTATGCAGCCGCTTCCGCAGGATTCTGGACATATACGATTCATGTGAATTGGATCGCTTGCGCACTGACCCGTGCTTGCCCAAAACGGACATTTTTCATTTTTGTCCTTGCAACTGAAAAAAGAATGAAAATCACCAATATTCGAAGATTTATCTCAAAAAATAAAAAAAAAGAAATTGATAAACCCCATATTTAAAGATAAATCTAAATAAGATAAATCTAAATAACTCCGTCTGAGATATATAGTGCTACCAATCTTGATCAGATTCATTCCGTTATCTGTTAGTAGGAGAATTTTTGCCATGGCGTTGTGATAGAAGTACATGTGGAACAATGGAACAATATGTCGAGTACTAAATTCTTTTTTAACATGATAATCTTTTTGCTATTTGATTTCACTTATTAACTATCCTGTAGCAAAGAGAAAACCATTCACTTAGCTATCCTATCCTTTAAAAAGGCAAAAAAGAGATGGTGAAACGAATGATACGATTGCCTTGATTGAAATCGAGGGCTCGACTGCTTTGTAGAGACGAATCTATCATTAAATCTGATTAAATTCTGATAGAGCTGATGACCCCATCTTTGCCTATATTCCCAAGAGATTCTCTAGTCAATAGACCTAATAAAACCAAAAATATGAGATTTAAATGAATATTGAAAATAAACTTAGAACTGGTTGGGCTTGTGGATGATAAGTCACCAATGCTGGAAATAATTGATGGTGGCACTTTATAGGGCATTGAATCTATAAAAAGAATTGTGATGTATCGCAATAGTTCACTAGATTTTTGGAACAATTTTTTCGTCACTAAGAAAATCCTAGCTAGACCATTATAAACACAAAACTATCTTAGCTATAAAATAGGTCCAAAAATTTTATATTAAAAATATACCACATCGTCCAAAATGCAGTTCTGGTTGTAGCGAAAAAGGATTTCTTGGCACCAAATTTTGAAAAGGATTGAGGAAATGGCATGGCAATATAGAAGGCACTTCAAGCAAAATTAATTACTGAGTATTAAGCAAAAAAAGTATTACTAATAGTCTATATTATCGTAATATAGGGAACTTAATTTAGGTAAAATAATTTTAATTAATTAAAATAATTTTTAAAAAGTTAAAATAATTTTTTAATAAATGTAATTTGGCAAAAATTTTTATGACCACAGAACTAATAAATTAGAAGCTATTTACTTTATATAATAGGTTATTAATTTTAGAGAAGAATCCTAAATTTTAATTAAGACGAATTAAGAATCATCAAAAAAAAGTACCACCGGTAAAAGGACCATGTGGCTTAAGCGCTGGTAGCAAACCAGGATACTGCAGCATATTACTAGTATCCGCCAGCCCTGGAAATCCAAAGTAAGGCAAGCCTGGCAACGCTAATCCCAATGAACCATAATGTCCCATCACTTGGCCTTGGTGTCCAAATATTCGATCAGTAGGACCATGACAATTTTGATTCGCTTGATTTATACGGAAAACTGGAAATAGCTGTGGGGTAGCAGTAACTAAAATCCACGAAGCCACTGAAATAAAAAATAAATCATAATGACTGTTATTTATAAAATGAAAATTGATAAAAGAAACTGCGCTATCTAATAATAACTTATGATAATCTTAACTATTAACTATTAATAGCTGCTGATGTTTTATTTCCTTAGTTTATTGCTTTTAACCACTTCCTTAAGGCAAGTTATCTTCCAAACTAATAATTCTTATTGTTTTTGATAAATTACTATTTATACTCTGGATAACTATCGCTAGTTTTATAAAGTGTTCACTAATCTGAATGAAGAAATTTTATTCAAATTAAAAAATCAAATTCTGAGCAAAATCGCCTGAAAATATCAAAAAAAACATGCCTGAAATATATATCAAAGACGATTTATTTGCAACCATGTCCGTACTTTAGATGGAAATTTTCTCGAAATATTTTCAATAGTTGACCGATGCAACTAATGATGCGATGATGAAGGGGATAGTAAATTCAGATAACAATAAGCCGACCGGTATACCATTAGGTTAAGCGGATCGTTATGGAAGCCAGAATTTCATTTTTGGGCAATTAATAATTTTATAATTTTATACTCTATTTTTTATTTGCACTGTGGTTCTATCGTTAAAAAAACAATTGATGTTTCGAGGGCTTTATATCTTGAAAAATGTAATTTTTTGCAGAAGTTAAATTATTAACTTATATATTAATCAATGTTTGCGCGAATATTTTAATCGCAACATCGGAAATGCTAGTTATGTTTTACTGATTGGAGGTGGAGAGGGATTATAACATGGGTTCGATTCTTTATAAAAGCTCTGGCATAAGCTAACGTATAATTAAAGGTGCACTACATGCTCGACAACACCTTTGTGCTGTTAAATCGTGGTTGAGACTCTTTCGAAAGGGCAAATGAATAACAGATATAGCACATATTTCTCTTCAACTTGGTTGTGTTTTAAATTACAGGTTAACCTGAATTAAAGCACTGGCATGAAGTTCATCGATAATCATTATCATCAGAAAAATCATTGAAAAACAAACGATTCTGGAATATTAAAATAATGTATAAATTAATTTTGACAAAATTTAAATATTTTATAAAATCGCTTCAAAATTTGCACTGGCTTTTCATTTTTTTACAAGTTTCTCATCTCACTACTTCATTTATGACAGAATTTTGTAAGTTTTTCAAAAACAAACACACACCTTTCCATTTCTTCTTTTGCTAGCTTTACTAATATGGATGGGACTTAGATAGCCTTTTCGCCATAGCGTGGTTTATTAATAGAAATAAGCGAGTGATCAGCACCACATGAATTTCGCTTGATATTTGGACTCCTCAAGATACAAGAAATGAACCAATGCTGCTTGTCCACAACCACAAAGTGACATGCAAGTGGTTCATATTCTAATTCATTTATTTATTAACTGTAAATAGTAAAACAATAAAACAATAAAATTTGACAATCTAATATTCATAATTTTGCATTTTTTAAAAACTGAAATTACGGTAATGCAGTAAATTTTACGCCCCCATGCCGCTTGCTAGCTTAATCGACAATTTTTTTCCTCAAGTTGGATTTTTAAACGATTATCAGAGCTGATAACGAATCGCTTATTGATTAATGCAGTATTTCGCACACGAATTCTTTAAACAGTTATTTTTTGACATTTGCCTTTATTCTTATCTAATCTATTCAATACGCATTTTAAAATACTTCGTCATTATAAAATATGTATATGAAAATGCTATTATAAAATATGATTTACTTGTGTGAATGTTGGCTAAATCGTATTGCTTTTGTTGGAATGCCAAAGTCATTTAGAAGGCAAATAAGCAACAATTCAGTCTCTGGAAGAACTTATTTCTCAAAAATTTCTATATGAAATGCTGAATGCTAAGCATATGATATTTTTTAATAAGATTAAGAAAAAAAGAAAAAACAGTTTAAAAAAATTAGCAAATCTTGGATGAGAAATACAGACTAAAGTCAATTAGAAGTCTGCCATTAATTCTTTGCTAAATCATTTCTCACAAATTCTATACGAGAAATTTTATATATTTATTTCCATACTTTTGTGAATCAAAAAGCAAAATTGTGATTTTATAATGATAACGATTATCGCGCGTTCACTAATTCGTTTGTAGTTCCATCAGTGCAAAAATAGAGTGTAAAACAGTGTTTTTATGTTTCTATAGCTGAAACTAATCTATTCTTGATTATCTTCACATCGGAGGTACTTATTTCTAATGGAAGGCTTCCTCCTGTCACGATGCTTTTGATAATAATTGAAAATTGTCAGTTAAATTCAATTGGGAATAAGCTTTTCTCTCAGCAAAATGAATTTGCGAGATATTTTTGAAGCAAAGGATAAAATAAACCATTGATCCTTTAAAATTTTTTGCAGAATTTAAACGGATTCAAATCGATTGATAGGTACAAATCGGCTGAAAAAAGGATTTGGTTTTGGATGTTATATTCAGCTCCATTGAGCATTTTTATTGTATTGTGCGGTGAACTAATCTACTGGGTTAATTGTTCCATAGAAAAAGTCAACGGTTCGGTTAAACAAGGTTATCAGTTTCAAATATTTGTAATATTTGTATTAAAGCATATTTTAAAATATTTTTTGGTACTGTTGACCACTTAAAATGTGGATGATCCACAATAGTTTTGAAAAATTTAGAGGCTATTTTTTTGTAAAAACATAGAATCTTGGTTACAAATTTTTATTTTTAAATTGCTTTAGGACCATCTTCAGTGCGAATAGGAATGGTTATCAATTCTGTTGATGACATAGATTTCAAAAAATCGGTAATTTTCAACATATTTCTCTAGTTTTTAGTTCGTTCTATTGTTATATATGCCTTGATACAAGATGAAGTGGTTAAATAGCTAGCTATAGTCTATCAAGAATGGTCGAGTGGTACCTTGCTTCGATAAAGGTCATAAATTCGACCTATCTGGTCTCTTATAAGGAATCAATCCTATTAAAAATGAAATTCAGATTTTTGGAGCCTAATTGTACTTCCATCTGCATGACTATCTCGAAACGATCTAAATCGTAAGTAGACCATGAAATCGGTCAAATCGGTCAAATAGGAAAGGTGAAAATAAAAGCTATTAGAAGTTTATCGAGTGGTTAATAATAGTTTTAAATAAACAAAGATTCACATGTTCAACCTCTTTTCTGACGATTTCACAGCTTCTTTGAAACAAAATCTTTATAAGAGTTCAAAAAAGTCTGAGATAGTATGAGATTTTTAATTCGTGGTTCAGGCAATAAATGGAACCTCGAAAAAGATTAATTATTTATTCTTTGTAATATTTTATGCTATCCATGTATATATATTCAAGCACATTTTTTTGGAAAAACTTTGTCCACAGTTTCGCAAAATTCTTAAAACTGACACATAACATTAAGGAGATCAAATACCACTGCGAGATTATTGCTTTAGCAACACATGACGCTTTTAACGAATTATCCTTTTAACAATTCAGCGAAGTTCAGGAGAAATATCTATTAATTTTATTTACCTCCATTCTGCTCGTAATAAATCTTTCATTTTTTTTCAATCAATATAATATAGAACTTAGCTTTAATTTTTTTATTTTTTGAAAATATAAAATTTATGCGTTTTTGCTTATGAAATTCAAGAAATTAAATCGCTTAATAATTATAGGAATTTTAAGAATCATAATTTTTCGAATAAAACTATAAACATTGTCATTTGAGAGAAATTGAGTGTACTTTTTGGCCGTTCGTTTGCTTGCAAAACTCTTCTAGACTCAAATGGAGTCTCATAAACTTTTATAATGTAAGAGCGGTTATTGCTCCGATCCGATTTCGGAGCGTGTGTGTTGCAGTGCTACTCCTTACAATAGTAAAGGCGTCATTCAAAAATCGGCGCTATGCTGGCGATCCGTACGTGTATTTCCATCACTTATATCTATCAGCAAATGACAAAAATTAATCTGAATCAGTAAAACGAGTTTAATTGGAAAATAATAGGCTTATCTCCTCATTTCAAAATTTTTTATGGTAGAATGTGCCCTATTATTTGATTTCATATATTTCACTGTTCTATTTATTTCATTAAACAATAGAGTACTTCACTAAGGGAACTTCGAAGATTCGCCAAATATTCTTTTCTTTTTTTGCGAATAATTAGCATATTCCAATTTAACTTTTCTTTTGAACTTATTATTATTATTGTTAATTACTGATTATTATTTATTATTATTATTTATTATTAGGATTTATCATTATTATTTATTATTATTATTTATTATTATTTATCATTATTATTTATTATTATTATTTATTATTATTATTTATTATTATTATTTATAATTATTATTATTTATTATTATTATTAATAACTTTTGACTAAATTTGATGATAACAAGTTTTAACCAAAGAACCACTTGGGGACAGAGATATAAATAGATCATTAGCAACTGCTTTATTCCTTTCAACGAGTAAGGGGCAAATATTTAGGTGCATTCAGGTGTATTTATATTATGAAAATATTTATATTATTTTAGTATTATTTAAATGTATTTATAAAATTTCTTGGTGTGAAAATAATTGAAAAAAACTTAAAAACAAATCATCTCAGCTTTTTTTAAAATTGCCATCAATTTTACGCTTCACTAAATTTTTTTTTTTTCACGGCAAATTGACGGCAACAAGGAGAAAAATTTTAGATCCTTAAAATATCGATTACGCTTACAATTATTCTGCAAAAATCAAGAAGAGCACCTGGATCATTAGTAGTTAATCATAATCAGTATCAATATCCGTTCAGTGATATACAATTATCAAGTATTAGAACTGAAAGAAGAGATCCAAATCGAGTGATAAAAACATCAACTGATGGTACAACATCATCGATATCGAAGTATTGCATTATTATAAAGCAATAGAAAGCAATTACAATTGCTTTCAATAATAAAATTTCAATAACCATATTTAAAAAATTGTCGTGCCAGACAAGTTTAACCGCAAAGTTACTTTGCGTCTTTCGCCACTCAGGTGACTCACTGGACCAGTCGAATATTTCAAAAATATTTACTGCTACCGGGAACAAAACTTAGAGTCTCAACATCCATCCGCGCTCTTAAAACCAGAGCAACTACCCACTGAATCATCTTCCCTCTCAGTTACATAGAAGCACTTTGCCTATGAGAACATTTCTTCGACCCATCGTATATCATAAATTAGAGCATTTCTTATATTTTACAGAAATTTTTGCCCGACAAATGATTAATTTTTTTGAATTTTATGTTAAAAATCGTTAAAATCGTTAACAAATCATGGAAAAATAACGAATATTTTTAATTGAAAATTTTTTCAAGATTATAACAATTAAAAATTTAAAAATTAGTTTGCGAAATTTCTCATCTTAATTCACTTTTCAATTTTTAGAAATTAAAAGCGACTTTAATTCACAAATTATGAAAAATGGATTTTAGATATGGTCTCGAAATTCATTGTCCTTTTAATTTCAAGCTTTATCCGTTTGAAACACACAATTGTGCAGTCTCAGTCTTCACAAGTATGCAGCAGCCTTCATTTGCTATTTACTTATTCCATCACGTGCTCGTGCTAATAAAATAACTAATAAAAGAAAATCGACGTTATTCGAATGGAATATATCGAATTCTATGCACGATTCACAGCTACAGATCATAAAAGTTAGGATGAGTGCTAATGGCGCATTGGTGATCTTCGGGAATTCCTCGTTGAGCATTTTAATAATAATAACGGATATTCACACATTAATAATGCGGTTAGCCAAGTAGGATTTGAACTTCGTAAGTTGTTGATCGAGATAAATGGGTAAGAAGAATACGAATAAAATAATTTCTACATTTCTACAATTTAATTTATTTTTATAAATTATAACATTAAGCATTATGTTTTAGGCAGATTCTCTATCGAACAAATGACTCTTTCATGGATTGATGCGAAAGATATACAACCCTCACAGAATTACATATCATCGGGCGCTAGGATTTCTATGAATCGTGATGAAAATTGTGATTTCGATGAAATCTATAGCAATGCTGAATTGAACATCAAGTCTGGTGAATATTTCATAATTTTTCAAATTTCAAATTTTCCTTCTTCTTCTAGAAGTAGTTCTCGCTGTTCCTGATTTGGTTGGCTCCACTTTTCTAAAAGAATTTTAGGTGACCATTTCACCAGGGAATCATTTGGGTAAAGATGCGTGGACAGATGGATCAGTAGCAGCAGCTCGTACTTTATATAATAAAAATTGCGAAATGGAAAGAAACGCTGCTGGGAACTTCATAGTCTGTCAGTTTTTAACAGTTACAAAATTCTAAGGAATTGCTATTACCTTCAATATAAAAGATTTTAAGGAAACAGGGCACTTTAAGGCGTATTTAGGTAATTTCATTATAATATGTCATTTGAATCATTTGAAGGTATTCAAGGTTGCAGTCTCAAAAAGGTGAGGCATATACACCAATCTTTTTGCAAAGCTTTTGTTAGCTTTTGCTCTTAGGTTTATTTCACAAATTTACTGTGCAGCTAATTGCCCAAATAAGTATACGACCATTTTTCAGTTCGTTTTGCTTGTTTGCGAACAATGCTGATAATTGATCGACCCATTCACATAGGATTTTTTCGATTATTATTTCCATCCGTAATAGCTTTATTGATATCGTGGTCAACTTTTTATATTGAACGTGACCGAATACAAATCCGTTTAACTATTATGATTATGTCTTGCACATTGTTGATTATCATCGTAAGATTTATCATCATTATTATTGTTAACAGGCTTCAATAAATTCATAAATTCATATTTCAATTTTTTCGCAAAAATGATTTCATTCGATCTATTAGCTTATCTTTTATCGTTTGTATTAAACATCCTCATTCTTTCTAATGGCATATCTCATTTCTGGTTTGGCTAGCTGCGCTAAATTCTCAAATGGCATGCTTCCAGGTTTTCCATTGCAGAGCCAGTGGTTGGAAGTGACTAAAATATTTCCCTTTTTCCATCGTATTAACTCAACTATCACTGCACCATGTACATTCACCACTCGGATTTTATTTTACTTAATCGCTAAAGAATAGGAGTTGAAAATCTAACAAATCTAATCTAAATCTAACAACATACCGAAACAACTAATAAAATGTATATTTTGCAGTTGTTTATAGCTACTAGGGAACTTCCATCCACGATATATATTACAGCTTTGGATGTGTGGACTGCAATCTGCTTTTGTTTCCTTTTTTTCACCTTTGTTGAGGTTAGTTTTTCTTGTAACTGACCCACTGATTTCATAATATTTTAATATAAATTTTACACTAAAGCTAGACCATTTAAATTTTTTTAAGAATCTATAAAGGAAAATTTGAGTTTTCTTCGTTCAGTCACGGTTAAATGTTTGCACATTTAGTGAATGAAATGATATTCGCTGCAACTTATTTTTAGTGCCCAATTAAGAAAATTTTACAGATGATTGTTGTGTATATGTTGATGAAAACTTCGCAAAAATACTGGAGGTTAACAAACAAAAACGATTCAATCCGCAAGGAAAGCCAATATCGTCAAGAAAAGCTTGCAGCGAAAAGTTGTACACTTGAGAAATCAGTTCCATCTGCTTCAAATGGACGAAACCGAGAAAATAAGGTGAAAAGATAAATTTTGATTTGATTGATAAAGGACATATCGATGGATTGCGAATTTGACACATTTGATTTCGGAAGCAGTTTAACCAAATGATAACTAATAAGTAACCACACCGTTATTGCTAGCAAAATAAAATAAAAGGATATTAAAAGGATATCGAAATTTTGAACTGAAACAAACAAAAAATATAAAAAAAGATCCAAGCGAATCTGTTGCATCCAAGCGAATCTGTCAGCTCATCCATACCTCAAATAACAATATGACGAAACAGCCTCAGCCTAACAAAGTGCAAACGACCCATCCGTTCTTTCAGAATTCGTGAATATATACCGCATATCTCCCATATTTCTGTTTGATGGATGACATAATTTCAAATTTTATTTTATATCTTTATTTTATCTCTATTTTATAGCCGAATTAACTTCTAGATTTCAGGAATTACAAAGCCAAGCAACAAACATATCAAATTATGATCAACTAATAGCCAGTCATTTTAGAAACCGTTATGAACACTACTCAATAATGGCTGTACGTGTTGATTTGGCTTTTCGAGTATTGATTCCTTGTTTTTTCATTATAGTGTTCACATTGTTCTGCTTCTTCACTATTGTTATTTAAAAAAATTAAGTTAAAATCGAAAATGCATTCATTTTTTTAAACAAAATCATAACAGAAAACCCAGAATATATCTACACATCAAATAATTTATTCCCAAATGTTTAAAAATGTAAAGCCAAAAGAATAACTGAATAGAATAATAAGACCTTTTTACAAAATCTTACAAAAAAATAAATTTTTGCTCATTCTCTGAATTTCACATATAAAGATCATTTTGCCTAATGTTCATATAAGCAGGTACAACGCATAATATACTAAAAGTACATTTTAAGCCGAAAAGCCAGCGTTTTGCTATTATATATTTCAATGAATCGCGACTGCATGAAATCGAAGATTTTTCTCGAATATCTCTCGTTCGGCTTTGAGACTACCAAACAATTTATCAAAAGCAATTTTATATTCTTCAGAATGAATTCCTTTTCCTTCATTGTTAATAAATATCTAAAATAAGCAAATATAATAAGAAAATGTTAAGAAAATGTTAAAATGAAAATTTTTTTAATCCCATTCGCTAAATTCACTAAAAGAATTGAACGAATCACTTTACACAATACCTTGACTCTTCTTATATTAGAAATGTATGGCAAATCTCCAATCAATGTTGGAATATTTTCTTTAGGATGATACTTTACCCAAAATCGCTGAATGCGGAATTTTACCTGAAATGTTTGCCGATCCGATTGAATAATGATAGAGATCAGAAGAAAATGGATGAAGAAAACATAAAAATAAGCAAAAAATAAAAAGAAATCAAAACAAATTAAGAAATAACTGGTTGCTTATGAAAAAAACCTACATCTCCAATTCGGCGATTTATACTTTTAATCTGAGAATAATATTGCCGTTCTTCGATTTCTCTTCGTTTTTTAGGTTTATTTAGATCGACAATAAAAGGCACTTGAAATGCACGACAATCCTGAAACATTTCTACCTGATTTTTCATAAAACATAACGCCTCAATCTCAGTTCAATTCGAAAATAAAAAGAAGAAATTTAGAAGAATGAGCTTACAGCATTAAGAATTTCGACTTCTCGAATGAGCTTGTCTAGCTCTTCTTTTTCAGATGATTGCACAGCTGATAATGTGAGAGGACCACATATATCTGAGGAGATTTCCAGAGAATTTGTTTCTGATAAAATACGTAATGTTTCGCAAGACTAGAATATTAAAAACACCAAGTAAAAATAAAAAAAGATATGGTAGGCAAATAAGCATAAGTTAAAAATTTTTTATTGAAAATATTAATTATCGATATTATTATCGAATATATAAAATATCGATAATATTAATAAACCACTTAAGAAGGAATTATGGATGAACTATAAGAAAATGGAATCGGAATGCAAAAATTATTTTAGTCTAATTAAATTAAAATTAAAGGAAAAAATTTAGAATAGAATTTAGAAAAATTTAAAATTGAGGTGTAATTGATCATGGTTATTTCGTTTCTTTTGCTAGTCCCACCTTAAGTTGTCTTATACGAATATCAGCCCACTTCAGAGCCTTCTGTTTTTCTGCTAATTCGGATTCGAGATAAGTTATTTCCGCAGCATTTGAAGAAAAGTTACCAGCAACATTTGTTGGTGTTGGTGCAGTTGAATCAACTGATCGATTTAAATTCAAAGTATTGGTTAAATTCTAAATTCAAAAAATTATAAATTATTTACTAAAATTTAAAGATGAAGTATCAGAAAAATTTCTGAAACTTGCCATCAATAGGGCTTTTTTAGTCATATTTCTGGTCTTCTCTCTTAAATCTGCATTTTCTTTTTCAGTTGCTTCCAAATCTCGTTGTAAAGCGTCCATAGTTTCATCAAACTCTCTACAAAAAGTTTTCTTCTTTTTCTTTGCAACCATCTGTCATCCTTTTCATAACAAAAAAAACACACGTTCTAGTCTTCTTTAATTCGCTTTGCAATTCTTCACATCGAGTTTGTAAATTCTGAACTCGAGATTCATCAGCTTTGCCGGAACTTTCCATTTTTTTGTCGGCCATTTCAAGGCGCAACTGAAAATCGAAAAAAATAAGTAAATATTTTCATGAAAACCAGGTTTAAAATAAAGGATTCCATCGAATTTCACGGACTGCCTCAGACAGCCAAGGATTTCACCATTATAAAGGTCAGCATTTTTTTGCGAAACCAATCCTTGCTTATCATCACCGAAAGATGCAGCAGCATCGTCCATGAAATCAGAATGATTTTCAGAAATACCCCTGGTTATAAGGAAAAAAAAGTTTTCAAGAAAAAAAAAATAGTAAAAATGCCACAATTACCCGATAATTACTTATGTCGTCTGCTCTAGCACGTAATGTTTTCTTCAACTCAACAATTTCGTTATCCTTCTTTTCAATCTGCCACCTCAATCCATCTGCTTCCACTGCATCATGTTTGCGAGCGTGAGCCCGCTCAAGTAAGGGTGGATAAGACTAAAAAAATATAGATATATATAAATATATATATATATATATATATATGGATATAGCTTCTGCAGATTTAAATAAAATTTTTTAACCTTTTTTTCTAATTTTTCAACCTCCATAGTTTCACGATCAAGAACGCTAACAAAATGTGTTAGTGTATTCTTCAACGCATGAAGATAATTCCTAAATATTTTTACACTGAAAAAAGAAATGAACTATCATTTAATGAAATGACATTAAATTCTAATTTGAAGATAAAAAATTTACTTGACACAATCTTGAGCCTTAGAACCATTAGTCTGTCCATGAACTTTTTCCACTGCACCTTGCAGCATTTCCTTGAGACGACTTACCTCAAGGCCTTCCACATCTGAAATATTTGATTATGTAATTTTTTCTATCATTAATGCAAACGCAAAGATCGGAATTTGTAAAAATATAATATAATAAAATTTTTGATGATGACATTAATAATGGTAATAATTGATAACAATACTTCGTACCAGTAAGCATACTTAGCTGAGTACTTGCAATCGAACAAACATCATCCATAATTCTGGCAGACTGCTCCAAATTCTTGATTGCAGAAACAAGCTCCTCTTCGACCTTAATGTAATATAAGATAATGTAATCATTTCAATCAAATAATTCATTTTCAAATAAAACTGAAGAAATTGAAAGAAAAAAACAAAAATGAATTGCCTTAATAACCTCTGAAGTCAATGAAAAATTTGCAGAATTTGGAATACGATTTCTACACCGAACTGACAACTGTTCGCACTCTGCTATAGCAGCGAATAATGAAGCCACAAATTGCGCGATTTCATTCTCATCTGAAGAAGGCTGCAAAAAATAACATAAAAAACTATTCAAAATTTGACATATTATTGGAACATTCATCAAAGAACAGATTTTTTGAGAAATAGAAAATAAAGAAAAAAAAGGAAAACAACAAACAGTGACCTAAACATCTGGATCTGGATACAAAAATGAAATACATACTGCTTAAACTTACAATTAAGAAAAATTTAATCCTTTCCGTATTGATATTCAACCAATTCAACCCTTTCAGTAACTGAGCTATCGTATTATTTAAAAATCCGCAGACATCAAAAGCTTCACCAGCCATATAAACCGAGAAAATATTCTGAAAAAATATAAAGCAAAAATTTACTTAACAGATCGTTTCATTTTTTGACATTACTGACATTTTGATATGACATTTTGAATCTTCAATTTTTTTCCAGTTTTTTCCCTAGATGTACTTATAAGATGGAATTTAAATTTTATAACAACGACCTAATTTTTTCTTCCACTGAATTGTGACGTGAATACAAAAATATTTTTAGAAGAATGTTGCAGTTTTAATTCATTTCTTACTTGAAAATAAGTGATCAATTTTTCGAGACTTTCTGTACTTGTATTTTCATCAATACGGTTGGCTCGAAGTGATTCGATGTACTGGTCGATGAATTTTTCTTGTGAAGCCATATCAATCTGCATTTGAGCTAAACGTGATAACCTTTCAACAGAGCATAATTGAAGCGCGCTAAAAAAGATGTGTTAAAAGATATTCTATTGATGTGGCCCTTAGAAAAGATTGTGGTGATTTTAGTGATTCATTTTTTAGCACATTCAAGTATTTCAATTCGTTCAACACATCATCTTAAAGAACAATATTTTCGAAAACTCAGAAATTTTTCATCGATTATGTTTAATACCAGATAAGAAATGCAGCTTTAGCTAGAAAAGGTATTTTTTGATATTGTTTAGATATTGTTCTTTCAAAAACTTTTATGAAAATTTATATATAAAAGTACCTGCAGAACTTTTCTGAAATACCTTCGATAACTTTAAGCAAATATGTAAATTTAGCAGCGTGAGCCCATTGTTCGGCCTTATGTGATTTGGTAACATGTTCACGTCTCATACCACCAGGAACAGAAGGAAACTGTGAAAATATATAAAAAATAAACATTCTTTTTTGGGGCAAATATATTTTTATGAGAAAATTTCCTCTATATCAAATTAAAACTAACTTTTTCATTGATAAGTCTGCTCAATAAAGATACTTTTTTGGATAATCTCGGATAAAGAATATTAATAATAATAGCATCATTATCACCTGAATTTAAACAAAATATTAAAATCATTCTCTAAATCAATAAGGGATTAATGAATAATTCCCTACTTACCTCCAGGTTTTGTGAAATTGTCAGGTAAAAATGCTTTTAAATATTTGATGAGCAGATGCGAGAATTCCAATTCTATTGCTCTTGTATCACTTTCAATAATCTTAACAATAATTAAATATAAATGAGTCGTAAATTTCAGAAAATAAACTAAATTTCAGAAGTCAGCGAATATTTCTAATAAGTTTCTTTTTAAGAAAAAATTCAAACTTCAGCAAAAGTGCGAGCCTCCTTAAAAATGTTTGAAGCTTGCAGTCCATTAATATTGTCATCAACTCGTTTCGCCTGTTCTTCCAGACGTAAAATCTAAAAATTGAGGGTAAATGATCGTGCAAAATAAGCTTAAAATCTTTCAAAATTTCAAAAAATTTCCTATTTATCTGTGATAAGAAAATAATAAATTTATAGATCCTTATAAATTTATAGACCTGATCCTTATGTTCCTGAATTTCTTCATTTAAATCTACAACTTTCTTGCGGAATTTTAGAATTGTTCTTTCGGTATCTTCTGCTTGCACACCACAAGCTTTGATCTGCATTTGAAGCTGTAGTAAAAAAAAATATAAAAATATAACATAAATTTTATGGTCAACACAGATCTACCAGAGCACATAAAAAATATATAGATATAAAAATTTTCATATATATAAATCAATATAAAAAATTCGCGATGGAAGTGTCGATCTATTTAACAATTTCCTCAAATTTTTTTTTTTCCAAGAGTGCTCACTAGTTCTGGTCAAACTCATTTATTGCTTATCAGATCAACCAATCTTGCCAAGGAGTCATTTTATCACTTGGTAATATACTATTAATATTCTGTTAGAACTTTATAGCCACCCAACATTTAGATTCCCTTTTATACGAAAATACCACGTTCTTTAAATTTCTATTTCTCATAAGCTCCGTTATTCCTTTGAAATCGATCTTGTGATAATCTCTCATCGCTCCCCTATTCCTCAGCTTAACTGTCCTAAAGACAGGCAGAACCAATCGTTTAAGTTAAATTAATTGTCTTAAATTGCAATCGAAAAAATTAAGAACAAATAAAGAATAAGATGATATAACAATGAGCAGAAAAAGTAAAAAATAAAAATGTTTTTCCGGAAAAAGAATCATAAAGAAATTTTAAAGGGTTTTTATGATACAACCAGGAATAATACGAAATTTAATATGCGACTATAAAATGATCTGGATTCTCATCCTATTAATACAGTTTCTGAAAGGTTAAGAGTGTGTATGGTGAGAAGGGTATGACTCGACTCGAGAAATCTGTGGGAAACCACAGTGGGATTTGAAGCAATGATATGAAATATAAAAGGAATTTAATGAGATGCAGTAAGATGCGACAGCAGTGTTTGGCAATGTTAACAATGGGTCTCAGAGGTACAAAAGAAGCATTTATACAAGTATTTGTAATAAGGGAATAGAATATATTAAAAGATTTTAATGAAATACAAATTTGCAGAGTATTTCAACTCGTTAAGAAGGCAGTTCGCAGATTGAAACAACATTTCTTTTGAGACAACATTTATTTTTGGACATATACAAATTACACTTAATTAAGAAAGCAAAAGTGCTTACAAAAATAAACCTACCTCACTAATTTTACCATAAGCTAAATCGAGCTCTTGTCTCAATTCCTTTTCCGCCTCTTTCTGAGTTTCCAGAATTTCCTCGTCCATCGCACGCATAGCATCAAAATCTTCAATTGACTCTTCTAATGCTCTAAAAATTTAGTCTTGATGGAATAAACTTGACAAACTGAAACCAAATCTACTTAATATCAATCTCTGTATTAAAAGTGGTATAATAAATCTTATGAATCTTATGAATCAACAAATCTACTTTACGAACGGAATAATTTAGCTAAAAATAACCTAATTTTTTCTTCCATATCTAAATTTTTTTCTGTTAACTTCTCAATCATCTGTTCGCTTCCCATTGCAGCATCCACCTATAAATATTGTATTTATATTTTTAAAAATCTAATTTATACAGTTCAGCAAATATAGTAGCATATAAATGACAAAAATTCTCATATTCAAATTTCGTATGAAAAATGATGCAACTCCAAAGCTCCAATAAAATCTCAAACAAAAAATTGCATTTTCCAAAAAAAGCATGCAAATATGTTTTGAACCCAAAATATGCTTCAACAAATGTGGCGAAAACTTTAAAATCAGTGCATATACTAAACCAAAAAAAAACGGCAATAAATTTGGGCTTTTTTAAACTAAAGCAAGTTTAAAAAATGTACACAAAAAATTTTAAACACCTACCCTTCCAGTGACCTCAATTAGCTGAAAAAATGGAGTGAAAAGTTGCGGTATTTAGTACCAAAATTCATTTTATATGAGAAAATAAATCCAAAAACTTTCGAATTTGATATTCATTTTCGGTAAGACTTAAAAAAAGTGCCAAAAATCACTCGTGCAATCCCACTATTCTTCTACTTTTTTTTTCAGAGTTAATATACCATATCAAATCAAATACGATGGAAGAGTGCAGTAGTGATTTTGAATATTAATAACCCTATAACCCTACAGAATGCCTAACTAGTGACTGAATGAACCAAAACTAACACCAAAAAGCCACAATCAAATGAAATCAATCCATACCAGAGAAAAATAAGAAAAACACCTATTCATAAAATAAGAATTGAAAATATATACAAATCTATCCAAAACTATTCTGGCTTTAAATCTTACATAATATTAATTAATATACACTAACAAATATCTAAACAATACCTGTTCTTTTAACTCAACATTCATCTGTTCAGTATTTTCTGCATCTTTCTTCAATTTTTCACATAGTTTCACAAGCTCAGCTAATTCTTCTTTTAAATTTTCAGTTTCTCGCGACATCTCTTGTTTGTCTAGTAACGACTGGTTTGTAATATCGCGCATCCTAAAAAAAGATTACTTTTCGATATATCATGTTACCAACAATGTTACCATAATTAAACCGAAGAACAAAAAATAATTCGGAGTGAAAAAGCAACAGGGAAATCAGACTTACTTTACAAGTGCTTCACGCAGTTTTTCATTTTGTTGCTCCATTTGCTTCATCTGGATACTATTTCCCTAAAAAACTTCGCAAAATAAAGAAATAAAACCAACGATTACTGGAATTTTATCATAAGGAAATAATATTAAAAATATCATTTAATGATATTTAATGATATCAAATAATTAATGATCATTTATTTATTAAAATATTTTTTATATTTTTATATGATATTTTTAAAATATTTTCAAAACATTAACTGATTTACCTCTACAGCATTTCCGCCCGCCTGTTCCATTTCAGTCTTCAAGATTTCAAGCTCCATTTCCAATTCTTCTATCCGTTCTTTCTGTGCATCAATCTCGGCCTAAATTAAGGTCATTCCAAATTAATAAAAGGAAATGAAAAAAAGTAGAAAATAACAACTAACAACTTGAAAATACCTGAAGCATTTCTACTTTCTCCTCTGCCATTTCTTTATCAAGCGTCACCAGTTCTAACTGCTCTTCTATGTCAGACATATCTGCTTGATAATCCTGCCTTGCTTCCAAAGTATCTTTTAATTCCTGCAAAAAAAGAATAAAAAACCATCTATGCTATGGTTAGATAGACAATGTCCCTCGTTATCCCCCAAACTGACGCATATCCCGCTATGCGCCAAAAAAGAGGAGAAAAGAGAGAAAGGAGAGGAGACTTAATCAAGCCTTGGATTGATAATAATGGGAATAAAGTAAAAGTCCACAAGCGATCTAGCTACATATGGTCATCGTAGATGGTGTGAATTTCCGTCAAATCAGAAAAGCGCCTCAGCCTAGTACAGAATTCAATCTTTTTGCCATTTGCCATTTTGCCACTTTGTCCCTTTGCAGTCTAGTAATATCTTTCAGAATAATTTCAAATGCATAAATTACTTATGGCTCTATAATAAAAATGTTATATTAAAATATCACTCTTTCACTCAGATTTCTACTGGTAATAAAGTGACAGGCTCAGCTGATATACTGCGATTCGTTTCCAATTCATAACTGAAGGAAATGCAAAATTTCTGCAAGAGTTTAGAGTTTGATGAAAATGAAATTATGAATTTTTACCAACGGATTCCAAGTTAAGAGATATCACAATGGTGAAAGATTAGAGACCTTTTCTTTTTCTTGTAATTTTCTCTGTAAAGCAGTATGTGCATCAGTCATTTTAGCTTTATATTCCAACAGAGCTTCTAACTGAATACGATTTCGCTCAAATTCCATCATTTTTGCATGATCTTCTTTCCTTTTTATTCTAAAATTCATAATACTTATTTTCAATAATTCCACAGAAGAAAAAATTCAAAATAACCTTAGACTTTCTAATTTTTCCGATAAATCTTTGTTTTGTATACGCAACCACTCCAATTCACCACTTGAATCCATACCAGGAGGTAGTACTGTTGGTACTGATAAAGAAGTCTGAATACAATATAAACAATAAAAAGTCTGAATACAGTATACAATATTCTCATTTATATAGATTTTCTGTGCTAAAAATATTTTCTTTTTCAAATTTTTAAAATACTTCTGCTTAACGCATTACCTCTTCCATTTTTTTGACCATTGATCTGACTATATCTGTTCCTCCATCGGCTGTGACTGATGAATCAGGCTTCAATTCTTGAAACGTCTCTTTTGTTACTATATTTTTTTCATCCTCCTGAAGAAAAAATCTATATAAATGAGAAAATATTTAGAAAATTCATTTTTATTTCATTAAAATTTTATTGCCAAATAAATGCAAATTTTCCAAGAAAAAAATGCTAATTTGGATATTAGTTATTTGAAAAAATTTGAATCAAAAAATTTTAAAGCGAATTAGCAAGAGAACAAAAATTAGAATGGCAAAAAAAGGTGAGTAATAAAGTGAAATGAAGATTTAAATATTTGTGGAATTTTTTACGGAAAAAAGATCATTATTTACGGAAAATAATGATCTTTTAAAAAATAATTAAAAATAATTAGCTGTGACAGTTTTCATATTGTGAGAAGCAATTCACTAGCTTTTATCGAAAGAAAAATATTTTTCATGGCATTTTTCAAATTTATTCAGAAAAGATTCATTTCTAATGAAATTCAAATTCTCTTCATCGCGATTATGCACGGAATCTCTTTATAATTTTTAAAATAAGCCTAGAATATAAAAATTAAAATTGGCGAAAATCGATTGCAGGGCTATGTGGGCCATAAATTTTTTCAAATTTATCAAATCATAATAGGCTTCAACTTTTTCCCTGGATACAATTATATTTAAATAAATAATTTAAAATAATAATTTTTTAAAAACAGTTTTACTACAATATGCGATTTATCCAACTGGAAATGGTCTACTAATTTAATTCATAAAGTTATCAGTTATCATAAAATTATAAGGTATATAAGGTATATTATAAGGTAAGCTAATATTCGCTTATGTAGTCTATAAAAAGTACAGTATCTGCAATTCATACATTTAAATAATAAAGCAGTATTATTACAAAAAATTTCATCCTGTCAAATAATAACAATAAAAGCAAAAAAACTGAAGACCGTTCATAAAGCACCTAAACCTTTCAATAAATAGTTATTAATTTATTTCAGCCAGAAGCTGGGTAAATCATTTTCATTTTCCTTATTTTCTCATTTTCTAATTCCTGGCGCAAATACAATCAAAAAATAATTTTATTAATTAGAAATTTAATCAGTAGTATCTAATTTTAGACATTCAAAAACTCCATTCACATATTTTTCATTTGTATCGCCCAGAAATCTTTATTAAATTTACCATGATCGTAAGCATTAAATGTATTAATTGCATGCAAAAGAATTAATATAAGTATTTTTTAATTTATTTCCGCAACTATTCCTAAAATTTCTGGTTAATTTCTGGAAGAAATTTTCTACCTCATGATGAAGTCCAAAAACAGGACGCTTGATGCGTGACAATGACCTGCTGTCAAATAGTAATAACTTGGAACGATTTGGAGAACGCATTATCTTCTAAGATTGATTATATGATAAATCATTAGTTTTTTGCTATTCTTAGGCACCATATCTTTGTGGATTAACGAACAAAAAAAACCAGTTTTTCAACTTAATTCTTCAAATAAATCCAATCGACATATTCAAATCCGAAACAACTTTTTTTGATAAAAAAACTTAAATGAAAAATGATTTAGAATGAAGAAATAATATGCATAAATGGTTGTAAAGCCAAAAAATCTCAAGTTGCAGTCATATACATAAAATGCAACATGTCTCGAGTGAAAATAATCGCTGTTTGTTCGATAAATGATTTTTCAGACAACAATTAAACAGTTATTTCTGACAAAATCTGGCGAAGTGCTTTGCTTTATATGATAAAATAATATAATATAACTATGATAAAGTAATCTATATAAATAATCTATATTCTATATTTTAATATATTAAATCACAACATAAGAATGCATAAGTGGCAATTTCAAATTCTAGTTCGAGTAAATGAATAAATACGAAGTAAAAACAAAAAAAACCTCTTGCAGCCGATTAGATTTCGATAACCGAGATTTTTCATCTTTAAATGATGACTGCTTTTTTGGCGCTATATTCGTAAGATTTGACTGAGAACCTCGTAACTTCTCTGTAGAAGAGGAGGGAGTTATTACTGGACTCTCCTAAAAATAGTTAAGTTGAAAAAATGAAAGGCTTCGAAAAGAAGTAACGACTCCTATCCTTTCAATATTATATAAAACTATTAAAACTATTGGTCCAAACAGGGTTCAGTATTTAATTCATATATGAATAAAATTTCACTATCATTATAAAATTAGCAGCATCAGCATCTGACCAGTAAAACTTACAGATAATTTGTCTTTTGATGGATCTTTTCGAATATTGAGAGGTGTTCGTAAATTCGATGAGTTCGATGACGCTGTTTTCAATCGAGATTCCAATTTTACCTATAAATATTTAAATTTACCGAACTGTTAAGTTATTGATTAGTAGCTCTTTTCAATTTCCAACTATTTTATCGATAAAATTTCGCAATTTAACAACCATTAGCTTTTGATAATTAGAGACCAGTATAAAAAATTTTATATCTGATTATAACCTAAATAAAATACTTTATATTTTCCACAGATTCATGACTAAACAAGCGACTAGTGAAAAAATTTATTTACATATTTTTGTATTCGTTATGTATATTCTTAATCCACAATTTTCGAAAAAAATTAAGATACATTCACGATCAAATATCATCTTTCTTTTTATTTTCAAGATAGCTTGCTTTTATAGCTTGCAGAGATAAAAATTCCAAAGATGGTATAGAGATATATGAATGACAGAAAAGTAGGAAATTTTTTGAAAAAATGATAAATTAAATAATAAACAATAATATTAAACAAAAAAATAATATAAAATTCAATGACTGAACAATGACTGAACAAACCTGATTCGCTTTCACAAAAACTCCATAATTATTAGTACATTCGAAATATTTGACACCTTTAACAGTTCCATTATTTTTACCGTTTGGTTCATCCAGAATCACACCAACCCAGATTCCTTCAGCAAATTCTGTTGTTCCGTAATATGCCACTTTTCCTTTTCCTTTTTCTGCAAAAAAATGCATGTGAGAAGTGTTGTGAAAACATTTAAAATTTATTGATAAAATTATGTAAATAAACACGCAAAATAGATGAAAAATAATTTTTTTTCTTTCACTCTCAGAGCAAACAGAACGAATTTGAGTCCTATTTTTTGATACGAGTAAAAAAGTATTGTATAGTAAAATTCCAGTGGCGGCGAGGATTTAACTTTACTTCCATCCACAAATCACAACATTCGTATTATAACCAAAATATGAGACAGAATGCTTCACTGGAAATCGAAAAGGAATTTCCATTTGCCACTTTTATTCCATCGCATTTACTTTACTGCATTAAGTTTATTAGACCATCTCTAAAGCCTCTTTTACCTAACGAATAAAGCCAAACCTATTCAAAAGAACAATTTTGAAAAGAAACGAAATTTTAAAGCGAAAAGAAACTGAATGAAAGAATTACGAACCAGTCTCAACGCGAACTCCGATTTCGAACTGCATGAATTTCAGACTCTGGAAAAATTTGGATTGTTTGGATTGAATGAAGTCGTATTAAATAATCTACGTGAGAAGCGGTGAAAGGGTTATAATTGCTCTCTAACTAAAGAGATTTTCGTCTACCTTAAATCAGTTCGAATGCAATGATCCCAGTTTGACCTTCGATTTAAATGCCTCTCTCCTGGTCTAAAATTTTTTTCGCTTCTTGCCATTCCCTATAATTTCACTTCACTGAATTCCTCTAATATCCCCTTTCCTTTGTTCCTTTAATTTCATATATTTTTCTATAATCGGTTTCACCATCCTTCATCAATCCTTTACCCACTATAAACCTTAACACCCATTCCACAGATACACATATACTTCACTCGGACAACAATTCAATTGTGTCCCATCTTATATTCCGCGCGCTGATTATTATTAAATTTCAGCTTCGGCCTCGGATTGAAATGCTTTGCGTTTGGTTCATTCACTGAGAATGCAGTTATAAAATTAAAAATATATTAATAAAGCATGGAACAGTACTTTTAAATTTTACAGTGGAATTGTCGTCGGTTCATTTCCATTGGAAATCAAAAAAAAATTTATTCCAATAAGGCGGAAATGAAATTAAAAATACTGATAATTTAATAAGATTCACTTTTTAGATACAATAACAACAATTTACAACGGAAGAAGAGGATGGAAGCGCGGAATAGGAGATTCGCAGGGCAACGCGCAGTTTGCTTCTCTCCTTTCCAGTTGCCAGCATTGGATCCAATGGGGACAAGACTGGGGGGAAGGGAACCTTTTTTCAGTTTCTATTAGTGTAGGGAAATGAAAAACGAAATGTTTTCGGGGTGATTTAATGCAGTCTAATTTTGATATTTTTGAGGGAAAAGAGTAATAAAGTTACAAATAATATTTTCATAAGGCGTTATTTAACAGTTTATTTTCGATGCAACTTCTGAGTCATTCGACATTCCCCAGTTTAGTGACTCCTTCCGGTGGCTTTTCTTATTTGCTACCGAAGATTGAACGCGAATGAGCGCGATTGTCGAGTAATATTTTGTTTCGACTAGGATCAAATGTTGAAGACTTGATTTTTCTTGGTAGAAGAAAATCTCTTCTTAAAAAACTAAATCATGAAATTCGCATGGTGCTGAGAACTCATCTATACTTCTTATAGAAAAAAGGATTAATTCCTGGATCAGTTATATCGGAAGAGTAACGCGCAGTGCCGAAAAACTTAGAAGATGCTGCAATTTTTTATACACAGGTTTCACTACCACTGCGCAATTTTGTTGAATTCAAATCAGGTAAACTGGTTGTTGGTAATTTCATATAACTGTTTTGATAATTTATGTGATATGGTGACGATTTAATAATGTCCGGCGCAGTTGTTGGTTGATATACGAGCGAAGAATCCAGCTGTGCACTTCTTTAATATAAGTTGTCATTAAACTTGAGTCACAAAGAATTATAGTCAAATAAAAATTTTCATATTATTCATTCATTAAGGATTTTGGTTTTGGGGCCCGGAGGCGCGTGAACCCTGAGACGTTTTTCTGGATCACAAAACCCGCAAAACAACTTTATGCCCTTGGACTCGTGTGGAAATGAATGTGCGTTTTTTGCGAATTGCAGTCCTCTGTCATAACGACATTTATTTGGATGGTACACTGAAGAAGAATAGCAAAGATTGGTTTTCAAAGTAATTAGGTTGCAGTAACTCGCTCAACACCCCGTCAACTACGAAGCATGAATAAAAGCAGTTTGATAAAAGACGAATTCGCAAATTATAGCGAACAAATAGATTTCAAAAAAAATGAATTCGAATCGATCTTAGTACGGTCGATAACTTCTGCCTCTGGCAATGGAAGCAGCATACAAGCATATTTTCATATAAATTTTAAATTTATAATTTATAATTACATTCATCAATCTGTGAATGACATTTTTTTTAGGAGATGGATTAGCACATTTTTAAAATAAAAAATAAATTCGTGAAAAAAGTTGAGAACCACTGCTCGAGAGTTTGTGAAAAAGACGCTTAATAAAGCACAGAATAGCACAGCAGAGCTGTTGCTCCGAAAAAACAAACCTAGGAAGAAATGAAGTTGCTGATTTCGAGATTTGGCTCATATTCAGCGAATTATTTCTCACATTTTTATTCGATAGAGAAGCGAATGCTCCCAACAGTGTAATGAGGAATGCAACGAGATGAGCAATGCACGAAGCAAGTTGTAGAAAAAATGCTAAGCCAACTCTCTGCTATAAAAATACAATACTAAATCACTAATCCATGCTAGGTTTTCATTAATTCATTAATTAATTTAGCTTAACCATTGTAAACGATGCAATAGGCAGTCTCTTTTTCACTAATATCGTCATTGTAAATGAATAAACTGGTTGCATGTTTTGGACTTACTTCGTATGTGCCTACGATACCATTTATGAAACGATTATCTGCTCTATGCGAATAAAAAAAGAAAATGCATTCGGCAATCGTTGAGAAAAATGCTGAAATTGAAAGATAAAGCAAGACGGCGCATTATTTTTTCTCCCAAATGGTGTACTACTTCGACTATAGGTTCCGCGAATTCGTTATGAGTACTTGACAGCTACTTTGCAGGAACGAACTGTGAAAATAAAGTGACAAGTGACAATACCGGGAAGCCGCCTACTACCGGGTGATTTTCTGGTGATAGGTAGTCGTTAAAAAAGATGATGATCTTTTAGAGTCGAAAATATCAGCGAAAGAATATTTCTGGCTTTCTATCGATTATAAATCTATTATATATAAAATAAATTAACAATAAAATTATTCACTTGAGAGCAATGTTGTTGCAACGAAGAAGAGAGATAAAAAATGGTAGCGACAAGAGCAAAATCCGACACAAATGGATAGCAACGCACTTAGAAGAGCAATTCCAAGAAGTATTAATGTTGTTGCTTGCCATCCTGTTGAAACAATTATAAAAGTGGGAATAATCTGAATAAATCTCAAATTTTCCAATTATTTTTTCAATAACACTGATAATTAGAACTGAACAAGAAGAAGCTACCGTATAATTTGTGCCGATTAACTTCACCAATCGGACTTGAATCATGGTATTCATCTCCAATAGTTCCAACATTTTCGTCATAATCCCATTTGTAAACACAAAATAATGGTTCAGTTTCTGTGTGATGTCTAAATTCTTCATTAGTTTAAATAATTTTTTTTTAATTTACTAAATATCAAATTTACTCTTTATTTATTTTTTATTTTATTTAAAAAAATTTAGATTTAGTGGCACGAACACGATGAGTCAAATCAGGACATTGAAAGGGAAGAGTTTGGCTGACTCTAAAAAAGCCACGATTTAAAAATCCAGATGGTAATGGCCAGCTGGCCAGCTTCATTTTTATAGCAAGGCCATGGCAAAAATTTCGAACCGTACTAATAAGCGCTAACCACTTTAGCTAATAGCAAATAGATGCTATAAATTTGATGAACTTTCCCAACCTTCTCATCGTGCTTAGTTCACCTCTGCTGTTTCTCGTACAGTCCAACCATAAACCATGTTCATGCACAGAATTATATTCGAATAAGTGTACGATCTGCCAAAAGAAAAAGTTATTTTATTAGGCCAATAAAAAAACTTTTAAAAAACTTAAAATATAAACGTGCAAATTTGAAAAATTGAAATGGAATAAAATTCGCAAAAATATAATTGTTTAACTTTGGTAAATTTGGTAAATTCAGGTAATTTTTATTTCGCGAATTTTGTATTCATCGAATTTCATTCAAATAAAAATTCCAAAGAATAATTGTATATAGTTAAAATAGTATATATAAACATGCTTATTAATATGCTATTAAATATATTAACGTACTTGCCACGATGGTAATAAAATTGCAGCAGAGCTCAGACTGATGCCGATCGTTGTAAATATTATTGCTAATGCTATTGCAACTCGATGCAGATAGATATAACCATTTAAACGAGTTTTTTGATTTTCTCTTAGGAATGGCTCTGAGAGAAATGTCGAAGCATCGTTATCAACGGATGCACTAAATTGCTGCTTATTAATTATTTAAAGTCAGCCATCTATACTTCCATTCTTTGCCAAAAAACTTCGCTCCCCCCACCCTCCATCCCCTCCATTAGTAATTGACCATTTAAATTAATAAGTGCTACTAGCAAATTGTATTATACTTATTCAACAGCTATCATCTCCTCTTATGAAACATTAAGTATCTCTAACTATATATAACTAAAAGAACCACCATCAGCCAACTTACCTATATGGATGACATCAGGTTATATGCAAAAAATAACGAGACATTGAATCGCTCATCCATCTAATCCGGATCTACAACGAGGACACTGGAATGTTATTCGGAGAGAAATGTGGCCAGATGGTAGTAAAGAAAGAAAAAATAGTGACGACTAATGGGATGAACCTGCCATCAGGATAATGGTTGGCATATGAGCTACAGGTACCTTACTATCCCACAGTCTCGTGGTAATCGATGAGGAGATAAAGAAGGCATCTATATTACTAAAGGAGAAGATAAATCTCGAACCGCCAGCTAAATGGGAAGAAAATCAATGCCATAAATATGAACGTCCTTCCATTCATCAGCTACGCAGCTGGTATAGTAAGATGGGCAAAGGAATGATGCTGCTCGAAGATTTTTCATAATTCATGGAAATTTCCACCCAATTTAGAAGATTATAGTCCTAATCCCTAGTATTCAGGAATATGACAGCAAGATGGTACCAAATGATGATTTGCTGAGGAAATGTCTGAAGTATTTACAGAAATTAGAAAAAGATAAAGCAAAGAGAGTACAATGGTGAAGCGAAATTCTCTATGATATGTTCCATCGACGAATAGCCAAGATAATTTGAGAAATCTTAGCAATGGTTGGAGAAAGCCGGTTTAAAATGTAATACCGGCATTAATAATAGCAGCATATGAGCAAACATTAAGCATCCAGTGAAATAAGGATCTACCACACTAGACAAGACTCTAGATGCAGATTATGCAAAAATCCCCCCCCCCCCTCAGAAAGAGTCCAACAGATATCGGCAGAATGTAAAGTGCAAGCAGGACCAACATACACTAAAAGGCATAACTAAGTAGCTGGAATCATCTACAGAAACATCTGCTCGATTTATAGCTTAGATCCTCCGAAGATTCAAAAAAATTATAGAGAATAATAAGGCGATGATGCTGCGGAACTTTTCCATCTTTGGCAGGGGACCCGAGGACCCGAGATTGAGGATGATTATGACGCAGGAGGTGAGAAATGAGTAAAAAAGGTTTTTTTTATATATATACTCAAGGAAAATTTATTTGCCCAAAATTTTTTCCCAGCCCTCTTTAAATAGCGTATTCTACCTCGTAAATTTAACTTCACCAGAATCCTTCAAAAGCTATTTTAATTTAACCTGTTAGTGATATCCTTTTGCCTCCTACAACCTTTCATACTCTGCAATGCTCCCAAAAGTTCTTTGGAACTTGCCGAAAACTTCCGCTAAATATTCCTCGAAATCTCGTTCATTTCATTTCCTTTGCCAGAACATATTACAATAAACCTCTTTACTTAATCTCTTAGATACCATCTCTTAATTGACAAGTTCCTCAAAACTCTGCTCCACGTTTTTAAAATCCCTTTAATCTTCTTTAATATTTTATTTTATATTTTTCAAGGCAATTAATTAATAACATCTTAAATCCTCTATAATATATTAACTCCGTTTTTTTCACTATGATAATCTAATGTGCTGCCCACTTTCATTGTGCACTTTCGGTAAAATCCATTGATACTTACTAATACTCTCTAAAATTCCGTCAAACACTGGGAAAATCTGACCCACTTTTTAAGATCCCTCAAACTTGTCACGTTTTGCTAAAAACTCCACAATTTCGTAAAATGTTGCTCTAACTTATAACTTCAGAGCTTCATTGAATTCCTTTGCCATTATACTCCTCTAAATTAGGAGCATCATTTTAAACTTCTTTATATCCAACAAAAGCCAGCTGTAGTCCACTTCTCACATATTCCCTTTTTATTGCTTTAAAGCCACTCGCAATGCATTGCTGCGAAAGCAATGGATAAAGGTTGAAAGGTCTATTTAAGAAATATCAACGCTCTCGAGGAAAAATATTGGGGGGATATGTTAGGATGAAAGTAATTCCGCCCGCCTGTACTTTTTTACTAGTAAATTAAGAAACAGTTAATTAATTAATTATTAATTATACCTGTGCATTAATTGAGATGCGTATCGTTTTTAGACAAATCTTGCGCCGAGCTCTCCTGTAAATGAATTCGAAGAAAAAATACAATTGGCGATAATATACTTTCTTCATGATCGACAAGAATATTTCTCAGTGAATAGAAGGAAACTTCACACCAATTTCAAATAATTCGAGTACTGTTGTTCATTTTTAATTCTTCTGAGGGAGAGGTCGTGAAAATATTAGAGTTTGGAATATTGAAAAAATTTATATATTCACTTTGCATAGAAAAAAACGAATTAGAGCGAATTAGCTAGGGAAATGAATATTTATTTATCCGTAATTTAAATCAAGATGATGAGAATTATCAGAATTTAAATTTGACTGAACAATTTTGTCAGAAAAGGAAGAACAATTGTTATTCAATTCGATTAACAATTAGAAAAAATAAATTGGAATTTTATGTGAATTTCGCTAGGATTTAAAAAAACGACCAAAAAAATTTCGTTCACAAAAAAATTTGAAATCTATGATAATAGCATTTTAGTGAATATCAAGTTTATCTAATGAAAGTTGAGAATAAAAATAATTTGGCCATTAAAGAGAAGTAGGAATGATGTTCTTGTCTTCAGGCAATTTCTGGCAAAAAGGACAGTGCTAGCAGTTATTGGAGCCGGCAAATTAGAAATTAGAAGTGCTATTATGATAAAAAATAGATCAAATTAGTCTATAATAATTGATGACCTCTGATAAAACTACTATTACAATAAATAAATAGTAAGCAAATAGTAAGCAAAAAAGAGAAAATAAAAAAGAAAAGAAATGAAAATTTAATGCATTCACATGTCGAATAAATGCCTAAAATCCAAATGGATTATGGCAGATATGTTGGAGTAATAAAGAATAATAAAATGGTCGCAATTTCAGAAACTCGTTTTTTTGATTCGCATATTTTAGCGTATTCGCATATGTTTACTTCCAAAGTTCCATAGTCTTAATTTGTCTTCTACCATGTGCCCGATTTTTTTTAAGGCTTTATTTAGGCATTTTACTCCTTTATTACTCTGACAATAATATTAAAGTCCATTTTAACTACCGCAAACTTGCTTGTGTCATTCTCGCCACAAATAATTCATTATCACTTAGTCGCTAACATCGGCAACGATTTAATTATATGCATAGTTAACATAATTTATAAATTTCAGGGAAATTGCTCGCATTCATTTATTTAATAATAAATAAAAAATAAAATAATAAATAAAAAAAAATAGGAATGCGGAATAATTGAGAAAATGAAAAAAGAATTAACTGGTTATTTGCCAAACGACTTTTGTTTTTACTCGAAAGTTCCATTATTTTATTTTCATTTCAAGGATTTTAATGTTTGATTTATTGTTTTATATATTATATTCGTCGTCTAAAAATTTCAGCACATGAATGATCAATAATCAAAAGCAGTGAAAAAATAAATTGTCAAAACAGAAAAGGCAAACTTCAAGGATGCAGTCGTTTGGTCGTTTGTTGCTTTCGCTGAACACAAACAAAACCAAATCGCTCGTGCTTTTATTATGTTTGTGGATGAAACAAATTCTTGATAAACATAAACAAAAGCTATTTGATAAAGCATTTTTTTCATCGCCGCGAAAAAATTTTTGATGGATGCGGGTACTTTTCCTTTAATAAATTGAAAATTTTGCAGTAGCAAATCCTATTATATATTCAAAAAATTCCAGAACACGCGATGGAACAGTCGATTTGAATTGCCGACTTCTGCACTCGAATAAATCCTCACTTATCATTTATCACTTTGCAAATCACTGGGTGAATGAAGCTTTTTATTAAAATTGTAAAGGAAAAGAAAAAATGATATAAAAATATTATGAAAATAAAACGAAAAAAATCTACCGTATTTATGGGAGGATTTAATCTCGTAAAGGGATAAAACAGAAGCGCTAATGATTAATTCTATGGCTGAAATATCAGAATATTCTAATCAATCAAGGAAAATATAAAAGAAAAGGTAAACCGAAATACTTTTAAATCTAATCAGTTGATGAGTGATCAATAGTTTGAATAGCGTTAATTTCTGCAGTACTTATTTATTGTTTCTAGTGAGACTTACTCTAGTGGCTTTTAGAAATAATATGGGCATTAATATTTCAGTTAGAGGGTTACTTGCAGATAGAAAAACAATTGAGTACCATCCAGTTTAAAAACAACGGGTGAAAATGAAACCAGAAATAGAGCGAAGAAAGAACAAATTTTTTTTTTATATAAATTTTTTGTAAAAAAGTCTCGTTTCTTTTAATAATTTAATTCCTGAACCTGTTAAATAGAAAGATGGCTGCTTTTTTTTAATGCGATTCATTTAATCGGATTCAATTAGATTCTGCCGAAACAGCAAATCGAATTCGAGGGAAACATGCAATTCTGTCGACCCCATGAAATGCATTCGAGAATTCCGTAAGTATTTTAAATTTATTCAGCGATAAATTTCGAGCCGAATCCACACTGTTTGCCGTCAAATTAGGCAGCAAAGCACTCGAGTAGACAAATATCTAATAAATTTGAAAGAAATCCAAAATCAACATCGTTCAAAGTTTTGACAACAACCATTATTAGTTTCGCAAGGATTTTGCAATGAATATTTAGTAAAATAATGTAAAAATAAAAACAATATTTTAGAAATTGTGTCATCGCGAGAAGTTGGCGACGATGTTAGTGACGATGGCCGTCGATCCAATCAATGATGGTTGTCGCGAAAAACACACCTTTGTTATAAAAGGTATTGGAAAGGTATTGCGCATCGCGTCCAACGACCTGTTTTCTATGCACCGAATGATGACTAACCGATAAGTAATTTCTTCTCTTTTTGTATTTATCCCCCACTATAAATGACCTTGAACAATTTTCACTTAATAATTTTTACGTCATTTACACCATTTCATAAAAATAAAATTAAGGCTTATGCAATACTGAAATCTGCCCTTTAGGCATAGCATATGCGAGTGCATGAATTAGTAGAATAGATTACCGTGTTGAAAGTCAAGGACCATTTATTCCGACAGGAATAAAGAATCCAGGAAACACTGGCCATTCACCTGCACTTCTATTATCAAGCGACAAATTTTCCTTACTGATAGCTTTTGAATTAGCTTAACCAGAAATAATGAGCCTCATTCATTAACAATCTTCTTTCGAACTTCTTTAAAGTAAAATATTTAGAGGAATAAATAATTAAAAATCTTCCAATCCAATTTTGAAAAATTTAATTTTTCTGTTCTATAATAAATATACTAATTCAAATTGAAGGCAATATAATATTCTAAAACGTGGTGAAATTAACTTAAGGCGAACCTAATAAAAGTTAGACATTCCTCATGAATTCCGCTTCTAACAGTTCTCACCATTACCGATTAGGTTGTTTCCGCTGGATGCAAGGTTAAAATGTTTCCATGCTGCACGATCTGATATCATCTTTGGTAACAATATTCCTTCTTTCCATCGTCTAAGTCCATATATAGCTGGTCCTCCTATACGTTTAAAATCTCTCCTGTTTGTGTCTAGGTTTTGGTTGGTTTTCATCGCCATCTATCGCAAGAGTTTAGTAAGTTTAGTAATAAAATATGTCAAATCCTGTGGTGTGCACGAAGAACATACCCTAACCAGAGAAGACGACGCTCTGCGATGGTACCGTTAATGCGTGTGGTATTCGAGCAAAAGTGAATGCGATTATGTGAGATTTATCCACTCGGCGAGTAAAATATATCTTAATGGTGCATTATGAATGGTCAAAGGCAGATAACTTCTTACTATCTTCCACTCTCATCGGCCATGTCTCGGCGCCACATAGCAAAATCGAGCCAATCGCAACTATATAGATGCAGACTTTCGTTTTTATATGAGTCCTTACTATTATATTAGCCAACATTTACACGCTACTGGCTATATTCATAAACTTACTATAGAAAAGGGAAAGGAATATTATCGTAGTCCATTTAGGTTAAAAATATGACGACAAAAATACAGAAGTTTTTAAGAAATTATAATTTTTTCATTATTGAAATATCGTAAAATGAAATAAATAATTATCGATGAAATATAATTATCAAATGCGTTTTTAAATAAATAAATACATGCAATGAAGCGAATATTAAAGAATGACGAACCGTTGGATTTTCTTGGATTTTCTCATCAAGGAGCAAATTCTTTTATTATTCAGGATGGTACCTTATGTCCCGAATTGGTGCTCGACAAGAAACTAAATTATCTTAGTTGTCAATCACTTTTTTTTATTTATTTGTTTATCCACACGACAATGATGCATTAACGATAATGTATGCAAAATGCCAAATTGTCAATATTTGTAAGAACAATGAAATTATAATGGAAAATGGATGCCAATGAGTGGGTGGTTCCAATCATTATTAAAATAATGATTTTCTTAGCTAGAGTGTCATCTGGAAAAAAATCACAAATACATCTCCACCGCCACTCCGATTTCACCTCATTGACATACTGCCATTGACATACTTATTAGCGCCACAAAAATTGAAATCATGTTTTTCATTGACATACTGCCATTGACATACTTATTAGCGCCACAAAAATTGAAATCATGTTTTTGATCGAATTAATAGAACGATTTTATCCTTGGCTTTATGAGAAATAACTTAATAGTCGATTAGTCCTCTATAAAACTTCGACTGATCATAAATCAGCAGGAATAGTTAAATTTTATAAAGATAAGTTTCATAAAGATAAGCTGTTTTATATTTGTTGCACGATGACAAAGGAATTTCTCTAATTCTTGTACTGTACTTGTAAATTTCGAAAGAACTTCATTCGACCATTCAAAATACAAAATATAAAAAAATACCACTGCGTAATAGTGAACAGTAATAATAACGAAAGGCAAAGCAAGCCAAGCAAACCCTTAATAACCGTTTTTAGCTTTCCCGATTTTTACACAGACATTTATTCGGTATTTAATGCATTTCCTATCTTTTATGGCAACAATCTTTCAATATACTTTAAACCACATCGAATGACCAAAACTTCGTGAAACATTGCTTCCAAAATTTATTTTTTCCCTTTTATTCCTCTTTTTGGCGAAGAAAAACAGAAGATTATCTCGCAATCATAAAAGAAATAGCTCGACCATGCGGAATAGATAGTTGCTTTGCTTCTGCTAAAATCAAGCAGCATAAATTTGACCTTTGCTCCTTGGCAGAGTAAATAAACCAGGAAGTAAATGAACCAATAAAAGAGAAATCGGATTGGGTAATAACGGCACATTTTTATGCAAAGGGATTTCCAAATAATTTCATCCTAGCTATAAACAGTCTATACCTTTAGAAAAAAAGGGACAGTTTGTTTCACTACAGTGCTTTAGAGATCAAAATTCAAATTATTACAAAAATCAACTCACTTTCAAATTTCCAGATTTCCAGACTTTTTTGGTATTCATTTCCCACAACTTCCCTATTTTGCTTTTTCAGCCCTTGGAATTTCCCTAACTTCTCATACTCATTCCTCCTTCTAACGTTCCTGCTATATCTATTATAAGTGCTGATTTTTGGTTCTCGTCTACTACTATGTTATCTAATTGATTGGCCTGTACTTATTTGCTATAATTTTGTTCAGCATTTAGAACTCCATTTTTATCTAACAAATCATTTAAATTTCTTTGGTTAACAACCTGAATCAAAGCTTTGAAATATGGTAATTAATAATGGGAAATTTTACTGATGAAAATTCATATCTACGGTCGTTAAATATAATACTTTATTGCCGTAAAAAATTTACATTTCACTGTTGTCCAAAAAATTTTCAACAAATTACTTTAATTGGCAAAATGAAACAATAAAAAATACAACTTTATCTGTTAGAAATACGACCGATGTCACTATCTGCCTTTTCCTTCATAATTTTTTCATTCTTTTCGTTGATAATTCGAGTAACCTCCACACTAATTCTTGCCTTAAGGGAAATTTTAAGTAACGAAAAATATAATAATTAATTAAAAATTCGATTTAAAATCTTTGAAAACTAACTTGTTCAATAGCAGCCGCTTTTTTCGGTGCAATGGCTAAACGCCGACCTTTTTTCGGTCCTTGTGGTTTATTCTTCTTGAAATTTTGTTTTACTCCTTTTGGAATTGATGACTGGAAATTTTTTTTAAAATTTTTTTATGAAGATATAAAAACATAACAAAACAAATAATTAAAGAACAGTTCAGAACAAATATTTAATTATTTCCATAGATCCCATTCTTTTATTTGAGGAGCATTTTTTGCTAAGACTTTAAAACTTTAATGAATGATAATAAACAGTAAAGTTTTTATGATTTAGCCGCAACAGACTGGTTTTTAAATAAAAAGTAACTAAATATTTAACATTACTTTCACTTTTACTTTATATTGTACCATCACACTATCTGATGAAAAGAATATAACAAGAAGTTGCTATACAAAGAAGTGATATTACTGAATGAAGGCGAATACCAATAACAGATGCCTAAAAATTAATTTACTTTAAATCCTATACTGATAAGGAATAAATACCTAAAAATCAAAAAAATTGAGAAACAAACAATAAGGTAACGTTAAAGAAAAAAATATATATGATAATATGGACACACTGGAGAATTACAATCACAAGGCTCCAAACTTGAACTAAGACAAGTGGAGATCGATGTTCGAGAATTGCTTAACAATTTATTAACTTCCAAAAAAGCCCGTCAATGACTAAAAATTTACTCCTCTTTCAATAGATATATTTTACTCAATAAAGGTTCCAAAATATAGTAGTCTTACTTTGTAAAAAATACCAAAAAAACCCTTCTTTTCTTGCGTTATCCAACAGTTTATTCGCGGTATTCGTTTTAAATAAGCACAAGTACAAATAAGCAATAGAATCGCGACAAAAACACCATCAAGAGAATAAACTACAATTAGAATCTACATTACCAAATAATGATAAAAATTGCCTTAACATTACTTTTAAAAAATCGTAAAAGAATTAAATTAGTTGTACATACCGTTCATATAGTTCTTCAAGTCACCTTTACAAAATCCAGATCAATAAAATTTACCGAAAATTCAATATTATAACTTAAATCGACTATGAGGAAGAAAGCAATACGATTTTTACCGTGTGATAAGAGTAAATTTGCGACTGAAATAATCCCAAATACTTTAAATGACTTATTATATATAAATATATATCCAATTTCTACTCATTGATTTCACTTCATACTCTACATTTGGAAAAAATAAATGCTTGTAAAAATTTTGTAACAATAATAAAAATATTAACAAATTATTCAGATATAATTTATTGTTTAAAATAAATTAATTTTTAAAAAGATTAAAAATTAAGTAATGCATGAAATTTAATGCATTAATGAATAAACACACAAAAGGATAAATAAGGAATGAATAAGAAACAAGGAGTATCAAAATCAAAATACGACTCCAGCATAAGACAAAATGACTCTAAATACTAAAGTAATAAAATAAAACTCCATGAAAGCGTTCTAAAAACAGAAAAATACAATATTTGCGCCGAAAAAACGAAGAGCAGAATTATATTTCATAATTTCGGAATCGTTTTAAAATTTCAGACCGAAGCTGAATAAACCGTGCCTTCCCATTGCTATCAGATGGTGCACTCGAATCGCCTATCATTTGTGGCATTTTCATCGAATTTATCCAGTGCAGTGACTAAATTTTCAAATATAAATATCTATATTTAATGCATAAAAGATAATAATGCAAAATTAAGACGATAACTTTCGATAATTCTTTAAAAATCAGAAGAAATTTAAAAAACAAAAAACGTTCACAATATCTGGTTAGATTCCCTCTGCTGACCTGTCACATAATATTAACGACAGTTAGCTGGCAATAGAAATAAATCGGCCAGTAACACCACTTGGATTTTTTGATAATAAATTTGCTTTTGAATAATCATTCTACTCTTTACGACTTAGAATAAAAACCAAATTTAATCGTTCAGCAGTCTACTTATTAAATATTTAATTCCTGAAAAAGCAAATTCGAATATGGAGGTTCCACTTGACTAAAGGCAACCAACATTGATTCAATATCGATTTCTTATTAGTAGTAAACCTGAAGCTAAAAGTGAAGAATCCCATCATCAGCTGAATCTGTGAATAAGAACTAGCATGCTAACAATCAATGAAGTCAACTAAACCAGAAATACTCTATAATAAAGAATAAAACCAGATCAGAAAACAAAAAATTCAAACCATAGAAAGTCCATTGTGTTCCAGCCATAATTTCCATGGTACTGCTATAGAACTGTCCAACCACTTGTTATATTCTTTCCTCATTTTCTCATCTGACAGAACTTCCTAAACTTTAAGATACTGAAATTATATTGAAACTAAGATCGCATCAGAAATAAATTTCTATTGAGGAAATCAACCACCTTAGCTTCTTGAAGTTTTAAAAATCTTTCATTGCTCAAATCGCTAGTAGAAGAAGTATCTGGATGATAACTTCGTACTCTCGCACGATATTCAGCAAGAATTTGTTCCGTCTAAGAATGATTAAAAAATATAAAATTTATAAAATCATTTTTTTCATTAAAAAATTTAGCAAATTAAAAAATTATTCCAGCAAGATGACCAAGAAAAATCTAATAATACGAAATACAACTAACCGTTGCATTTCTTGAACATCCAAGAACCGAATAAAAATCGCATGAAGACTTGCATGAAACATGGTCATCCAACACTTTCTCAATGATTCCAAAATCCATCTGAGTACTGAGCAACCACAGCTTTAACTGCAAAATGCGAAAAAATACATCCTAAATTTGTTACTGCAGAACTGCTAAACTTTATAATACTTTATAATACTCAAGATTCGGTCCCATACTTATAATAGATAAAAAAATATAGATAAAGGAAATCCTTTCCAACATAATTTATTCAAAATGAAAGAACGATATATTTATTTTTCGCAATTTAAACAATAAAGAAAATACGATACGGATAATTTCCTTTTCTGGGTGAAATTTTTTAAATAAGGACTTGCTCCGTATCAAAAATCATGATTAAGATGTATCATTTTCGGTACTTTTTCATTCTTCTTTTTTGCTATCTAAATTTTAATGAGTTTAGATTGGAAAAAAATTTGAAATTCTGCTAAAAAACAATCATTAAAAATTTATTATCACTGATTCCTCTATTACTAATCGTTAAGTGGTATTTATATTTTATATAATATCTAGACATATCAAAATTGCGCTTATGTGTTTAATTTAAGTAATTTGATAAAGAAGAAAAAAATATTCAGAAATATCTTAACAAGTTCTGTGACTTGCGCCCAGAGAATAATTTAGCGTGTAAAACTTTTTAATTTTTTCCATCGTTTTATTTTTCTTTTCCTTTCTAACTCTCTTTTCAAATTTTTCAAAGTGCAGGAGAAAAAGAAAAATAATTATGCAGATTTGAAAGTTGAATAAAAATAAATTAGCCAAATTAACTAATCACCGCTATGCACTTTACTGCCAAAGAATCGACTGGCGCAATTGTCTTTATCTTTTTTCTTCTTCTGTTTTATTGCTTTTCGATGCTGACTTTTGTAAAACTGAATATATATATATATATAATATAATATAAAACTGAATACATAAAAAATTAATGAATAAAAGATAATTTTGTCGAAAGAATAGTGATTCATGATGATCAAATTTACGTAATACAGTGATTTAAAATTTTCTAACAAAAAATCAGTTTAAAGTACATATAAAGATATTACCTTAATAATTCCTGATCGCATTTTCTTCCACTTTCGTTCAATGACTTCGAATGGTTGTATCCGATAAAAATTTCCAATAGCTTTAGCGATTTCATCATCAGTTTGGACAATGAAAAAGGATTTCTTAATACTTGTTGCAAGTATATTTTGCAAAAATAGTTTTTTTGCATGTGGCAAAGCTTGTTCCGACAGTTTTATATTATTTAATTCGCTCTGATCCGAAATCGGTGAAGCAGTTCGTACAATATCCCGAAGAAAATTAAAGCCATAGTCGCCTTCTGAAAATCCGCTGGGGTATGGAATCACGAAAAACTGGTATAATAAGAAATTTTAACCAATTTGAACTTAAAGCCAATAAAAGATGCAATACGTTCAACGACGTTTTCCTTTAAACTTTCAGCAAAACTTTGATTGATTTCATAAAACTGTTCTTTTGTGATACGATTTTCCATGGTTATATCGAGTTCCTTTTTCATATAAGTTTGCTTCTATAAAATTTCCAAAGTAATGTTAGCTGGAATACTGGAACAAAAAAGCAAAAACCAAACTTAAAGAAAAAAAATAATTAATAAAACCTAAGAAAGAGATTAAAGCTTGCAGAACATAGACTAAAAAATCACTTCCTCATTTGGGACTTTTCCCATTCGTGAATGAATCCAAGAAGAATGCTGCGCATCATCAGGATCAAACCTACTGAAAGGAACAATTTCTTTTGAACGAATTTTGACCGCTTTATTCAATCCGAAGTCAAAAACGTTAGTGCCCAAAACCTTTGATAAAATAGTTAATTCTTTTATTCTCTCATTTTCCGTTTCGTTATTGTCGATAGCCTCCTGAAAAATAAAAAATCCAAATAAAACTTTGCTTATTCTTATTTATATAAAATTTTAAAAAAAACCAAAAATAGAATTAAAATGGGAAAATATACTTCATCATCAAAATTTTCGAAAAAACGATCATCAAGCTTGAATCGCCTATCGTTACCAAATTTCATTTCCATTTCAGTCAGTTTAGCACCTCTTTTCCCAATATGTCGATTTACAATCTACAAGCATCAGAAAATATTAACCCAGAAAATAAATTTAAAAAATTATCAGCAAAACTATTGCAGAAATATTACCTGACTTCTAATATCGTCATATTCATCGTCATCACTATCGAATAAGCGCAACCCACTGTGCTTCACATCCTTAATTAAAAGATCACTTATTTATTTTTCTTTGATAAGAATAAAAGATAATTCAATCATACAATCTAAAAAAATTATGAAGCTCACGCTCGTTCCGCTATGATCTTATCCATCTCTAAACATCACCGTTTCTTATTTCATTTAATATTAGATGAGGCAATACTTCCATCAAAAAGCCAACATCAGAAATATACCAAATTTTTAATGGTTTTACTTTACTGAAGAAAAAGGAAGAATCAAATCCATCTGCCCTTAGCTAAGACTTCTTCTTCTTCTAACAGCTTTCACCATTAGTGGTTAGGCTGGTTCCGCTAGCTACAAAAGCACGACGTCTCCAAGCTGCTCGGTCCGACGCCAACGCTAAAGCTAATAGAAGCCTTAGCTAAGACGAAGTCAAATGAACAGGTTCCCAGGATAAATATGGGCGTATAAAGAGAATTTAACGAAATATTTAAAAAGTTTAAAATTTCACCGAAACGCCACCATCATCGCAATCCGAAAAAACAATTTTTCTTGGCTTATTCGCTTCCAAATCAGTAAATTTCAATGAATGTGATATTGCTAAACTTCGCTCCTTGAGCAGCTCACATTTTCTTGCGACACTTAACAGTCTGTAGAAAGTGTTTAATAATGAAGAATTGTGCTTAATATATAATAAAATTTTTAAGATAAATGCAAACGAAACGAGTAAACCGAATTCTGTCGCTTCGGTTTATATCGCTAACGATAGAATTTTTATTCCGATTCGCTTTAACGAAAATAAACGAAAGAAGAAAAATAAATTTATACCGCGAAAATTTTGCCTATAAAAACGGAGAATCGGAAATAATTGAAAAATCATCGAACCAAAATCTGTAGTAAAATCTACCTGATTTCCTCCGAACGCTCTTTTTTTGATTTCTCCATAAGTTTAGAAAAAAACCCACCACCATACACCTTTCGAACGCCAATGACTATTTTTTTTGTTAAAATTCCAATAATTAAGCTGAAGCTGTCAAATAATATGTTCTAAAAAGCGGACAGAAAGGTATTTTCGTCATTCTAAGTTCATTTATTGCTGCTCGTTTGAAAAGTAAACGGATGTAAATTTATTGATTATTAAAAATATGGAAATTTGATATGAATGGAGAAAGGGGACGGAAGAATAGCGTAAAATAAGACGAAGAAGTAATTAATAAGTAGAAAATGAAATTCAGCGGTAATTCTCCGTGGAATGCCGCCGATTTTCCAATGTCTCAAGTGACGATCACACAACGAAGCGAATTTCTTCTCGTGCAGACCGCCTTCTTCGAGCGATTGTCGGGCAGTTTCGTGCTGCCGCGACTCTTACGCATCTTCCTTCTGTGCGATTTGATGCGGCAGACTTGTTTGCGAAATTTCTAAAGTTTCGTAGGGGTAAAGGCTGCTTGAAGAAGGGCACTCGCATTATGCGAGGTCGTGGCGGAATGGCATTGCCACAGCATTGCTATTCTGCCAGTGGCACTCGATGCACCCTTGCACCCTTCTTGCATCTTTGAGAAAGCAAACAGATTTATCTTAAATGCACCAGTTTATTTGAATTTGAATTATAGAAAAAAAATATCGTATTTTCTGCCCACTTACATATATTTATTTAGTTTAAATATTTAAATGCCTGTATTTGCTGTATTTAATAAATATTCAGTGAATTTTTAATAGAGTTTTATTAAAATTCACCTTTTACATTTAAATATATACTATGCTTTATTTTTTAAAACATATTCCATTTAAATGTGGTAGAACAGATAGCCTATCACCACTGCAGGAGGACCTCAACAGAATAGCCAACTGGCTGCATGACAAGCAAATTACCCTTTCCTTTCAAAAATGCGTTCTTCACATCAATTCTAAAGGTTTCGATTTTCCCAATCTTTTTATTAATGGTAATATAATCAGTAGAGCCTCACACATTTACGATCTTGGAATAACCATGGATGAAAATCTCGATTTCGACCTTCACTGCAGAACCATGGTAAAGAAATCCTCAAAGATACTAAATTTTATTTCTCGCTCGTTTAAGAACAAAACTGAAGATTTTCTTATCAGTATGCACAAAGCTTTCGTTCGGCCTCTTCTTGACTACGATACTCTCCTAGATATCGTAAATCAAGTAAAATAATTGAAGGACTCCAAAAATATTTTATATGACGCCTCTCCGCTAATTGCAATTATAAAAGAAAACTTCTACAATATAACCTGGATTCTCTGTCAGTTCGTCGAATTAAACGAGATTTAATTTATACTTATAAGGTTCTGTATGGTGTTATATTAAACTAGATTGTTCAAAATATTATAATTTCAGGCTAAATTTGAATCCAACAATAACTAATGAGCTAAAGTTATTAAAACTTATCTTTAAAACTAAACTAAGAACTTATGATGTACTATTAATTACTGGAATAAATTACCGAATGATATAGTTTGTGAGCCATCCCTAGTTATCATTTAAAAAAAGATTAGATAATATCATTTATGATATTATTTAAAAAGTTCACATCATGCAGGAAGTGTGAAATCCCGCCGGCTGTATATAATACAATTACTTCGAATTGTACTATATTATATTATCCTACAATTTCATTTTTATTTCCTCTTTAAAATGATTGTCACATTTCTAATTTTCTTATTACTAAATTTTGTTTTTTTTTTTTTAAACTGTTGTTATCAATACAAGCACATGGCGTTGTCGCCCTGCTTGGCTATTAATAAATAAATAGCTTTGATTTTAATTGGTTTGATTTTATTACCATTTGAGTGATAAATATTTTAAATTATTTAAATTAACGTATAGAATGCGAATACATTGACATATTCCGAAATAATAAAATAAAATTTATGAAATAGGTAGTAAACCGAAATAGAAATATTTCCGTTTTGAATGCCTTTATTTTTATCAAATATTTTATTTCATTTTCAACAATCATTTTAAAAAATAAGGAACATGTTTGGCTATTCTCTGAACGATGCGAAATGGAATATGAGAAAATGTAATAAATAACGAGGTCTGAATGCATTTTGCCAGGTTTGCTCATTGTTAAGGAACAGGAATCGAATAATAGTACAACTTACTTGTCTTCAGTTGGATAGAATATAAATTTATCAGTGAGAATGGAGGAATGGAGAAAGAATTTGGATAACTGTGTTAGTGAGAGTCGATGGTTTTGGCAGCAGATAGGAAATTTGTTATTAAAAAACAAATTTGTCATTAAAAGATCCGACTGACCCATCTTAATTTTTATCGTCTAGTGATTCTCTGGCAAATTAATTTTTAACCATAATGGCAACTAGAAATTGGTGCGCTCTAATCACTTACTTAATTTTTAACTTGGCTTACCTAGCTATTGAACCTGAAATAATTGTTCATTCCATTCAACGCCGTCATCATTCGTCTTGTCTTGATAAAAAAAACTTGACTTTTAAAAAAAGTGATTTTTATCGAAAACCACTCTTCACATTCCTCCCATTCCTCCTTTTCCTCCTTCTCTCTTCCATTCAGATTTATTATTCATTTAATATTCTTCACTCTATTCGTAGGCGAAAATATTTCCGATTATTTGTTTATTCAGGTGACTTCAACAGTTTTGTGAATTTCGCAATCCAGTTGAAATTATTGATCTTATTTTAAGTTTTTTTTTGTAACAGCATTCCCAAAGATCTTTCAACTATCTCAAAATAAAAAATTCGGGGACAGTGAACGTATTTTAAATCGAATTATTGAAGCATCTCAATGGTATAAATATTAATGATTTTTCTGGAATGGCAAATGAATACTGGGAAAATGAATACTTAACTATAGGAATTTCTTCGAAAGTCAGCCGCTTACGCTAGGGCATACTAGTAGGAAATGCGCTAGAAAAGGTATCGGAAGCAAGTGTCCAACTGTCTGAAAAAGCTACTAAAGTATGTCAATGTCAAGAGATCCTGACTATTGGAAGCTTCGAAGCTACGATAGCAGCACGTTGGGACAGAAATCACTATTGGAGCGATATGGCCTTGAGAATGGAGAAGAAACCGTTGTGAATTCACCATAAAGACGAAAGTTCGCATCTATTTGCCATATGGCTGCGAGACATGCCCATTAAGAATGGATAGTATTAAAATCATTTGACTAGTCATGTCTGAAGTGCATTTTACAGGTTCATATAAAATCTCACATTATCGTTTCCACTTTAAATACTTCTTGTACTTATAATACTTACGTTCAAATACTTCTTGCATTAAGAGTACTAGCGTCGCCTTCGCAGGACACGTTCTGCGCCGCCCCTATAGGAGTTGACATATATTTTGTTACTTGCTAAACCCTGCGATGGATGGCGTCAAAATCGAGGTGTGCCAATCAAGATCTGAATTGATACGGTCAGAAAAGATTTTGAACGTATAGGTGGACCAACAATATATGGACTTAGACCATGGAAAAAGGAGTGGCTTCTATTATTATCGACAATAATATTAGATCGTCCAGCTTGGAAAGCGCACGTCTACTCTTGTAGCCAGTAATGTTGACGGCTATTGGAAGTTTTTATGTTAAGAAATAACTATATTTGGAAAAAGTCATTTGTGATTTAACGATTAGAGATTTCAGTCAGTTATGTTCCTACTTACTGAATAACGGAGCTTACTGATCTATAACTGATTCGTTATTGATTTGTTGACTCATTATTGATCTATAGCTGACCCATCATTGATTGTTTGAGGCAATCGTGCATCTGGTTTCGATCGTCGTTTGTCATAAAAATTCATTTTAAAATAAACAACGAACTGGATCCACCACATTCACATCATCGATATTCTCGATAAAACTAATTGCGGAAATCGATTTATTTTTTTCCTCAAAATTCTAAATTCCTCAAATCTATTTGTATTATCGCCCATATAATTTTTCTTCTAATCTTTTCACGTCATCCAAAATATGCGGAATAAAATATTCGTTGAAATCTGTAATGATTTGGAACTAGGAGGGATTTCGAACGCATCGATGGGTGGCTGCATCGGTGGTTCAGTGGTAATGTAATTGGCAGTGAGAATCGAGGATTTGGTTCGAATTTGCACGGTGTACCAAGCTTCATCGGGTGGCATTGTCCATTCGCCTAAAGAAGAAAAGCAAAGAAGAGTAGAAGCTCAGTGGGCTATTGCTCGATTCGGAGCGGCGGTGCTGACACTGCACTCCCAACAGGAATAAATCCGAAAAGTCTTAGTGATGGTCGTGCATCACCTGTATCCATATTCCCAACGGACTTCCTTGCATATTTTTCTAATCCGAAAAGCCAGCGGAGCGGGTCTCAGCGATGGTGAGTGCTTTTAAAAAATATATACAGTAGATGGATATAGGCTTAAGTAGTGGAACTTTGGAAATGCATCGTTCTTACAGCTGAGTGGAACTAAATGGAAAATGTTGGAGGAAGAAAAGATTGCATGTATATGTAAGGAAATCTAAGCCTGAACTTTTTACATGGTATAAAGAGAAAGTTAGCGATGTCGATATTTGGCACATTTGGTTGATGACAGTCTGATGTTCTATTGTGCTTGTGCGCTTTGAAAAGTGAAAAAATTTTGGCGCCGGCGCTATCTTCCTTGTTTCTTCGGTGGTAATCAAATTAACCTATCTTTTGCCATCACTTTTGTTCTAAAATTTAATTTGCAGACTTCTTGTTACCTTTCTAATAAATACCATTGTTGGCTGAAACGAGTCGGCTCACCGCAGAACCGGCTTCGCTGAGCCTCTCGGCCCGAAGCCACATAACACTGAAAATAACACTGCTTATCCTTTCCTCTTATTTTTGTTGTATTATTGCTTTTAATTCAAATGTCGAATTTGAGAACCATTAGTTTTGTTTTTTATTTGGCAAAAATCAATTTAAATTAATCAAAAAACTTCATGGAAACATTTTTGTCGAAATTTAATTTAATGTTTTTATTTTAATTAATTTGCAATTCTTCTATAAAGTTTTCCGTTTTTAGAAAAGTTTTTAGAATTTTTTAGAAAAGTTTTCCGTTTTTATAGAATATTTAAGAATATTTTAATCGTTTTACGAATTATAGCGCAGTAAAACTTTTAATTTATTTGTAGAAAATATTTAAAATATAAAAAATATATAAAATATAAAAATATTTGAACCGAGTGACCTTTGACATTGCTCGGTTCAAAATTCTTCTCGTATGCGAATATTTGACCCCGGTTTCTTCACATAATTTTGATTCACCGCTCGTCATTTAGGGAAAAGAAGAGGCAGAAAATTTCGCTTCATCGGGTCTCATTAGTCGTTTCAGTATTCAGTAAAATGTTCGTCTAAAATTTCATATCTTCCCTTAACTTTTTTATTATTTTGTTTATTATTTCTATTTAAATTCTTGTCAATTCCTTTCTGTTTGGAGATTGAAAAACTGCAGCCACAAGCAAAGATGCCAGGACGCAGTTCCGTTTTCTTTTATAAATAAATAAGTGCCGTGTCAATGCTTCTTTGCTACTTCTTCCAATTATCAACGCAATTTATTTATATTTAAGGGAGCCAAGTTGATCTGCCGTTGTCCATCGTTGTTAGATGCGTGTATGTTTCGTGGTTTTCTTCTCAGATTCCACGTCTTTATGTGCTTGGCACCATATTTGAAAAAAAATTTTCAATCGTTAAAAGCAACCAGCATCGGTGGTCGGGTTGGGTTTAAATTGCGGAATAAAGTTGTGGTTTCGCCACGAAATTAATGTTACGGTAATTCTGGATCCCAAAAATTTATTCAGCGTTTTAATATTATTGTTGTCGTTTGTTAGTAATAGTGTTAGGTTGAGCGATAGTTGGTGGGTCGGGGAGGAATTTCAGGTAGTTTTTTTAATTGAATGGTGATCTGGGAGGTCGTAGACTGGTTGGTGGCAACCAGTTCCCTTGTTAGTGGAATTCATGAAAATTACAAATTAAAGGATTATATTTGCGTGGAATTTTGTAGATCACTCGTGATTTCCCATTTGCGTTTTTTATTTTTGTTTTTAGTTTGTAGGTTTATTTAAATTTTTTCCTCGTGAAAAGAATTAGCTTTCGTTCTTTTCCAAAAATTTGATTCAGTCATTTGGCTTTGTTCCAAATATTCAAAATGAGAAAAGCAACCATTTTTTGGTGATTTTACTAAGTTCATCGTGTATCTGGGGAGTAGAGAGTCGCGTATGGGACGCATTGTCAGAGTAAATTAGTAATTATTATTCATCCCATATTGTTAAGCAGGAAAATGTCATGCTTTATCAGCTGCCGCGCCATAACAGTTAGTGGAGTGAATAAACTAGAGATGGCGTGTACTGTTTTAGCAAAAAAGCTAGCAGATGAAGGAGGATGTAAAAGTTCTGCTGGAAATGGCTTTATTTAGTGTAGAGGCTTTAATCAGCCTAAAAGAATTTAACTTATTTAATAATGATCTAGTAAAAGCGTTTAACCGCTTGCAGTTTTTAGCCTCAATTATTCGGCATTCGTTTTTATCAGAACTAGGTTCTCATTGTTTTTTCTGACTCTTTGATATATATTTTAAGAATAGAATAGAAATTATTATTTATTGTATTTATTGTGTCAAGTAAAAAATAAATTTCTGCAGATGCAGTACAAATCTAATTAAATTTAGCTTAAATATCGTTTAGATGAAATTATCAAAAAATCTGGATTTTCAATCTGGAATTTTCTTTTTCGGCAGCAAGTTTTCACAATTGTTATTCAATCTAATTTCGCAGAATTTTTTTCATACTTTGCGTTAATATTTATTAATTATTTTAATGTAAAAAAAAATTATTTTAAATTATTTCAGAGATAAGAGTTCTCTTCTACAATGGATAATAACCCTGTAGCAAAAGCAGCGAACGAAGCTGAGCATGATGATGAGTTGAATATTCAGGATTATTTACGTACATTACCAAAAAGCGTCAAAAGTCGAGTTTGTGCTCTCAAAAAACTTCAACTCGAAGGTTATTTTCTTGGCTTGATCGGGTTTATTATGTCAAAGGGTTCAAAAATTTAGAAAACAATTTTTTTGGAAGTTTGAGAAATGACCAAATGTTCTGCAGTATATGATACTCTTTATTATCCGAATAATTTTGTAATATCGCCAGAAAAGATAATTTCAGTGATAAATATTGAATCAGAGTTTTACAACAAGATTCATGAACTTGAAATGGAATTCGCTCCAAGGTTCGATTCTTTATATTCTAAGGTATATTTTAAATTTTTAAAATATATTTTAAATTTTCTCATATATTTTCGATTCTATGGCTTTTTCCAATTTTTGTATTTTGAATTGATATAAAAAGAATATATATAATTCTCAGCGGAAACAAATCGTTACTGGAGAATATGAACCATCCGCTGAAGAATGTGATGTTCCAATTATTTTTGGTCTTCCAGCGGAAGTGCAGAAGGTTATTTATATTTTCAATGTCTGTACTTTTTCGCATTCCTCGGAATAACTTTTTGAAACCAAAAATATGTTGCATATACTATATAATATATATATCTTGTAGGTTTCATTTCAAATTCCCTAAAGAGTTTCAGTTTGCATAGGGCGATAGATAGTTGGAATGTTTATTTTCATTGAAATTCATATCGTATAGTTTTTTTATTCAGACTTTGAATGACGAGAGTGATCCTGAACCACCTGAACCTATCAAAGGTATCCCCGACTTTTGGCTAACGCTTTTGAAAGAGGTTGATAATATTGGTTCAATGATTCAAGAACATGATGAACCGATTTTACGCCATTTGATTGATATTTGTGTCGAGCTTAAGAGTAATCCTAACGTGCGTTTACCACCGTTAAATTTTTTTTAAATTTCATTGTCTTTTCGAAATTGCGCCTTCTGCCCAGTAAAAAAAATAACTGATTTTTGAATATTTAGGAATTTTCTCTTTTCTTTCACTTCAAACCAAATGAATATTTTGAACAAACAGTGCTGGAAAAGAAATACACAATAAGAATGACTCCTATTGAGAATGACCCTTTCTCTTATGATGGACCAATAGTTACGAAATCATTGGGGTTCGTTTTAATTATTAGTTAAATTATATTTGCGTAATTCTATTGGAGATTACAATTAATTACAATTTTTGCAGAAATATTCTACGTTTTTTTGTTTTGTGGTTTATTATTTCTTTTTTTTATGACTGAAATCAAGTGGAAAGAAGGTAAAAATGTAACTCAGACAACAATCAAAAAAAAGCAAAAGAAGGGTAACAATGCGGGTAAATTCATATCAAAAGTAGTTAAAGCCGATTCCTTCTTCAATTTCTTCGATCCTGTTGAAATCAATAAAGATTTGGGAATGGGATGCGAACTGGATGTAAGTTGGATATATTTTCTGCATTTTGGTTGTCATTTATTTTTTTTAGTTTCCTTTTTTATTTGAGATTAATCAATTGTTATTTCGAATATTAGTATATTATATCAATATTTCGAATATATATTAAATTAATATGTTTCCACCACCATTGGCACCAGCAAGAATTATAGGATGATGAGCGTGAAATGGTTGAAGCTGATTTCGAGATAGGGCAATTATTCCGTGATCAAGTCATTCCTCGAGCAGTGCTTTTCTATACTGGAGAAATTGTAGATGACGGATTGCTGGATCAATTTGAAGGAGAAGAGGATGAAGATGAAGTAATATTAAATAAAATATAAAATTCTTTATCTCATTGAATTTTTAAAACTTACCTCTGTTTTTTACGATAACATTTTCTTTTCAGGATGAACAGGATGATGATTCTGACAGGGAATAATGAAATTGTTGTTTAGGGCAGTCTGTTCAATTCAGCTAACTTTATTCTTATCATCTTTGTTTTATTTTGTTGTTTCTTAAAAGACAGAAGTTATATTCTTTGTTTGATATTTGATATTTGATAAAAGTTATCATTTATTTTTATTTGAATCACAAATTTTTAAAGCATCTTTTTGCTTTTGCCATCCGAATTCTTGCCTCACTTTTAATTTATTACTTGAGTTGAGAAATTTGCCACTTTTCTCTTTCAATTTTAATTTTTCGATGTACCTGAGTTTGTTTGCAACATAGGTCGTTATAATATCGCTTATGAATAATATGCTTTTTTTCATATTTGAAAAAAATAAATCTATTGGGAATGGTTGTTTAAAAAAAGGCATTCAAATAATGTTGGAGTCAGAATATACTGTAACTGTTGGGCAATCAAAGGCTCGTGATTTAGATGTGCAAATTGAATTATTTAGACCATATCCCTGTATACTGACGAGAAGAATGAAGGGAAAGGGTGCTCACTAGAAAGCTTTTAGTAGTTGGTTTTCTTCCCGGTTTTGTATTTGAATGATTGGATTTGCTACTTCCAGAGTATTAACTAATGGGAAGCCGTGGTGGCTGTGACTGGGAAATCAGTGAATTACAATATTTATTTACCTGGAAAAAACGTCTGGTTGTGAGCAGTTTTAGTTTGTCTGATTGTGATAATTTGTTGAAGTTGATTAACTGCTCGAATAATTGGGAATCATCGATCGTACAGCGGAGTCGATTTTTTGTGATTGAAAAAGTCGTCGTAAGTTTTTGGGATTCGACGAATTTTGGTCGCGAATTTTTGGAGGCTTCGTCTTTCGTTTTTCTTCATCAAATTGCGCATAATTTTCTTCAAATCGTTGATCATATCGAAACCAATAACGGTGAGAACTGTGGAGATTTTTTGAATATCGGGTGAGACAGAGACAAGGGGCTGTACTTCAGGTCTCGATTTTGAAAGGAAACTAATTGATTTGCTAAATATTTTAGAAAATGTTTGGTTTGGTGGTATTGTACCTGGAAATGAAAGAAGTGCTTTTTTCTCGATTCGTTCCATTACCATATGCATTCATCTTTCAGGGCTTCTTTATTTAAATGGTTAGCATTTTTTACGTAAAAATTAAAACGCCATAATTTGGTCTTTTCTAAGAGCATTAATATTAATATTGTAATCAGTCCATTGCACTTAGCCAACTTCCGCTTTCCACTTTTTTCGCGTCATTCACGGTCCTTATGCCGTACAGTGATCATATTCATATTAGAGAAAATGTTTTGTCTTAAATTGAAAGAGAGGAATAATTTGAATAATCTGATAAGAATAATTTTTCAATGTGTGGAAGTTCTTTTTGTCCATTTCGAATTTAAATATGGCCAATCTTATTACAAATTTTTAAATTTGCCACTCCGAGATGCTGTTTTATACATTCGATAAGTATGGAGTCCGGGCGTAGTCAAATGACCTCAAAGCTTAAGAATGTGATCTACTCGCAAGCTATGACAGTTACTCAAGACCTGTCAAGAGAAACAACTCTCTGCACGCGCGGCGAGCTATTAACCGTAGCAGCACGGAGAGCTGCCCACACTCTTTCTAAAACGTGTGGATGTCGCCTACTTGTCGGAAGTTCTTCTTCCGCACTTTGTGTGCAGTCATCAAACCTGGCTTCGAGGGGAAGTACTGGCTGTTTATTGAGATGTTTCGGATAATTCGGGACGAAATGGAGCGTAGCGATTGTCATATCTGTAAAGGCTCAATCAGCTTTGATTGAATGGAAACCAGTAAATCACCGTATGGCTTACGCGCATTTCAAAGGAAAGTTTTGCAGTATTTTGGTTATCAGTGTATATGCTCCAACATTAAGTGCAGATGGCCCTGCTAAAGATAAGTTTTATGCGGAACTTTAATTGCTAACAAAGTCTCTATTGAAATATGACATAAATATAATCGGGGGAGACTGAAGTACGCGTTTGGATCGCTGCTGCGATAACTTTGATAGTTGGCAAATATGGCACCAGAGAGTGCCAGTGGGGATCGCGTTCATCGTTATGCCGATGAGCATGAATTTTATTAATACATAATTCCGGCGGAAACATCTAGTTATCTGGAATTCTCTGAATAAGCAACACTCCAACCAGATTGGTTATATTTTAATCAATCGCCGTTGAAGAATTCCTTACTAGATACTTGTTCATATCGGGGTCGCTGAAACAGGCAATCGTCGTAGATTAGACCATGTAATGGTTCAAGCCAAGATTCGCATAAAATTGAGAAACAACGTCAAATCTTTCAACTATCTCAAGCTAAAAGATTCGGGGACAGTAAGTGTATTTCGATTTATTGAAGCATCTCACTTATGCAAATATCAATGACTTTTCTGGAATGGCAGAAGAATATTGGATATTGGTCCCAACTAAAGGAATGTCTCTGAAACTCAGCTGTACTAGAAATGCTAGTAGGAAGTAACTTTAGTTGGGTATCGGAATATGTTCAACTGTCTGAAAAGACTGCCAAGGCACAATATCACGAGATCTGATTATCAGATGTTCCTAAGAATTATAACAACTGCAGCATGGCGGGAAAGAAATAGCTATTGGAGTGATATAATCTTGAAAATGGAGATAGTAGGAAATTAATAGAAATTATTTCGTTTTCTTCATCAAGCAGTTGTAATTCGGTGGTCGATCAGCAAAATGGTACAGGATAGCAATGGTTTGTCTGTTAAGAGTATTAAGGATCGCCTCGTAAGATGGAAAGAATTCGAATTCTTTGAGACCAAACTTAACCACGATGTGCTATTTGTTATACGATAAAATATACAACAAAATATTCACCTGCAATATTCAACTGTGCGATGAGTGGATAATGGACATCGCTTGTCGGCACTCAAGAGGTGTATAAATCAGTCCGGAGCACCGTACTACAGATCTTGATGATATAATCCTTTTTGCTGATAGTTATGTTGACAGTTGGTAACTACAGCGGGATTCGGTCTCCAGAATCAATGTAAATAAAACGAAAGTCTTTTCGTCTTATTTATAAGAAGCTGATAAAATACCTATTTTATCATTTCTTTGCCAACTGAAGAAGTGCCAGATTTCAAATATGATCCATTCTAATCCCATATGGCCAAGCGAATGACGAAATTATATCTCGAATATTTGCAGCTAGAAATCTAGAAATGGTTCCGGTTGATGAAACCTTTATGGGCTCGTCGAGAGTTCATTATAAAAACGAAAGCCGGCGTCTATGTAGTCACAGTTCACAGCTTTTTCTATGGCTGCGAGATCTGGCCACTGAGAGTGGAGGATATTAAGAAGCTATCTGCCTTTGATCACTTATTTCTAAGATATAAATACGGGTCCGCAGAGCTGATAAAATCACTCACGATTGCATCTACTCTCGCTCAAATATCAGAACGCCTGGTTCTTAGGGCACGTTCTTCGTCGCCCTCACAGGAGTTGACACGTTTTTCGTTACTTGCTAAATCTTGTGAAATAGCATGAAAAGCGAAGTGGCCCAATCAAGATGTGGACTGATACAGTCAAGAAAGATTTTAAACGTATAGACCAGCGATATATGGATTTAAACGATGGAAAAAGGAATGGCTCCTTTTATTGTCAATGATAGCGTCGGACCGAATAGTTTGAAGTCGTTCTACCTCATATAGCCATCGGAGCCAGTCTAACCAGTAATGATGGGAGCTATTGGAAGAAAATATGCTGCTTTATCGGAAAACGTTGCTTGCTGCTCACAATAGGCCATCGCAATTTCATTTCTTTTCCTTTTAAATTTTACTTAGAACTATAACTATTTTGATTTATCTGTTTTAATATTTAAAACTGTTAATCGATGTTCAATTTATAAATTGATAAATTATAAATTTTTATAATCATAATAAAAAAATTAGTATTTGTAGAATATTATATATTATATTTGTAGATTCGGCAATTGTAACTTTGTTACTCAAAAAACTTAACCGATTTGGCGAATGTGCTAATACTATCGCCTCTTCATTGCTTGAAAATGATGAACGTTGTCTTTCCACCTTATCTGCCCTTCTTTATTTGCATGAAAATAGTGTGTAAGTGGCTGAAATATTCTATTTTTTTTTTTATTGTTTTCTAAGCGATTACGTCTTCATTCCGCTATCATTTAGACTGTAATGGTTATTAGAGATTTATCTATATAATCAGTCTATCGCAAAATTATTATTTAATATAAACTTTAAAATAAAAAATATTCCCTTTTTCCATTTATCAAGTTTTTTACATTTTTATTGGATCTCAAATATCTTGCTAATTATTCTGCAAACATCATGTGTTGGAAGAATGGTAATAGAACATCGTTTCAAATTTCACTGGCAGCCTCCCTTCATAAATAAATTTTCATTGATTTTCTCACTTTCGATTCAATAGATATAGGATAAGTTTTGGAAGATCGTGCGATACGATGATTTTGTGGCTTATAATGGCTTCTGGTTTAACTAGTCTCTGTCGGCGGAGTGTAAAGCAAATAGACACTTTTAACTTCTAGATCTTTTAAAATATGCTTTATGAGTCAGAGTTATGTTTTTCTTTCATGATTTTTAGTTATACGATAGGCTAGTTTACGGAATTCTCTTACCGATGCGCAGGAGTTATGGAGCATAGCATCACAGAACAGATCTCTATCTCTCTCTTTTCCGCTGTTCTAATTTTGACCATTTTTTTGAAATACATTTCTGTGAATGCATTGCCATTTTACTAAAACTGTTGTGTTATTCATTTTTTTATTTTTTATTTTTTTTTAGAACTTAATTTTTAGAAGCCTTCAATAGTAATGGTAAATTTTATGGTAAATATAATTCCAATGTTTTAGAGTGTTACCAGACGAACTGAACCCTCGTTATATTTTTGTTTGCGTTATGTATCAAATTGGATTTGATCATGAAGTTCGTTCTGCGAATTTTTCAACTTTCTTACTTTCTGCAATATTATTTTTCGCAAATCTTTTCCTTGAATAAAAAAATATTTAGAAGAAAATAGAGATAAAATTCCAGGTATTGGTAGAGTGGATCCACTCAGAAACTATTTCATCTATTTGCCTTTATCGGTTCTTCAAAGATATAAAATTAAACTTAATGGAATATAATAGCAATTTAAAAAAACAGTTTCACTGTGGGTATGTTGTTTCCACTTTTCTAATAATTATCTGTAAAGAACAGTGTATTCTGTATGTATAGAAACAGAAGCAGTGTAGCAAGCAGTGTTATATTCTGCGTAGTCTAACCTAGCATATAGAGTATGGCATAATCGTAGAAATCCTTCCACTTCTTTTAGACCAGTATTTCGGAGCATTCATACATATTTACTTCGCAAGGCTCATAAAACCGGATTTTCATTGCTTTTAAAGTTATATGCCGAATATTTTATTTATTTCAGACTGGAACTGATTCTAAAAGGTTTCTAAATAATTACTTTTTAGTCCATTTGCTGAAACTAAGCTCTATAGACACAAACGCCCGAAAAAAAACACCAGTTCATTCGAAGTAAGGGATAGTCTTAATGCAGGATTTTTGTTACTCAATATTCAACAAATACATGGTAACCAACCAGAAATTACAACTTTCCACTTTCCATACAAGCAAGAAGTAAAAATTTTAATCATCCTTTTTCTTCCTGTTGTACAATATATATGATGTTAGCTTTCTTCAGTTAAATTTTCTAGTTGCGATATTATACGCCATATCCTTCACCTTGCCAAAGATTTGTTTAGGAGAATACGTAGATCTACCCATGAGTCATCTAGATTTCATTTTTAATAACAAAAATAAAAGGAAAATTTCAAAATCTGTTCGATATATTTAAATTTAAAGCAAAAATTTTTTTTCAGCAGATTATTATATTGTAAAAGACAGAAGAAAATGAGTTTCAGATAACAGTGATAAAGCAATCTGATGGTTGTAATGGATCGCTAAATAAGGAGAATCTCATGCAAAATATGATTGATTGCTTCATACGATTTCGTTTAGTATGTGAACGAATGAAAGTCGCTAATATTGAACCATTCAATTTAAAATTTCTAATTAAAGCTATTGAAGGAGTCGAAGAGACTTGGGAATATTGTATAATGAATGGAATAATTAATTGACCGGATTATATATATCAGGTAATGATGGCAGTTCATATTTTCTAATATCCCAAATTTATTGTTTTCTGTTAAAACGGAAGCCTTTTATGAAAAACTAATCTGGATGATTACAAATCTAGCCGTCTCATGAATTTTTATTTACAATTCATTCGAATGCATGATAGATTGTTCCACGGACAGAAACACACTTATATACTAGGTTGTCCATGCAAATCTTGAACACAAATGATGTTGTCCTTTTTACTGACAGTTATTTATGATTACAGATGCTGTATTGTACAACAATAAACCGCATAGGAAATCAGCCTTCATCCAGTAAATTGTAATGCCATCCATTTCGTCCCCTACATCAAATTTATTAAATAATTATTTTAATTTATAAATGCATTTCTGGCTGAAGGACCACTTCCACTTTATTCTGTGCCCACTATAATACGGAATACACCCCAATACTAGATGAAATTCCTTGAATTAATAGCTTGGATAAATGCTGCCAGAAATATTTTTTCTTCCATCTTACGAAATCATTATCCAACCACTGCAAAATCGATACCAAAGATGAATAAGAGCGACAGACGTCAAAAAAAAAAATCATCTGGCATTCTTCCTTAAGTGTATTTGTCCATGGATGGATAAAAAACGAAAGAGAAAGAATCGGCAGCTTTCAGAAACATATATAGATTTCAAATTTTATTGAAATCTGTTGAACAAAAATTTAATACACAAATTCAAATTAGATTCAAGATGCACGACAAAAGACAAAATTTTTTTTAGAAATGCAAATATTTTCCCATTTATGGCGCTGAATAATCTCAAAACATCAAACTACACGAATTTAATTATATACCATTTGTAATGTAAACAGCTACTTGGATTTCATTTCCAACTGCTCTAGTACTGAAAAGTCCATCAGGATTTTCATGAGATTATTAGCAATATTATAATTCAAAAGGCAAGCAGAAGATATGTGACATCAATTGTTTTTATTATAACAGTCATAATATAATCGTTTGATAACTGTTAAAAATAAATGTAAAAAATAGTAAAATGTAATAGTAAAATCTAAAAATAAAATAAACATTATCCAGAACATCCACGGCACCCACAATGTACACATTCTATCACACGACCCTGAAATATATATATATATATATATATATGATTTAGAATTTATAGAAATAAAAGAGGAAAACGAAGGAAGAAAAAAAATATGTTAAGTTGAGAAATAATTTTTGAAATGGTTTTTACAAATAACATATCGTCAAAAAAATTTTACTTTCTTATATCCAATACATTTTACCTTTTCAGTTACTTTTTATAAGTTTATTTAAAGACAGAAACAATGAAGTCCCAAAATATCCTAATAAAAACTATTACTAAAATTAAATCAACAGCATATTTCCATCGTAATTTTTTTAAAAAATAATACCGCATCTAATTTGCTTTTTGGGACTCTGCAAATACAATTCGTACCAAAATTTGTGTCACGCGTTTGGATACATCTTAAACAACATAAATTTTCATATCCTTGTTTCTTCCACTTAGCAATAAGTTTGTCATCGGCCAACTTCGTATCGAGGCAAAATTGATATAGCTCTCTACTTATTACTTGTCGTTTATAATATAGATCATATATATAACGAGACCTCTGGTGATGTATCTACAACGTGTACTTTTAAGCCATGGTATTTAAAAAAATTCATAAAACTTAGATACATGAAAAAAGAAATTTTCTAAATGAATTCGATCGAAGAAATATCTTATCATAATACATAATACATAATACATCATAATACATAAAATAAAGGAGTACTTTGAAAATAGGCCAAAGTGTTTCAGTTCTTCGCTTTCCTTCATGTGGATCTGTTTCGGCTTCACGCATCTTCGCCTCGAATTCATCTAACGTTGGTTCGATTAGATCCCAACCTTCTGGAGGTTGTTTTCTCAAACGCCTCAAACGATTGGCTACAGACATCACTGAAATAAGATAAAGTTACATTTAAAAATTGATTTTGTCGTAATTCGTAATCATCAAACAAGCATGATCGTATGAAAATAATAAAATCCCTAAAAATAAAAATTTATCCCAAGCAAATTTATCCAAGCTGAAATAAAAATTAGCGGAAAAAATAAAAAAAATAAATGGAAAAGCGGTTTGAAGTTGAACAATCATGGAAAAAAAGAGAAGTGTATAAATACTGGAAAAATTCTATATGAATGTTTTAACCTATTTTTTCGAATTACTTCACAAAATCTCATTTCTTCGTAACAGCGAAGGACCAAAACAATGGTGGCAATTCGAAAGGCTTAAAAACCACATCCTCATACATACATTCAAGCAAGGCAAACGGAAGTCGGTGCACCTTGAAAGAACAATAAAACGTAAATTCCTTAACAAAAAAACATCGAAAACAATAAACCCTCAATTACATTTGATAAATTGTTTAATAAATAAATGAAAAAGAACCAAGAATGGAAATGAAAAAAATAAGGAAGAAAACAAAAGAATGCAAAAAAAAGAGGGAAGAAGGGAAAAGAGGGTTTTTCCTTTTAATTTCATTTCTGCCTTAATTTGTGCCATCTAATAGGGCGATGCTTTTAAATGATCTCTTCGCAGAACGGTCTCCAATGCGCGCATGCATCCAGCATCCGATCGCATTAAATCAAATCTTAAACCGTATCCTAACCAAATTGATTCCGCACAAAATAATTCTGCTTCGCTAAGATAAACCTACTTTAAAAGTTATAGCGACTGGAAGCCACCTGCAAATCTATTCGCAAGGTTGCCTCGCTCGTCTTTGGAATCGGCCAAATTAGAAAATGGTGAGTTACCAAAAAACCTGAAATTATCAACCTGAAATTTGTTTTACGAATGGATTTCCCTCGTATATTCATTCCCCTTTATATTCCCTAAATAATCTTTCACCGTCTTCGCAGTCGCTGCAATTTCCACCAACTTCGAATTCCCCTCTAAAATTATTGGCGAGGATATTATGGCTATTTCCCATTAAATTGCTATTCCTTAATTATTCAGAAATTATTTCGAGAAATCGACAGAAAGAAAAATGAGCTTCCGCGAAATATAACATAAAATACAATTCATTAATAAAAATTACAATCACCGACAACTTCGTCAGTAAAATGAAATACGATATGAAGCAACACGACAAGCAAAACACGACGACCCGAAAATTTAAACAAACCACTGCAACAGAAAATTTTTGCAAAAGTAAGTTGCATCTTGGTGGATGCGCATATACTGATTGTAGAAATTCGTTTCGAGATTAATTAAGAAATCAACAGCTTTCTTATGATTTAGCAGTTTTATTTACCAGTGGCAAATATGGCATAAAAATGAAAAACAAAAAATATATTTTCTTTATTAGAAATGCATTATAATGAGGCTAAAAGTGAATAAACATGATCCGCAATTGATTAAATTTATGTTTATCAATAAATTACAATGAGACAATTTAAAGTCCGTTTATAATAGCAGTAAACCAGAAAAAAATTAAAAAGGCGATTATTGAATATTATTGAAAGTCTAAAATTGGGATCATTTTGTGGTAAACAGGTGAACTGCAACTCCATATCCACATAGCGATAACGAATAATCTCGGAAGAAAACGAGCTGTGAGGATTCGATGGGGGTGTTTAGGAAACGTACGAGTCAAATTTACATGGCTTGAAAGAGTTGGTGAAGTATTGGCTGAAAAGGTGCGCCGGAAGGAAAACAGCCTCCTACCCCATTAAATTCTTAATACCATTTAGATTTCCTTTTATATTAGTTTCTCGAAAACCCTTAATAGCCTGTAAAGCTCATTTGTTGTTCTCAAATATGAACAAAACATTAATCAGTGATGATCAGCAAATAGGTGACAATTATACAGAATTACAAGACATTCTTTTGATAAAATGCTTAATTGCAATTGCAATCTTGGATCCACCATTATACCAAGCGTGACCGAGAGTAGAGGAAATTCGAGAGAGCTGCAGCTGTAGTTGGTTTCTTCCGAAGCTAAGCTATCCACCTTTGAGCATTCTTGCCTACTGCGTCGAAATTCACAAGACTGTATTCACCTTCGCTCCAGCATGCCGTCTCCATTAGCAGCTTTTTAGACCGTGTATTTCTTGGCCTATCCTAGGAAATCTCCCTTATAATATATGCCGGAGACCCGGTATATTGATTCTGGGAATCAGGATAGATTCTGGCATTGCCTTCAGGCATGGCGCGTGAGGTTTTAGAAGTTTTCATCCAAGCAGCCAGTGGATGCAGCCGAGTCAAAATGCTGTGCTGTGAGTAGTCAAAAAGCCGATGAACTAACAAGAATGGTATGGAAATGTAAATTAAATTAATTGTTTTATTAACTATTTCAGTTTTTAATAAAAAAATTTTTATTTTGGTGCAAAAATTTAAAAAAACGAAACAACTGAAGTGGAAATTTGAAAACAATTATTTACAATAGCGTTCAATGCAATGTTATTGTTCACAATTTTCAATAAAATTTTCTTTTTTTATGAAAATTTAACGAAGATTTATGCTCAAAAACATTTAAAAGATTTATTTTTCGCCTTTCTAATTCGCTTTTCTCTCACAAAGTATTATTTTTTGCAAAATTAACGATGAAAAATTCAAATTTTAAAAATTTCTCATGAATGAATGAAAGAAAAAATGTGAATCTTCTATATTTCCAGGTAACAATGGTACTTCATTAACCCGGTTAGCATATTGCTTATCCGGAGAGCTCCATTCAGCTAAGACTTATTCAGTGTTGATTCCAAACTACCAATCTGCACCAATTATACAGTCACTATTAATGAACCATTGCGATTCGCGAAAATTAACTTATGTAGTCAAAATGAAGACTTTTTTCACAGTGGCTTGTTTTATAAGCGTATGTCACTTGTTTGTTATTATTTCATAAATATCGACGAGAAAATTGCTGCAAGTATCTTAAGGAAATTCCACAAAACAATGAATTAGGCGAATCTTTCATTATCAAATTTCGAACATTTCTTTGTTGATGGAAAGAGCTGATTATCACTAAAATAGACTTGTATGATCAGTTGTAGTATTTGAGTCCGTTCAATCAGAATACCGAAATGGTTTAAATTTCTCTCATCGGTGATATTTTCTTATTAAATCCTTATCTTTATTTTCATTTATTTTCTAGTTTCTAGACGTTTTACTTTGGTTTATTGCTTGAGAAAAAACTTACTTTCCGGAGACTTTCATAAAATTATCAACAATAATTGTAATTGGTAAAGCAAGCACAAGCACACCCGATATTATTGCACCACTTGCAATCAATTTACCCGCTATAATATTTTGTCATTTTAATAATTAATAATAATTTGAATTAATATAATAAAAACAAATAGTAATCAAGCAATAATAAGAAATTAGTTGAGTTGTTCTTGCTTTTTTAGGACAAAAAATTCATTCGTTTCTTAAAAAATTCTAAAGTAAATAAAAAGATGTCTCTCAATTATGGCGATAACAGTAATCAGTTTTTCAGTTTTTATCTGTTTCCTATTCATGAAAGAAACAAATTACGAAATTGAGAAGAAATGAAAGTAATATGATGGAAAATACGATAGCACAAAATTAAAAATTTCCTTAAAAATTTTAAGCGAACGGTAAACAGTAAAGATCATATTTTTTAACAAGAAAAGATAAGGAAAATTGAGTAGATAATCCATTAAAATATAATTAAATAATGAATTTGTCTTGAATTATATTAAAATCAAGCCATTAAAATGAATCACTAATAAATTTAAACCATTAAACAGATCTATTTTCATACAATTTATGAACAAATCATCTCTTCAACTTGTCGAAAAAGTAAAAAAACTCACGCACTGTAATTGGTACATAATCACCGTAACCAACTGTAGTCATAGTCACAATGGCCCTGAAAATTTTCACTTTTCTCTAGGTTATCTTCGCTGGCTGTCAAAAAACTATTTGGCGATAGTAGTAAAGATGGTTAGCCAGTACCACCCAAATTTTTAAATTATTTCTGTTAAAGCAGAAAATTGAAATTAAAATCAAAGGTAACTGATTTCGAGCAACCATATTTTCAAAAACCACCAAAATTAAAATTTTTAAAATGTATAATTGCTAAATATATATAATCGTAAAAATGTACCACCAAAAAGCAGCTGGAATCGATGTAAATGGTGTTTCCATTTCATCTTTTTCGACAAAATACAATAGCGTTGAAAAAAAAACCACTCCTGTTGAAAGCACCATTGCCATCATACCTAATTGTCGTGCGCTACTTTTAAGAGTCAATGCAAACGTTTGCATTCCTGAACTATATCGTCCCAATTTCAAAATTCTTACCACTCGTAAAACTTTCATTATTCGCATTACCAAAAAAGCTCCTGAATTATATCAATTTTTTAAACATAGGATGCGCATTAAAAATTTCTTAAAATCCATTTTAAATAAAAAAATTTAAGAAATAAATAGCAGTAAAATTTTAGATGCAAAAAAATTTTCATAAATTGCCCAAATCAATAGAAATCATTGAAATTAATAATTTGCATATGGAAATTTAATAAAAAACAATAAAATTTATAAAATACTTTCAGAATAATCATTAGCGAATATTATTATACTATATTGTATAATGTATTACAATAATTACAATAATATTATAATATTTAATGTGAACGTAATTCCCTTTGTAATGTGTCTTTTACCATCTTGTTTTTTATTTATTTTGTAAATAAAAGGGTCAAACAGGACCTATATCCAAGTGGTTGGATAATGACCTATAAATGACTTACTATAATGAAAAAAAGTGCAAGAAAAACGAAAGTAACAAAAAGCAGAAAAATATAAATATTTGATATTTGAAAACTTGATAATGAGCAGGACCAGGTAAAAAAGGTATAACTCTATATGAGTTATTTGAACGATTTTCGTTTATGCATCGTTTATTTTTGATTCAAGAGAGGATATAATAAGTTCATAGGTAATTTATTCCAGTAAGGAATAGTACGAACAAAAGAACTGACTTCTGAGTTGGGCCTTATAGATAGCCTTTACATTGGATTTAGTTATAATAGTATTGAGGCAGATTGTAGAATCTATCATTATGATTTATTTAATGCGGTCAATTAAAATTTTCAGTAAATTTTAAGTTCCCTTTGACTCTCTCTACCTGTAGTGTTAGCGAATTTAAATTAAATAACTTAGGCTTGTTTTCAAAAATAATTTGGTCATTATTTGTAATCATTTCAAGAAATATTTCTACAATCCTTCAATAAGCTTAAGCTTAGGATTTTCTAAATCGAAGAGAATAATATGCTTGTAGAGAATGGACCAAATACACGATGTTTTATAAGAATTTTTCTATCATCTTTTCTATCCAGTCCGATATGATTTATACGTTCTATTACCACGATGATTAATGGAGAGCAAAGGAAAATCAATATATTTCGGGTTGAGATGTAAGACTTAAACACTTATCAAGAGAAAGGCTAAGTTGTTTATCATGGAACCAGTTATCCACCCTTTTAGTCATTCTGTAGAAATTATCAAATCCTTCTTGTAAGCAATAAATTTTACAATTATCAGCATGAATATAGATATTAGAGCTAACATGAAACTGGTAATATCATCAATGCATATTCAAAAAAGCAGAGAACTAATCCAGCTACCTTGACACATATCAGATTTAGCAGTACTCAATATGGAGTTATTAATGCGAACGATTTGTAACGACCATTTAAATAATTAATAATCCTCTTATATACAGTGCCAGTGAAGTCCATTGCAGAAACAGTAACTTCTTATGTAAGACAAAGATGCCAAAACCTTTAGCAAAATAATCTAGATAAGCAATTATTATCCATGGTCTATGGGCTCCGTCCATTCATAAAGATTTATTCGTAAAACAGATCTTCCGGATACAAAATCCGTGCTGAGGCAGAGTCATTAGATTAAAGTAGACTATAAGTCTTTCGCATATAAATTTCTCATATTTTGGAACTTGTAATAAACTAATTGGCCTATAAGAAGGCACATAATCTTACACAAGATAATTATATAATTTCCAAATTTTCGAATTAATATAGTTTCTAAAATATTCTTAAAAAATAAGAATAAAGGAATAGCTAAAATTGAACATTTTTTAGAATTTGGGGAATTACTATCTAAATGGAAACATTATAATAGCTTAGAATTTTTGAGGATATTAAAAAACATCAAATAAGTCTAATATTGCCTCATTATTGTCAAGAAAGCAGTTAATATTTGCATTATAAATAAGAAGTAGATTTTCTTCGATATTTTCATCGACAAATTTGCTGAAATATTGAATATTGAATATGTTAGAAATAACCAATTCGTTAGTGATCATTTTATAATTATCACTAAATTTTAGAGTTATTTGTTTATTCGGATTAGAGAAATTGGTAAAAATTGAATTTTTAACATAATAATTCCAAAAAGAACTTCTATTAGGAGAATTTAATATTACTTTTCCTTGCGAAGAAAATATTCATGAATTTACAAACTTTTCGAATAATCTTTATAAATAAAATAAAATAAATAAAATCACAAAGAGAGATAGTTTTATGGAATTTATTTTGTAGCTCTTTGTTCCATTTGTCCGCTCAATTTTTATCATTTTTTATTATTAGTCTCAGGGTTTCCAGTCCTGCTTCATGAAATATTTAAATAGAATGGTGCGAAAATGGTGTATTATTGCAAAGATGAATACCAAATAAGCTATTAAATATGCTACGGTGAAATAAAACATACAAGGAATATTGAAGGACAAAGCTAAATAGGTATAAACTGACTTATAAACTCACTTAGATTAACACTTACATTAAATACTTGACTGTAAAAAAAAATGAATAAAAAAGAACCTTTTATATCACTTAGACTTGTAATATCAACACCGCAAAGATTGAGTGAAATTTCTAAATAAAATGGAACGATCGCTATCAAATCTACAATGTTCATTAATTCGCGAACGAATTGAAGACGATTCGGTGCGACACAAAATCTCAAACCGTATTCAAAAGTGAACCAAAGTATACATCCACTCTCTAGATGAGTAAATATTGGCATAGGTTCCCATTCTTCAGTGACTTAAAAAATGGGCTTTAATTCAGATCAAAATTATTATCAAATCGCAAATATGAATTTTCGATTTAAATGAGAAACTTTAAGGCTAATAAGCGCCAAGCATTTATTAAAAAATTGTTACTTCGAGTAAAATTAGACGAGTTATTACTTCGTTTTGAAATATTTTTGACCACTGGTACCTGAAAAGAAAAGCTTTTTATTTGTACAAGTTTCTCTTAAAATATTTTCGTCAAAATATTTATAATTACAATAAAGTGTTGGAAGCAATCGTTCCATTTTATATAGAAATTTGTAACAACAATAAAGTATTCACAGTTTTTGGGTTTTATAATGAAATTAGCTTCATGATTCCAATATTTTCATCTTCTCATAGGTCTTCCTCTTTTTCATTTGTCATTCATAGTGTTATGCCTTTTCCCAGCGAATTGTTTCCATCAAAATATCTTAGCTTGAGTCTGGTGCTATATGTTTCAAGTGATATCTCTGTTATTTTCTCTAAGACCCATTTATTTGTAATGGCGGTAAAATACTGGACTAAAGCATATTTATAATATGGACAACGGCATTTTAGTGTCTTTAATCTATATTTGGCTCATATTTCTCTTTTTTACTTATGGACGAAACAAATCATCAAAGGTGGATCGGAAATATAAAAAATTTTCGATAGCTTTTAAAAAAGAATAATGAAAAAAAGTTATGTGACTTTTAAATATTTCACTTTTTTCTCTTAATAATCGTTAATTGTCTCTCCATTCAATGTCACATAATTGCAGCAATTTTATTTTCTTTTCTTCTAGTAGCACTCACCAAATTATTATTTCTGGCTTGGCTAGTTCCAGTGACTATTAGAATGGTGAAGATGAATCTTCAGCACCATCCGAATTGATGAGATGCTCACTCTCGTTAAAATAATTGAACCGATTGAGCCGCTTCAATCGGTAATTAGTTTTAAAAATAGCAAAATATTAGATATTTTGATATTCTTAAAAAATAGTAAGCCATTTGCAAGAAAAAATGATAAGAATATCGTAGCTTTTCAGTTTGTAAGAACAATGCTACAAGGTACAACGGGCAACAGGCCAACTTAAATTTTACATTTTACATTACAAAATATTCTGCCATTCGCATAAGATTATATTAGTTTTAAATAAATGATATCATAATTCACCTGAAATTCATGTATGGAACCAAAAACAAGCCCGATTACAGATATTAATACGAAAGATATGCTCATAAATGAAAATACGTTCGATAATGTAGTGCCATCTCCTTCACATATTTTATGAATTCGTTTACGTAAATTTTTTTCCGACTCACATTCTACGATTAATTTTTGACATTCGTCTTGAAAATCTAATTGACCATTTTCTCTAAAAATAAATTCGCTATGATTTTTCTTACTCGATTTATTAAACCAATTCTTAAGCTATTAAATTTATCCATTTAAAAAATTCATTTATTTAAAAAAACTTTTGAATATTTCAATAATTTTATGGCAGTAATCATAGATAAGTTTTCCATGAAAATTGTAAAATCGATAAGAAATTACGAACGTATTATTGCATCGATATGCGCAACATGGAGCTAAATATTTCATTGGAATATTCCAGTAAAGTAATTCTGCACTAAATTCATCGATACAAATATCGAGTGGACGATGCAATTTACCCGAAATATAAAATTTTATTATTGCTTCGAAAAGTTTTGGGGATCGTTCAAAATAATACTCATCGCTATTCTGAAATTTCCAGATAAAGTAGAAATTAAGTTAATAAAATTAATTTGCCTTCTTCTAACAGCATTCACTTTTCATTCTGGTGTGCTCGGCTATTAGCTATTGGCTATTAGGATGAGAGAACAACTTGGAGATTGGACCCCAGCACCATTCGGAGAATTCATTTTTAATGACATAATTGCTTCCGCTTTTTGGAAAGACAAAAAACCTATAATGAATGGAATGGAATCGAAACAGCATGCGACATTTTCTTAATTTTGATTGGCAAAAAATCAATGTTTTTTAACCCCAACTTTTGAAATAATTTCTCTTTCGCTCATCTTTTGCTTTATGAGTGCTATTGATGTTTTATATTATTAATAGCAATAAGTAAAAAAAAGGCCAAAAATGAATATTGCTGCAAAAATAATTATTAAATAATTGATTCTTTCTAATTTTGTAGCCATTTTCTCTACTTTTAAAATTTTTACATCCACTGGAATAGTGGTTGATGGGCCATTCACCAATATACTACTTCTTATACTACAGGCAAGTCCGATTTTTGCATGCAGCTAGTCCGCAGTGACTCGCAGGCGAAACGCTGTTCAACTTAGTAGTCAGTGAAGCTATCGGCATATTGTTTCACTGCTGTAATGAAATTAACCAAACTTTTAAAGATATATGTTATATGTTATAAATAAATGTTATAAATAATCGACCAAATGATGAAGTGGAATGTATATGATAAATGCAAAAAGTTACAGAGAAATATGCATCACAGATTTTTAATCGGTCAGAATGTGTAGTTGACTTGGCGAATTCAACAAGCCGTCCATTATCGTTACGGCTGAGCAGCGTTGATAAACGTATTCGATACGATGAACCGCCTATATTTAAATTTAACACAAAATCACGATCCAGCTTCACTAAAATTCTGAATAAATATTTTTCATTTATTTCTATTTTTGCAAAGCATCGTTAAAATTAAAAGAGTTAAATATTTTTTCGCGAGATATGTGCAGCTGATTAAAAAACAACTTAAAAATAAATTCATTCCCCTATCCATTATTCATCCATAATCTTAAAGAACAAATGAAAATTACACACCAATCATTTAAAAAAACTTAGATTCATAGTTCATCTATTTCAGCAGTGATTCTATTTTTTTTCCAAAAAGAGGAACACCATACAAATCTCTCAAGGAGGCCGAATAGCCGACTTCAGGAGCAGAATTCATTCCCGAAAGATAAGCGTGTATTAGATAGATTAGTGCAAATTCACGTCGAACATTGCAAAAATTATTCGGCATAGATGAAGTTGATTTAAGGACGCTTATGAATAGAAGAAAAATAAGGAAAATAAAATTTTTATTGAGAAACTAACACTAAAATAGCACTTACGAGAACGAGTCACGAATCATGCTACTAACATTTGACTTATTTCATGGAAATTCTGCGAATGAGATTATGAACATTTAATATTATTACCTGCCCACTTACACAGAAGTACTTATCATTTATTCGGTTGCAAAAATTCTGTTCATGAAAAAAACAGTAAACAGGAAGCAACAAAAAATAAAAAAATTAAATTTTAGTTCAAATAGAATAATGAAATAAAAGATTTCTACCATAAACAACTATTCTAATGCTTATAATTTATCTTCGAGATAATTTATCTTTATCTTGAAGAAAAGAGATGATTAAGGAATATTCGAAAAAGTTTCGTTTGAAGCCATTTATTCCTTTGGGATCAAATTGTATTGACAGAAAATAATAGCAAATAGCATGAGTTCGACCTCTTTCCCATGACAAATGTAAACTTATCATTAAAAATGAAATGCGATTCGCTATTGGGTCACCTATATTTATATCTCGAAATGACTCTAAAGTAAAGGATCGCATTTTAGTTAAGTTCGATGGAGCCAATCAAATCCGTAATGGAGCATATTGTTAGAAGAAGAAGATACAATTTATTTAACTCAACGTGATTTTCAATCAAAGAATAGTGGTATTTTTTTCCTAAATTTTTAATTAATTCCAAAATTTTATTCATAAGATAAGGAATTCATAAACAGAACGGAATTTTTCTCGCAATCTTTCGCTAGTAAAATGATAATAACAATAAATTGACAATGACAATAAATTGCTATAAATTTTAAATTAACATGGTCCATACATTAAAAAATCAATTACGGTGTGATTGAAGCATCATCGGCTTAATCATTTTAACGAGATGAGCATCTCATCAATAATGAAATTCGGATGGTGCAGAATTGCAGCAATTCATCTTCACCATCCTAATAGTCACTGGAACTAGCCAAGCCAGAAATAATAATTTGGCGAGTGCTGCTAGAAGAAAAGAAAATAAAATTGCTGCAATTATGTGACATTGAATGGAGAGATGGAGCGACAATTAACGATTATTAAGAGAAAAAAGTGAAATATTTAAAAGTCATATATCTTTTTATATCTTTTATTATATATCTTTTTTTTATTATTCCATTTTTCACTACCAATAGGTTGTCATTCCCAACTTTAGATCTTGTGCTACAAGCCTGGGAGATAGAAGGTTCTGCGCAGCATCTTTTAAGCAATGTGTATCTCATCTGGACAAAAATCTCTGATTGTTTCTCAAATATGTTATGAAACCACTTTTCCAGCTTATAGGTAACCCTTACCACTACTTGAAATTTTTTGGTCTTCATTTTCCACATCTATGTTTTCTCTTTTAGCCTTATTTTTTCTTCCTGATATTGCTGTGCCACGAGACTGTGACACACAGTGGCTGTAATCCTAGAAATTTTTGGAAAAGTTAACTAGTTGACAGATGCAAAGACTAAGAACAGAATCCAGATACTGCAAAAATACAAACGCTACATCAGAAGCCTTAGGGACTTCTAAGCAAAAGCTCGTAGCACTAGCCACTGGATTAAGGAAACATACTAGAGAAGCAGATGTTAAAAAGATAAATATAAATACTCGCCGAAGAACCATTCAAGATAAACTCTCAATTACAGTGGAGTAATATGGTAATAGTACAGCCACGAACGAAAACAGTACTGGAAGAATATATGGGAGAAAAAAGATTTGTAATAACAATAGTGTAAGATCATGCCTACAAAAATCAGCCACTTCCACACTAAGGTGTAGGTAAGAAGTGCAAGAAGCTAGTTGGATCAGAAGCAACTGAAAAAGCTGCCAAAGTCCAAATATCAGGAGATCCTGACTATCGGGTAATCCTGACTTCGAAGAATTACAACGACAGCAGGAGGGCAGGAGAAATCGCTAATGGAGCAGTATGGCCTTGAAAATGAAGACGGCGGCTTGGATAGGTGATAATAGGAAACTTTTTTGCCTTCTCCGCAAAGCAACTATAACTCGAGAAGGCGTCAGTGAAATGATACGGATATTAATGGAGTGCCTATTAAATCTGTTAAGGATCGCCTCAGAAGATGGAAACATTTTTTTTTTTATAGCCAAACTTAGCCACGATGCACCAACTGTTCTCCCGAATATAACTGATTTGCTCGGCGAACCTTACGTTTATAACTGTGAGTTGCCAACAGAAGAGGAAATAATCTCTGCAATCCATAAGCTTAAGACCAATAAAACCCCATAGAATATGATCTTCAGACCGAACTCTTCAAATGTTATCCATCGTCCTTCATTACTGAGCACCTTCAAAAAATATACTCCCTATAGAAAATGCAATATTACTAGATGATTGGAGGAAAGCAACTCTCAATTCTTGAGAAAGATATATGAAGATAAAACACCTATTTTTATCAATTCACTGCCAGTTGAGGAAATGCTGGACTTTAAATACCTTGGATCCACTCTAATCCCAAATGGCCAGGCAAAGAATGAAATTGTAACCCGGATAACTAGAAATATGTTTTTCCGGTTTTTCCTTTATGGGATCGTCGCGAAATCACCATAAAGACAAAAATCCGTGTCCATATAGCTGCAATTCGCTCACTCTTGCTATCTCGATCTTGTCATGGCCAAAGATATTAAGAAGCTATTAGCGTTTGACCACTCATGTCTAAGGCACATTTTACGGATCTATGGAGCTGATAAAATCGCACATGTTCGTATAATCGTATAATCGCACATCTATCTTCGCTCAAATACCACTTGTATTAATAATGTTATCATAGAGCATCGCTTTCGCTGGTTAGGACACGTTCTTCGTCATCCACTACAGGAGTTGATGCATATTGCTTGCTAAACTCTGTCAAAAGTGAGGAAGGCCAGTCAAGACCTGGACTGATACAGTCAGAAAAGATTTTGAACTGATACAGTCAGGAAAGATTATAGGGGGACCAGCGATATATGGACATAGACCATGGAAGAAAGAATGGCTTCTATTACCACTAGCGATAGCATCGGACCGATTAAATTGGAGATGCCTTACTCTTATAGCCAGCGGAGCCAGCGTAACCAGTAATGGTTAGAGCTTTTAGAAGAAGAATATAACATAACATAATCATTCATGATCGAACTTGATCAATTAAAACTTCTTCTTCTAATAGCTCTCACCAGTACTTTCAATTAGGGCCGGCTCCATTGGCTACAAAAGTAAAACTTCATTCAATTAGAAGAACACGTTTCTAGCTACCATTATCCAGGTTATAATTTTGTCTTTTGCCAGACCATTTGCGATTAAAGTGAATCCAAGATATTTAAATCCAGGCACTTCTTCAACTGGTAATGAATTGATAAAAGTAGGTATTTTATCGGTTTCTTGCAAATAAGACGAAAAAACTTTCGTTTTATTTATTCTGAGACGATTCTAGCTGCGTTTGGCAATCAACACATTGTTTAATATTATTCACATTTCGTAATAAGTATCAGTAAAAAGGACTACATCTCATCAGCGTATTCAAGATTTTTGATATGAGGTTTTGAACTGATTTCCACATCTTTTTCCGACAAGCGATATCCATTATCCAGTTTATCGCATAGTTGAATACTATAGGAAGACGTAGCCTTGACGGATATCAGTTCTCGTTTCGAAGAAGTCTGCCAGTTCCCCATTTATACATACCTGCGCCAGGATATGCTGATTATGCTGATTAAATGCCTTTATGAGTCGAGTGATCTCTGAAACACCATCGCATTTCACCTCCCTCCGAAGCGCATCATTCTATCAATTGAATCGAAAGCAAAGCTGCCAAATGCTTTTATGAGTCGATGAAAAACAGAATGATGGTTTATTGTAGATATTTGAAGCGATGTTTCGACATCCTTCTTAATGTGAAGAATCCTGCTGTATCGTATTGCCATAAGCCTATTCAGTAGAAGCAAAATTTTCTGGGAGATATCCAGTCTAATATCCTCGATAATATGTCTTATCATTCTTTGGAATTGTGAGCAGAATTGCTTTGCTTCAACCATAGGATATTATTTCTTTCTTCCGTACCAGAGAATATATATTTTGAAGGTGAACAATAATATATTATGAAGGACGACATGCAACATTTGAAAAGTTTAGCCCGGAGAGCATTTTCTTCGAGAGTTCTATTGGGCTTATGGATAACAGAGATGATTTCTTTTTTTATTAGCGGTTTACAAAGTATTGCTCGATAAGGGAATCAGTTATGTCTGGTGCAACAAATGACGCAACATGATTAAAACTGTCATCCTTTTTTCTTTTTTCTTCCAGTGCAAAAATTTCTTCCATCTTATGAGATGATATTCTTAATAGTTTTAACCATGGTTAAGCAGACACACCATTGCTATCCCGTACCATTTCATTGACTCTTCCCCGAATTATATTTACTCTTTGAAAGCGGAATAGTTATTGCCTAATCGAGCCGCCGTTTCCAAGGCCATATCCTTTCAATAATTTTTTCTATCGCACCGTTCTGCTATCATTCCAATTCTTCGAAGCATTCGGTAGTTAGTATCACCTGACATTCGTGCTTTGGCAGCTTTTGAGATAGTTGAACAGTCGCTTCCGATATTCAACTAGCGCACTTCCTACTAGCATATCCTAGTGTGGCAGTGGCTGATTTTCGGAGACATTTTAACATTCATCTGCCCTTCCAGA